AAAAAACTCCGCAGAAACTTTATGCCATAGTATGAAATTGATTCTTTTTCAAAGTGTAAATCAATATCAGATGTACAAAGATTCTAAACATGTAATTTCAGAAGCAATTTAAACTTATGATAGCTGATTTGAATACAGAGAATGGGTATACTAAGATGAATGCAGACCAGTTCTATCAGTCACTGAGGAGTTAGTGGGACTATTTGGACATATGGACAGCTGTTCGCTTAACCCACAGACATATAAATAAATGTTATAAATAAATTTTATAACATATATATATATATATATATATATATATATATATATATATATATATATATATATATATATATATATATATATATGTGTGTGTGTGTGTGTGTGTGTGTGTGTGTGTGTGTGTGTGTGTGTGTATGTGTGTGTACACACACACCTATATATAGCCTACTAGATAATAGAGCTTAAAGTTGTTTTATTTTGTTGCTAGTACAATTAAATTTTTATTTACATCCATCCATTGCTATGATTATACCAGGTCAAGCTAACTAGTCCATTCTAATGTGAAAGGGGGGAATGCTTTGACAGTTAAAATAAATTTGACAATCAGATTTTGTTTTGATGTTTTGTTTTTTTTGTTTGTTTTAGTAAAGTACTCTCAATTAATGTCATATTGAGAGGAAATCAAATTGCTCTGAGACCTCAGCCATTAGTGGCACTGAGGGCAATTGGATGGGGGTCCCTCCAGGTTTGGGAACCCTAGGTGGCCGCCTACTGTTGCCTAATGGTAGTGCCGCCTCTGCTTCTGAATCATTCCTATAATTTGAATCCTCAAATTAAAGTTGAGTGTTTTGAATAGGTTTTGGTACAGCCCCCAAAAATGGGTCACTGTGTGCAAATACTTAAGGAGTCAACAACTGTATCTGAAAAAAAATGTAAACAGATCCATACCCTAAAGTCATTTTATATATGCCTTCAGTACATTTACACTTTAGCAGATCTAGGCTAGGTTAAAATCAAACAACTACACAGAAAATGTTGAACCTGATATTTTCATGAAAACAAAAACAAAAAAACAAGCAAAAAAAAAAAAACATGCTTATGGGGTAAATTAAATCGAGTGCTGTGGGGCGTTGGTCATATACAACAACTGGCAGGCTATTAAAAAATATTGGCTAGTTCAGACATTTTTCTTATCATTTGTATGGTCCGATGTGGTAGTCCTGCTCTTTGATCCATTTGTCTGTGATCGACTCGCCATCTCTGGAGTCTAGACTGCAGCAGCTGCACAGCTCCACATCTCTCCAAACACCGGACCACAAGGCACTACTTGGGCAATCTTGCACCCCATAACAATGGCAGACCCAAGAATAAGGCAGATTAAAATTAAAACCGGTATCGTTAAGAGGTAAGAGACGCCCATGTTGAGCGGAGAACTGAAGATACCAAAATTACTTTAAAATCTAAATTTGCAACCAGTTTTGTGCTAATGCTAAAAGCTAACTAGCATAGGTTCCTTTCAATCACTGGTTATTTCTTCATTGAAAAATTTGTTGCTCTGCGTTTTTTGACACTTTTCACTTTTCAATTTATTTTGAGCAATATCTGGGTAATCTGAAATGAAGGCTAACTATAGTACAGGGTTTCCGCTCCATTGCATGCTGCAGTCTCCCGTCGTAGTAGCATCACTGAATGTTGTTTTGGCTGTGTAAAATAATACTAATAATAATAAAGTGTTATTCAGAATCTGATAATCTTACAGTAAATTAAACATTTGTCAGCACACAAGGTGTTGCACCTAAGTAATCTAATGTGGAAGTTATAAGAATGTACATTGGCATGGCATTACAGTTTTCCCTTTAATCATACTCATCATTACACAGACTTTAAGGCAAGTATAGAATAGAATTAAAATGTCAACATTACCTCTCTGTGTCCCCATTAAATACAGATTTTACTGAAAAGTACAGTAATGTTGACCTATTATTAATTACAAAACGTTGGACATAATGGCCAAGTTTGTTGTCATTTTCTGTGTTCGTGTCTCTAGTCAGGTATCCAATAGGAAAGGAGTGCGAACCTCACTTGAGCTTTATGTTGGCTTGCCAGTTCCTACAACTAAAACCTGTTGGGAGAAAAACAATTGTATTTGTATTTGTTCCTAATATGCAAAGAACTAACAACCTAGGTTCAGTTGTGAGTGTAGTTCAACAGCAAGAGCTAATATCCTACCTGAAGTACTCAATAGCTGGTCTTCAGTGTTGGTACCTTAACTGGTACTGTACTGTACTGTACTGTACTGGTATTCTTGGGTACTTTTTCTCACTTACTTTTACTTTTCATCATTAATCTGTAGCCACAGTGTGGAATAACTTTCTAAAGTGCTCTCTCAGCATCCATGAGGTACAAAATCTTTGGTATTTGTATTTGTTTTTTTCTCGATAATGTACTGTAGATTTACATTAAACAGTAACTTACGCCGATGAAAAAACATGACATGACATTCTATGTAATTACACCAACAATATGAATCGTATGAATACAGTGAAATTATATAGGCATCAGCCTGCTGCCAGGAGTAAAAATGTTAAGTATTTTTTCAGTTTTGCCGTCCGCTATGGTGAGAGGTCCAGGTTATCTCATCTCAGCATTTTTCCACTCCACAACTGTTATTTACCATAAATTCTATGGTAAATACTACAAAATTACTTGAAGTGTACTTTAATCAAGCACTCTTTTTCCATAGTGTGCCAAGGAATGACATTTGCCAGGTCAATTATACCAGCAAGAGTATTGATCAGTAAGACCACACATCACAATCAATGAAAAGTATAGATCTATATTAAAGAATAACTTTACTAGTTTATTTAACTCTTACTGCTGCAGAGTTCACACTCACTTCCTAACATCTTTGCTTTCTTAGTACTTGCTCCTTCACTGTTCTCTCTTTCAGTGGATTGTACCTGCTCTTTTAGCCAGGCCTATTTCCAGTGGCTTTGCACATTCCAGTCAGTGCTTCTCTGCCCTAGCGAGGCGGATGCCCTTAATAAAATGACAACAGTAATTTGCCTTTGTCATTCCGGTCCCAGCACAGACTACATCACGGCTCAAAAATACAGTGCTCGAGGAGGCAGCAACCCAATGTGTGTGTCGGCTCCTTCTAATTCCTTTTTTTCTATTTTCCAGAAAGCTGCCTTTTCCATTAAGCCTGAGGTGGCAGGTCTATTTAAACCAGCCTCGACCCCACCCCTCATTCACACAGTGCTCCAAGTCTGGGAGAAATAAGAAATTAACATCACGACTGGAAGGGGAGGAATGGACATTTTGTTATTAGACTGTCCTTCAGTTTTATTCAAATTATTCCAGGCCTGCTTTCTCCATCTTCCTTCTCATTGCCACCTTCTTTGGCTCTAAACAGTGACATCACTCATTCAGCTGCCCCCCACATATGGTCCCTGTTTAAAAGCTTCTTGATGGAAGCAAATTAGGATGAGGGGTAATTGATGTAAAATATGACAGAGTGCAGTTGACTTCATGGTTAAACAAGGAGCACGGCAACATGAAGGGAAGGGTCCACAGTAACGTGCGTGATTAATGAAGGATCGCCCACTTGCGTGCATGAACCTGATTTTATGAAAAATGAAATTTGTGTTGTCATTCCAACAGGCAGTCACAGCCGGAAAAAGACTATTAGTTGGGTATCATTATCAGTAGTTATATTTTCAAACTCCATTATGCCAATCAGGGTCAGAATCTGTTTAATAGATTTAGTTCCATTTGGCCTGTAATTGATAAATAATCAAAATTTATCAATGTACTCAAACCAATTTTCACTAACAATCAAGGAAAAGAGGCCCATTTACCACCTGACTTGGTCCAATTTAGGAACTAAATTGATGATCAATTAATCTGTAAAAAGGACTGCTGGTGTGTGCGTGCTAAAGGCAGTGTACATGTGTGAGGAAGCCGAGCAGCTTAGTGCATAGTCGGGACATGCTTCAGTTTAGTGATTAATACAGTGAATAACAGGACTCCAAATTGCACTAATGTTTATTAATATGAAGAGGCAAGATACATGACAGTCAGACGGTACACCACTTTATTTTTTATTTTATTCATGATCCACCACAGATTAGAACATAGGTAGTACGGTACCCTTTAAATTACTATTTGCTCTGCCCCACCCTCTTGTTTCAGTGATAATGATAAAAATAACAGTAATCTTGAAATAAACATAGAGCAGCCCTTTGCTGCTTTGTTATCACGCGAATTCCTTCAGTGTCATCAATCATCATTCACTTCCTCTTTCTGCATGGTTTCATGTATTAACCATGCACATATTATTGCATCAAAATTTGGAATGTTATTAGATTGACTTAATTTTAGTTCAGTACTGGCCGATATTTGATATATAAAAATATGTGAATATTTTTTTGGAATTCTCTCTGTAATGATAATCTTATTTTTACAATTTATCAGAAATGTGCCCTAACATGCCTGTAAATAATGAAGGTGTGTATATAATATATAGATCTCAGCTCAAAAATACAATAGTGTGCATACAATAAAAATGTGAACACTTCTCATTCCTTGAAGAAATCTTTGTTGCTATTCATGACATTCTTAACAAATGATAAATGAGTAAACCTTCATAACAGCCACTGATTATTGTTCTACATTAAATTCATGAATATATGAAAACTGGGTTGATTTTGCTGTCAGTGCTCTGTGTGTGACTGCAGTATTGAGAACGGATGATGTGTTGGCTCCATGTTATTGAGGTGTGTATCTTGGCGTCTTGTGGGAGATGATCTCGGTGTTTCCCTTCAGTCAGACAAATGCTGGTGCCAATGACGATAGATGGCCTTGTCTGAAAGAGGTGACCATCAGAGCTCACCTTTTCATGGTTCAACCTATATTTTACATCTATGGCTGTGCATTTGTGTTGTTGGCCGTTTGATTGAGCATACATTGTGTCTTTAAGCCTAACCTGCTTTTTGATGTGCTCCCTTTGTCTTCAGACTGGCTAAAGAAGAGATTGCGTACATTAATGAAGCAAAGCAGCAGGAGGAGAAGGTTGAACGGCTGAAAGCAGAGGCCGGAGATGACTATGTGATCAAAAAACAGGTACACTTATTGTCATTGGAATAAACATTCAAACCATGTGTTTTATTATGAAGGAAAAATATTATATTTGTAAGCCATTTCATCAAATTATTATTATTATAGTCTTTGTATCGTATCAACACTTATTCAGCGTTAGGTTTATTAATTTCTATTAGTTTGATGTTTTTTGATGCATGAGAGAAAGTTCTTGGCACAGATTAACATTCGACCGTTTCAGGAGACCTTAAAATGCACTGCGTGTATTGTTTTGTTTGTGCATTGTGGCCCAAACTGAGCAGCAGACTTGGCTGGCATTAAACAAAGAGTTGACTGGGCCAGGTGGATTATGGTTGAATATGAGAGGTCTGAGGCAGGATGGATTAGCGGCTTTTATTTTACGGGAATCAATACTCTCTAAGTGTTGTCTTTATCCTGCCTTGATGGGATAATTCCAGCATCAAAGCAGGGAGCCATGACTCTTCTTTTGTTTCTGCACTCCTCTGCTGTAGTGGGCCTCACCTTGTCAGATTAGACCAGTTGGGCTAGTTGTTTGCTGCCTTTCAAGGTGTCAGTTATAGTCTGCCAGGCTCAGTGTATTAGCTCATCTCAGCGGCTGTCAGCGTATACGGCCGTGTAATGTACATGTGCGAGAGTGTGTGGTGCCTTCTCGATGAAGGGCTCCGCCAGGAAGCAAGCATCATGAGTGAGTGTGTCTGACAGTGTTAGCCAACTCTGCTCTGCTCCTTAGGGTGCCGGCTAGGGGGAATTCCACATTAGCTGCGCCTCTGAAAGTTAGCCTGTCTGTAACAAGGCTCACTCCAGGCGTAGCAATAGCTCTTTACGCTGATTACTGTGCTCTCATTTCAGGGTTTCTTCATTCACTCAGGTATGCAGTCAGATCAAGGTGGTCCCCTGCTGCCCATGTCCCGACCAGATCGATAACTCAATAACATTTTTTTATACCACGGCTTGTTGGAGATGTTAACCATAACATTGAATGTGGGGCAGAGTGCACAGGCTGCACAGAAACACAGCTATTCTATAGTCCTGCTGGTTGACTTAATACACTCAATATGCAATATGTGGTTGATTTTTGTTTGAAGAGCTGGTAATAGAAATTAGAATGTAGACAGTCCATTAATTTAAGAGTAACTGCTACACTGATGAAATATTTGTTTGATTTTAGATGGAAGTTTTGCAAGAATCAAGAATGATGATCCCAGATTGCCACCGCCGCCTGGCCATAGCACATGCTGACCTTAGCCAACTATTAGTGAGTAACAGTGCAACAGTCAGCTTTTTCTTCCTAAACTTGCTGTACAATGAAACTTTTTTTTTTTTTTTACTAATTGTGGTACATATGGAGCTGTTTAACATGTTTAAAAGGTTTCAAAATCTGTATTCTAGTTTTTCTTTAATTATTGCCTTTGTTAATTTATTTGTTTTATTGGTACAAAAATAAAATTAAATGTACTCCATAAATGGAATTGATGAGCCAAAAGGCATAGTACACTTACAGTATATTTCTTGTTTTTCTACTACTGCACTGAGTTGACTTTCAACAAAATATTTTTGTTTTAATTTATTTACTAAAAGCAACAGACTTACAGAAATATTCATGTGTTCTTTTGCAGTGAACCTTACATGGATAATTCAATGATATGGGGTGAACTTAAGGCAAATGCTAAGTTGTGTTAACCAAGTCTAAAATTAGATTTAGACAGACTATTTTGACTTATGCTAAGTAAACACCTGAGCCATCTCCTAATTTCTTCATATTAGCTTGTGCACTGCTCTGAAGCGCTCATGTCCCTTTAGGACTTGAGCAGATGAGGGTGAGAAGTAAACATAAGCATGCGTGTCTTGGGGTCAGTTTAATTAATGCAGAGCCGCACAGATGCCGTTGCTTCTGTGAGTCATGGGAGAGTCAGACGCCCAGCACTGCCCCCTTTCCATCACTCACCCAAACTCTCACCTCCTCTCCTCCAGATGCATCATATGCTAAATTATTATTAAAACAGGCAAGTAAAGGTCCACTGCAAGACAACTTTTAAAACTAATTTTGAATCGTATTCTAATAAGGTTCAGGTCTTCTAAAATGATTTTGAAACTTGATTCACATGTTATCACTTGATAGGGTGTAGTAAAAGTTTCAAGTACTGTAATATAAAATACTAAAAACTAAAAACTAATCAGTGATGTTTGTGTATTTTCAGGAAACAGAAGAGGATTTGGCAGAGGCTGAGGAGTACAAAGAGGCCAGAAACATATTGGGTTCAGTGAAGCTTGAAGGGTGATTTCTGAGCTCCTTTCTGTCCTCACTGAGATCTTGCTGAGATCCACTGCTTAAATGTCCATTCCTTTGAACTGACATTTCTGAACTTCTTTTTTTTTTCCAATTCTGTCTATTCTGGCTATTTACTTTTAATGTGCCTACACATTTTAATAGAATTGTGCTGTATATTCAACCTCCAAGATTGAAAGTAAATGTTGTGTTTATAACATAAAGCACATTTGAATGTTTTCTTTAGTAGGCCTATTAGGGTCTTCAGTGCACCTGTCCTAAAAAGCCTCATTTCTGATGTCCTCCTGTTTAACTTGGGTAATACTGAAAGACTGTTATCAGCTCTAACATTATAACCCATCAGTAGGACTTAATTGCAGCATATTCTGTGCTGCTGGCATTCTGCTCCAACAGCAGTGAAATGGATTGTGTCTTGATACCTACAATAAAGACAAGAGCACTTTGGGCAACCATGTCAGGCAATGACAAATGTTGGTTATGGTCATGAATGACAAAATAAACCTGTCTTTGATCCATCTATTAGGCTTACCCATATCACAGCACCTCCTATTAAGCCTGAGGGACTCCTCCCTAAATAGCCATACTAATAAATGAACTCAATTGGAAGACAAATTAAGGTTACATTTGACTTCATCCTTATTTTACAGATTTGGATAATTACCAGAATCACCCCCAAAGTCTCATTAGCGCCCTAATGTGGCGCTGCTACTGCGTGACATCTTGCCCGCTCCATCTCGTTAAGGAAATCACTCTTCAATGCTGATTATTTTATTTGGAGGTATAATTATATTTCTTTCGGATAAATCACGGCCTAATCGACTCAGTACAGAGGGCAGCGGCGTTAATTGAGGCATGAGATGCAGCAACGAGGCCTACACCTGCGCTTTAAACGTCCAGCTCCACATTGTCCTCATAGCTCAAACCAATGCGACCCTTTCATTTGTGCTTCTGGTTGCAAAATCGATTCTCTTCAAAAATCTTTAATTGACTATAATGCTTTTTCTTTGTTACCAAAAGAATAAAACTCAAAATGAGCCTATTTTTCTTTTCTGTTCTGGTGGACATGGAATTATGCCAGCAGTATGCAAATAAACTTGCTATTCTCCTTTTATTTCCAGAACCATGTTTTTTCAGTTTTATTAAAAGTGACTCCTCGTCTCCACAGCGCGTGAAAATGTCTACTTTCCACTCAGATGCACCGCATTAACTTACACTGGGAGAATTTGTTTTTTTTTTTTTTTTATTTACTAGCTAGATAAGATTGACGTAGCCTAATGGTGTTATATGAGAATGAAAAGCATGAAGAAGCGACCAGGTCTCACTTATTTAGACTCACGAGCGGTTATAGACCATAGCCTAACGAACAATAACTCAAAAGGTAAACATAGGCATTTGGGGTATAAGCAAGAAAATGTTAATAGGCATGATGTTATCTAAAACATAGCCTGTAGTTTGCAATAGATAACATAACATCTAATATAAATATTTATGAAGGTAATATTACCATATCTTAAATTAATCTAACAATAATCTAATCGTAAACCGCATTAAGCGCGCAAGTAGCTAATCATGGGTTTGGTGTGTGAGCCGACGTGTCTTGACATCCCCCAGTCAGTCTTCGGTTGTTTGGGTTAAATATGAGGCACCGCGCTAAGAGAAGTCATTCACTTGTTTGTACAGCTATAAAATTGTCGAGCTATAGAAAAGTCGTAAAACGAAGTGCGCGATCCATCATCCCTCGAAACCAAGCAAGAGGCCTATGATCATTTGGAATTATTATGGTCTAGCACGGAGTGTAGCTGAGTACGCAGAATGAATGAATATATATATATATATATATATATATATATATATATATATATATATATATATATATATATATATATATAGATATAGATATAGATATAGATATAGATATAGATATAGATATAGATATATAGATATAGCATACACACATAGACGCCTACGCCTAAGACTTATACAGTCTGCGTGTAAATTATTAAAGGGCTCTCTCTTACATCCTCCAAAGATGACCTTCTGAAGCGCTCCATCATTACGCAGAAATGTCTCTTGTTGTTGCGCGCACGTGGTAAATGTGGTCCAAAGCCTTCCGAGAGCGCGAGAGCCTGCTCAAACGTTCTATCTCCCAGATTTCCCACGAATAAATGATGAGCGAGGCACTTGTAGTGGATGAAAAGAAAAAGCAAACAAGCCCGCGCTCGCTCTTTTGTGCCATTTTACTCACACGATAAATGCTTTCTCCAGACACATGTCTGTGCTTAGACCGCAATGCTTGGAGAAACTGTAGGCTAGAATCTGGTCAAATTAAATAAGGTTTGTCTCTAAGAATAATGAAAAAGTCACAGCTAAATTACAACACACGCCCCCTCTCTATTTCCACAATCTCGCCTAAATACTCGTAAATTAACACTAATTTATTCTGATTTCACCCTGATATATCAGCAATAAAGGCGTATGGATCTGCCACTAATTACATAAACTTAATAGCCTTGAAAATTGATGCATAGAATAAAGTTTGTCGTGGGAAATCAAGGATGTATTAGAAGAAGTCTATGGGCGTCTAAACCAAAAAAGTGGCCACAGTTCACTCCGAAGCATTTCCATCCCAATAAATACTGGTCGTTCTCTCAAGTTCTTATTAGCCTACATGTAAAACAAACATAAAATAAATAAAAAGGAGTGGCCAAATACAATAAATTAAACTAATATTGTAGCAATCCTTCTCAAAAAAGTTGCCTGAAATAAATGTGCACATAGATAGGCTATTAAATCAGGCTATTTTATTGGATGTAATTTGGAAAAGAAATCAAAGCCAATTACATGAATGAGGAGGAATGAACTTGTGGATGCGGGTGGTGGCGCGAAGAGGGGAGGCAAGGGTGCTTGAGGTCTTGGGCTAAAGCTGACATACCTCTGACTACAGCTCTGATTGGTCCTTCGTTTGGAGAAGCTCATGGGTTCATTCCGTTGTTAAGCGCCTCCCCATTTCTCTAAACTACATTATAATGCAACAGACCTCCCTTTTAACCACAAACCGAATTTGCTTTCATTTAGACCATATATATTTCTTAAATAGGTTAAAGTCATAGAGATTTTTTTTGGAATAGCATTTCGCCCTGGAGCGGTGCGCAATGCTATCTCATGCCGACCTCCTGGATGCTCGCCTCGGTGAGTTATCATCACCAAACTCCGGTCTTCAACTCTACTGTAAGCTGGAGGAACTTCTCATCTTATATCAATCCTTGAAATTGTCAATTTGCTTCTTATATTCTCCTAATTTGACTCGAGTAACGCAAACTGGCTTAATTCATTGGAAAAGTAATTATTATTATTATATTAGGTTACTGCGTAATTTGATTTAACAATTTTCTAAGGTCTTGATGTAGCCTAATCGAAATGAAATACGAGTATTTAAGAAGCAAATTGTCATGTGCATGCTGTAGTCTTTTGAATGTTCTAGTTTTTAGTGCTCTTTTGCTAGAATTTAGGTTCTTTGGTGCATGTCAAACTCTTGTGTTATTTGTAAATGCATGAAAATACTACCACTATACTTGAATATTGCATTAAGATTTTCGATATTTATCCCTTTGTTTACAGTGCATTTACTGGGATGTCTAACACCTGTCTTTCCCTCACAGAGCCGCTTTGGTCTCTGCTCGTTCTCATCACATCTCCTTTTGTGCTCAGGGATGAAGGACGCCGCTGCCGAGCTACTAGGACACAGGGACGCGTTGAAGTGCCGGCTGCCTGACCCTAACCACTCCGGTGAGCTGGTTCCTGGACCGGACGGTGTGGAAGGTACCACAATGCTCCCCGGAGAAGACATTAGCGGCAGCGCGGGTGCGACGGCCGGTCCGGTCAACAATAAAGAGCAGGACAAGCCCCAGCAACAGCAGAACAGCGGCAGTAACCAGAACCAGTCCGGAGGGCAAACCCAGAAGCAGAAGCGACATCGCACGCGCTTCACACCCGCTCAGCTCAATGAACTCGAGCGCAGCTTTGCCAAGACGCACTATCCGGACATCTTCATGAGAGAGGAACTAGCGCTGCGTATCGGCCTCACGGAGTCCCGTGTGCAGGTATAGTACGCACTCGCTCGCTGATGATGTGTATTTAAAAACAACTAGGCTAATTGTGTAAGACACAGACCTTTTGCTTTAGTTTAGCATATGTCAACAACCTCTGAAAGAAATGCGCAAAATAAAACAATTACACATTTTAACCATGTGCGTATCTACCTGTAATGAGAAGCTCTGGGCTAATCTGCTGTAAGAGTAATGTCAAAAATACTTGGCAATACTGTATAGTAAATAGCGATTAAAGTCTCTTTTAAATTACCCAAAACCAATAAATGCATGCTTTTGTTGGTTTTGTGATTCAAATATCTTTGTTTGTTTTAGAGCCTCTTGTCAATAGGCTACCGTTTTCAAAAATAATAGTTCAGTTACTGTAGTTCCACAGTTCAAAATATGTTTGTTCAGTGAACATACTCATGGATTTTAGGTAAAGCAAGTTATGCTGTCGGAATATAAAGTTCATATTCAAAGACTGTCACATTCAAAAGCTCTGTGTCAGACCGCCACAGAAAACGTGCTTTTTGTGAAGTGTAAAAAGTGTAAAAGAGAGGATGGATTTCACGGGTGGGCACGCTTCTAGGCGCGCGGTGGAATAGAATGAAATTATCCCCGTTCTACTTATGGTGCGCCATGTTCTCAAACAAATCTCCACGTTAATCATTCCGTTCGCCCGTGTGCCACAGGCAAAACCAGGCCACCAGGCTCTCAAGGACTGCGCCAATAAACACCATTTGTCATAACCGCAACGGCAGAGCGTCTTTATTACCACTGTGGCATAAGATATGCTATAGCCTATTATAATAATAATAATAATAATAATAATAATAATAATAATAATAATAATAATAATAATAATAATAATAATAATAATAATAATATGCTCTCGTGCAGGTTTGGTTCCAAAACAGGCGTGCCAAATGGAAGAAGCGCAAGAAGACCACCAATGTTTTCCGTGCACCAGGCACGCTACTGCCCACGCACCATGGCTTGCCTCAGTTTCCATCGGCTGCAGCGGCGGCCGCTGCAATGGGCGACAGCTTGTGCTCATTCCACGCCAATGACACGCGCTGGGCCACGGCTGGAATGCCAGGCGTCTCGCAGTTGCAGTTACCACCGGCACTAGGCCGCCAGCCCGGGATGGCTCAGACCCTGTCGCAGTGCAGTTTGGGAGCCGGGCCTCCGCCCAATTCTATGGCCCTGTCCAACATGTCGTCTAACGGCTCGGGGTTGCAGTCTCACCTGTACCAACCCACCTTCCCTGGGATGGTGCCCGCCTCGCTGTCTGGTCCTACTAACGTCACGGGTTCCCCGCAGTTGTGCAGCTCCCCGGACAGTGACGTCTGGAGGGGTACGAGCATCGCGTCTCTGCGCCGCAAAGCGCTGGAGCACACAGTATCTATGAGCTTCACCTAGTCCTCTGCGGTGCACGGCAGAGCTCCATAAGGAGATCTTCACTTTGTACTCTGTCGACCCTGACCAATCCAGGCCCGGGCCAGGACCACCACTGCTCCTCTGTGCGATTGTTTCCTAGAGGACTCAACAATTTGTCGGCCGGGCAAAAGGAATAGGGCTGTCATATTTATTTATTTGTTTCGCATGTAGCTAAAGACAATTATTTATTGGTCTATTTATTGATTTGTTTGGTAGGCATTTTTGGCACACCCCCTTTGTTTGTTGCAATTTCATTTTAGATATAAATACAACATCCCTTTCGACCTGCCCATCACAGGCCGCGGTGTTTGCCCTGCAGCGCGTGGACGTTTTAGAGAGGGATGTCGGATGTGGACACTAGTCCTGAGCCAAGACCCATTATCTCATACGCTGTGGTTTATAGGAGTTGAAAATTGGTCACTTTGTAAAAATCCGTTAACATTTTGTCTGTGATTCACCTCTGCTTTAATGTTTTTCATGGACATGTTTATAAGAATCTGTGTAAATTATTCAATAAAATTCATTTCAATTATACCAGGAATCAACATTTTTTATTCAAAGGAAAGCAATTGCCTCACTAAAATATATTTTAAAATATATAAAATCTGTGGGTTATAGGCTATGTTTTATAAAGCAGCAGATAAACTTGGATGACAGCTCCTTGTCATTGTAATTATTTTAGAAATGGTAACAAAACACATTTTTTGTCAATGTGTAAAACCAGCCAACAGCCAAATACAGTAATTCTTGTCTTGGTCAGGGCTATAACATTATTTTATGGGCTGTCTGATGGTAAAGCAGGTGCTGATGTTGTCATCCCATCCCATCAGGTGTAATCATGATGTGTTGATGGATATGGCATTCATGGTGAGTCCACCTAAATCTTTGCAAGGTCCATTTAAAACTATAGCCTAGCTCTAGTCTTATTTTATCACACACGGACATGTGTAATACATGACGGGTAGAAAAACCAAACATGGCGTGCAACACAGCACTACAATCTGTTTTTCCAAACTAAAACTTTTACTGTAAATCACATTTTCCTGTTGCACTATAGCCCACATTACTAAGACCTAAATTAAATCTATTTTTGGTCATTTTCAGTGATACCACTAAATGGCAGATTTCACAGAATTGATGTGTAAATTGCATTTTAATTGAAACAAACTTATTCTTCTCTGAAACAAATGGTTACAAAGTGTTAAGAAATAAATAAGTAATAAATATAACTGAGCATATGAAATCGTGGAAAATTAAGGCACAGTTGGCTCAAAATGTTTTTGTGGCAACATTTGGGATCAGTGATAAAAAAAATTTGCAGTCAAGTGACAGATGTAAAATAATATTACATAAATGTAATAATTTGTTTCACAATGAGGCAGGTTAATTAGCTTGTGGAAATTGGTAACCTATTTCTCATTGGGTAATTTGTCACACAGTGACGAGGTAGCCAATCAGTGACCCTGCTGTTGGTGGGATGATTTCTCCCAGAATGCTGTGCAGTGAGTGTGTCGCAGAAAATGTGTGAGCAAGCCAATGTTTACCTCGTATTATTCCACACAAATAAATGAAATCAGTCAATAAACCATTCAAGGGTGAATATGGCTCTCTCTATCTGGGATTATGAATGAGGGCTCATTAATTTTCCTGTGTATGCGTATGTGTGCTACACATACACACGTGTAGTGTATGCAAGATTGTTGAGTGTTTTGGTATACAAGCATTGTGTATTTATGTCCACACAAAAGGCTGTGTTTGCTCTTGTCTTAAATTGTGTGTATTCCCCATAAACCAAAGTATTGCAAAGTTATAGCTTATAACTCCAATAACGCTGCAAACAAAAGTATAATACTGTACTGTAAGTTTTATAAAATATCTTACTGTTATTCCAGATGTGTCCATTTTAAACAGATTGACCAATGCTATGTGAGTGTGACATCGCAGACTGACATCTCGCCGCTTCCTCCATTTGTCATTGTTTGAAAAGGTCTTAATTATATTATATACAAATTAAGAGACTTGATTTTAGCCCATTATATTTTCATAAGAGCAAATGAGAAGAACATTAATGGGTCACCAGAAGAGAGATGGGTGAGACAGGGGTGGAGTTAAACATTTTTACTCTTTTTAAGTATTTGATGCTAATAAACAGATCATTTATTTTATTCAAAAAGGTAACAACTGAACATTTAAACACTTAACCATTAATAACCTCTCAGTTTGAGAGTTTTGTGATATGAAAGTCATAAGGTCAGTGGACAATGAACTGCTTTCATTTTACAGACAATTGTATAATGCATTGTTGTTGACATGCTAGGGAGGTTACCTGGAGTCTGACCCTTTGCCACCCTGGTGTGGCTGGGATGAATGGCAGGTGACTGCCAGTCAATTGTGTTGGTCTGATGCGAACCTGGAAAGACAATGTTATTGAATTACAACTTATTTCATTTCCCATCATAAATTCTCAGGGTATAGAAACATCTTGAGATTTAGGTCTTTTGCCTCAATAATGGCAACAATAACTCAACTCATATTTGACATATTTTACAAGTCAAAAGTTCACAGGAGCAAACTCTTCTTTTTTACCCATTCAACACATTGTTAAAGGAAACTAATAACCTATATGTTTATGAGCATGAGTGCAAGATCATTTGTAAATGAAAATAAAATGGTTGACCAAGAAATCACTCACCAATATCTAGTCCACCTTTTGATGGCTTCCAGGGGAAAAAAAAATAAATAAATCAGCTTTTTCTTCATCTGCTAAGATGGTGGAACAAATAAAATGGGATTTCCAATTGAAAAGCCTTGTTAGGTTTTATTTTCTCTTAAATGACAAAGAATCTGCATCGTTTAGCCTAACCATTTTATTCCTTTCTTTGGACCTGTGGACTTATTTAAAATAAATAAATAAATAAATAAAATAGCCTTGTCATTGGAAAATACTATATGTCGTAATGTTCATACAAAAGGAAGGAATTGCATATAGCCCATAGGTTACCAACACCAATCGTGATGTTCCCAGGCCAGTTAAATAAATAAATAAATAAATAAATTCTACATTGGGTCTGGGAACAGCCCTATAAAGATCACAGTAATTTTGCTAAATTTTCCATGTAAAAGGTATTAGTCTACCACTCAAATGCCAATTTGTCACTTAACCTGACGTCCAATGTATCAAAGGATAGACCTACATGAATTTGCCCGCTGCTCATACAGCAAAGACGCTATTGTCATATAGTCCTAATGTGAGGTCACAAACAACCCTTTATTTATTTCTCGCAAAACCTAAATTGAGTCAAATTCAAATTTGTGACGTTTTCAGTTGACTTGTTAAATACAAGCCAGACCTGCTATTGCCTTTAAACTAGCCTATAAAATGTTCTTCTCACGATTTAAATGGCCTGCGTACTGCCTGGTAGACTATAGCCTAAATGTAGGCTGGACTGCCTCAATCTTACCTTGTCTCCTATAACACCCATTCACTCCACCTGAACCAATCCCTCTCCAAACCCTCCTTCTTCCACGATCTGCCCTTGAGCTTTTCTATTACCGCATGGAAAGCACCTCGCAGCCTCTGACAAGCGCGGCGGATCAACACTAAATCAGAAATCAGTGCCAGGCGCAGATCTGAGGCACCATGAAGGTCACAGGCCCTACACCGCGTGTCGTCTCAATCGGAGAAGCAGCGCAGCATCAGCAGCCAAACTAATGTGGGGATCACTGTGATGGGATTGGGGGGCATCACACAAAAGGAAATATTTGTAAAAGTCATGGAAACATAAAAATGAATAGTCACGCGGACCATTAGGCTACTGCAGGCTACACTAACAGGCATAATGAAAATAGCCTAAATGTCTTACCGCTATTTTGCTTTGTGCTAGTGGTGTGTGTGTTTAATTGCAAATCAATGTAACAGTTTTAAACAATGTATTGTAATATCAATAAAATACAACCTTTAACTTTTACTTCTAGAGCATTCTGCCTTAGGCCAATGGCATTTTCGTTCCCTCGGTTGATTGTTACACACTGCCATCCAGCGGACACTACTTGTATTACAACAACACATAAAAATAAAATCAGCAACACAATCACAGCTACAACAAAGCAAAAAAACATTATTTAAAGACAGACAAATCAAAAACAAAACTTAAATCAAGTAAATGTCAAAAGAAAAATAATATTTCGCATTTTATCTCATTTGTCGTCTGGTGAATATTGTTCCAAAACAGCTTCCGTAGTCGGAGTCACATGAAAGGTTTGTTTTGGTCGTGTGTTGTTGTCGCAAAATACCATCTATTGCTCATTTCAGACCATTTTTCCTGTGTTAAATATGATCGGACTATATTTTAGAATTAAGAAGGCTACAATTTAAGTGTGGTATTGCATTAGAAAAGAGGGGTGTGTTGTCTTTCAACGAACGCGTTTGGGGTTTCGAGGTTCGTAAAGAAATTCTCGATGTATCACATATTAAAAGCACTATGCTCAGTGGTAAGACTCCATGCGTTAATACATTCTTCGTTATCTTTGTTTGTGAAGTCAGTAAATACTACAGCATGTTACGTTGGATTCTTGGAAGTCGGGAAGCCCAAGGCTCAGTGGAGGTGAGACAGTAAAATCATTAATGCTGAGTCTGATGTATGTTCATGTTTTTGTCTTTCTTTTAACCTTTCCAACCCCATGTCTAAAGTCCTAAGATCTGTTTCTGTTTACCTCACCATTTTCTCTGTGCGTCTGCAGAAAAGCTCCGTGTTGTGCATTGGAGAGGAACAACCCCAAAACTGCTTCACTGAGCTGCAGGTGCTAAAAGGACATTTTGACATTGTTCGATTTCTGGTGCAGATTGATGACTTCAGGTGAGCAGAGTAGCCCCCACCCCTTCCCATATCACATCATCTTTGACTTTCTTCCGCTCTCTAACCTCTCTCCTTTCTACCCATGGCTGGCCTCTATCGCCATTTGATTGACAGGAGATCCTCACATACAGAAAACTTACAGAGCATGACAAGAGCCCAATCATGACCACTGTGAGGCTGTACACCCACTATTCTGTACAGTGTTTTTCAGTTTCAAACATGTACACACACATACACACGCACGCACACACACACTCACACTGATGCACCCACATATCTGCACCTGATCCTCTCTGCTCTGTTTAGTCGATGCATGTTGCACACTGGCATGGTACAGAGCTCTGCATAAGTCTTCACGATAGGATCTAAACTGTGTGTGTGTGTGAGCATTTGTGAGGAGGTGGGGGTAGTGTTCACGCCTGGTCGCCTTTAGGTCTCCTCCAGTAATAACCTCCTCTTGGGCCTGTCCCCTCTGTGCAGAGGTCCGTAGACGGGGGCAGAGGCCAGAAAATTCACTCTAGATTACTTTCAAAGTCCGAAAACATATCCTGCACAATTCCTTTCTTTTCGTTGTACTGTATCTCTCTGTTTCATCCTCTCATCCTTTCTGTTGATTTTGAGAATTGCTCATGTGGATTGTTGAGGGCAGAGGGTAAGTTAAGGTGCTAAGCCTTGGGACAGGTGTTTTTTGGGGTTTTTTTGGTGTACCAGGTCAAATGGGAAATGACTTCTTGGCCAGATAAAGATTGTCTCGGTGCACCTGACTTGGAGATTTGTCACTGTGGATGGGTGAAATTTAAGTATAATACTGTGATTTACAGATGTGCCTCTGCAGGAGACGATGGCCTTGTATTGGTGTGGAATATTGAGGTAATATTTCTTTCACCACTGAAGCCAATAAATTTACTATTTCTGTAATTAAATCCACATTTTTTGTTATAGACAGGGGAGAAACTGCAAGAACTCAGAGGACATTCACAGCAAATCACTGCCATAACTACTTTTGTTTGCAGAAGTGCACTTACAACTCAGATATTGCTGATCACAGCTTCTTCAGATCGAAGTCTAAGTGTATCATTTTACAAAAGCAGTCCATGCTATTTCATCAGACACTGCATTATGACTTTCTGGCTCTACTGTTTTGTTTTATTAAGTAGGACAAATTATGCAATTTTAATGATTTTATATAAAATTTTCAGTTAAAGGATTCACAAAAGGTAAACTCACAAGTTAATATTTACTTGACTTTTCAAAAAGCTTTGGGATCCTGATACAGGCAACAGAGTTCAAACTATTTCAGATCTTCAATCATCTGTCAAGGTAAATTCAGTTTCCTTTGGAACTTAGCATGAACATTTTTGCATGATTTTTAATTTATTTTTTTAATGTACCTTTCTTTCAGTGTCTGTTGGTGCTAGAGCGGTTGTGTTTGTGTCTATCTGGTGGAGAAGAATTGTGTGTTTGGAACAAAGATTTTCAACTTCAGTGCCATCAGCAAAACCACAGTGACACTGGTAAAGAGCTACAGAGAAATGTATACACTTTTAGCATTCATAAATTCATAATCTGTTTATAATTTGCAGGAATATTTGTGTTGATTGAGCTTCCTAAGAATTGTGTAGCAGCTGCAATGGATAAAGAAATTGGTAAAATAAAAAAATAAGGTATATTTAAGTGAATAAAAGGAGTTATTGTCATAATTATATTCTATATTTTTTGGCAGTAATTTACAAGTTAACAGTCTCTGCCAACAACTCTCTTTATCTGACTGAGATGCACCATCTCTCTGATCATCGAGATCAGATTCGTGCTCTTATAAATATCAATGGTAAAACCTTAATGTAGCATATTTTTACCTCCCACCACTTACTTTCAGGTTTAACTGCTTGCTTCTCTTTGTCAGACAACATGTTTGCCACCGGGTCCCATGCGGGAGAACTCATTCTCTGGGACGCAATTGACTACAGCATTCTGGCCTATGAACATATCTTATGGGAGGAGACACAAAATGCATCTGAAATACGAATGGGTTCCTCAAAACCTAGTGAGATGTCCATTCAGCATCTTTGCTCTAATGGGAAGGTAAGACTCATGTCATTATTAAATTATTAGTGCAAAGCCACATCAACAGCTATGTGTTTTATCAGCTCATCCTGGCAGCTGTGGGCTGTGGTCTGTATGTGTACAGTGTTCTGACAAAAACAGTGGTGGCTTACAGAAAAGTCACACATGACTCCAATGTTTTACACACCATGCTGCTGTCTGACAGGTATTAGGAGATTTAAACTATTGTTTTCTTGCAAATGCTCATGGTGTAGTAGGAGAAACTCACTATTTCTTACAGTGAGCTGATGTCCTGCTCTGAAGATGGTAGTGTAAGACTTTGGGAGATTCAGGACCTGCCACTGCCCGCTGAACCTGCCTCAGCAGGTAAAGTAACGTTTTTGCCATTGATAGTTTGGTCCCATCATTCTTCCTCTTGCACTAATACATGCACAAGAAGGAACGGCAACAGCCATTTTTTAGTTTTTTATTTTCAAAAAGTTTGCTAATACACTTGACTAGACAGCATTGCGTGAAATGGGGGTGATCTGATGAGACCAGCACTGTGTCTGGCATAGGTTAGACCACTTCAACCACAACAAATGAAACTGTTTTGAACTGAGCCATCTCCTGGAAGACAATCAGATGATGCTATCAGGCCAAGTTACAGGTCACTTCTATGGAGAAGCGACATTGTTTACAGTACAAATGAATGTTAATAAAAATACCTGTAATTGAATAACTGCAAGATGGATGGGTGGTTGGAGACAAGTAGGTTGACTGAAAGGTTATATTTACACCTTTTTAAGGATTTTTTGGTATGCTGACTTTTGGACGTGCAAGCAAACAGGCCATTCCACCATCAAAGAAATTTTTTGATGTCCCTAATCTCAAGATGCTGGAGTTGATAGGAGATTTGATTGGCCATTCAGGACCTGTTCAGGTATGGATACATGAGAGAAAAGTCTACTCTGTAATATAGTAGTAATAGTAACTACTCTGTAGTTAAATACCATTAACATTGGACCTATTCTGACCCATGACAGATGTTTGTGAGCTTTAAAGAGAATGGTTTGGTAACTTGTTCTGCGGACCACCTGCTGATTTTGTGGAAGAATGGAGAGAGACAGTCACATCTGCGCAGTCTGGCACTTTTCCAAAAGCTGGAGGAAAATGATACACTGTTAGCTTGCACCTAGAGTCCACTGTAAAGTCATTTTAACTGTTGGTTATTTGCATTTATTAACTTATGTATTAAATTGTTTTTGTCCATATCTGAGGCTTGTAGCACTTCTTAATACTTGTATATATGCCCAGCCCAGGGCATCCTTTTCTGCTTGACCACATGCTGCTAATTATACAGGTTCTTATACAATGTACTCACTTTGAATTGTAAATCTGTATGTTTCCTTTATCTATCTATCTACTCCTTTCTACTATATGTATGTATCAAAACTCTAAAGAGTGAAATGCTGTATATGGTTTAATTATTTTTATTAATTAATGAATGCAAGCCTAGCATAATTATTTCTAAACAACATTACCTGTGGCTTCAAACTTGGATGATTTTATTAGTCCAGAGTAATAATAAAAAAAAGGTTAAAAGAATTAAACATGTGTTTTATCTATAATTATTTATTTATAACTTTCTAAACAGAATCACATAATTGGCACATTGTCTGCTGCTACATGTTGAAGGCATATCATTGCAGGCTCCATTCATGTCCTAATCAGGATCATCACATTCCACTCATACAGCTCTCACAAAAGGCATATCAATCAGAAACATGTAAATTGTCTTTATGTAGAAATCTACTATAAACTAGCAAAAATATTTGTTCATCCTCAGTAATACATGTCTGGAAACAGTTAAAATTGTAGATGTTTTTCAAGTCACTGTATAAAAAAGCAATCTCATTTTATTCAGAAATCCTCCCTGCCTTGCTCAATAGTAACACAAAAAGTAGTTCATGTATAGTGCAAAGCAAAATGATAAATGGGCCGATAATGTAGACAATCAGCAGGGACATTAGGTAGTTTACAGTGTGTCGCTTCAATAGCAGGCCTAAAATGAGACATGGCAGGATTAAGGCGTTGATTAATGTACCATCAAAAACTGCAACTTCATAAATAAGCTAAAGATAGTCTCTAAAAATCAGGAAACTTAAATAAATATACAAAAATACAGTACACACATGATCCAGCCATACCTGATGCAGTGTGACAATAACACATCAACTGCTGAAGAAAAAAATCACCTTTCATCAAACACATCCTGTTTCTTTGCTAATTTTATATGGCTTTTGCTTGAAAGATAAATTTAAACCAAAATGTATTTTTAAAAGCATGATACCAAGGGTAAGGCATCTATAACACTGTCACTGCCTTCATACTGTTTATCCCTAATGCTGTCTCCTAACGTCAATACTTTTAAACATCCCAGCATTCACATTTATGCAGATGCATTGTATGAATATTTTAGGATAGAAACATTGCTCCATCAGCATTCATCGCATCCTTAATTTTCTCTCCTATTGCAGTTTAGCGCACACATATATATAGCCACCAGAGGGCAGAAATGTTTAGCAATGGCAAGCCTGGTTTATGACTGCAAGTCTGAAGGCTAAAAACGACAAAATAATAAAAACTCTGTAAGCCAATACACGGATTGTGGAATTATTCACATTTGGTAGGAAAACCCAAATGTTCTTCTTCAAAACACATCTATTATGTGACATGTGAGCCCCATCTGTCTTGACAAAAGGGCTGAGCCTGATACCTCTGGCACAGAAAACATTACACTATTGTACATGATATTTATGATCTACAGTTGGTGTTCTGTCTTTGGTGAAAATCTCACCTTTGTAGCAATCAAAGCTCTGATATAGTGCAGCATCCCTGTTGGCTACATGATGTATAACTAACTAACCATCACTGGTCCATAATTCTCAGGCAATTTCTTGTTTATTCTTTAAGATACTGAACAAACCATTGTCAAGTCTATTGCAGCTTATGAGCAAATGAGCACCTTCATTTAGTTGGTCATTTGGAAATTCTAGCTTAAGGTGTCCTTAGCTTTGGTCACCACTTTGTATTTACACCAACTCTTTTAACGTAAGTAAAAATTATCATATTTGAATGTCAGTGACAAAAAACTAAACAGCTTGATGAAGCTTCATGATTGGTTAAAGTGCAGGTTAGTGGACTGTTCTGTATGGATTGTCAGGTGATGTGCAAGGTCATTGCTTTGAACTTCTTAACACAAAAATAGGTCACAGAAGCTCCACACCAATGGGCCTCAGTAGGAAATGTGTCTTCAGTTGAAAAACATAGAATTGAACCACATTTTTGAGATAGAACTCATAAAGTTCACTCCAACTCCCAGCTCCTGGCTCCTTTTGTGTTCATGTCATCAGCTTCTTTCCAATAACAGCTGGAGAGATTCATGATTTGACAAACTCTGCCCACAACAAATCAATGTGGTCATGAAGGAGGTGGAGGACGTAAACTTTTGCACTTCATCTCATCCAGTGTTTTCCAGTACTTGAAGTTGTCTGACAGGTGCTCCATTAGACCAGGCAGACTTGCAAAAGCTAAGAGAATACAGCGGCCATGTTAGTGTTTTTTTTTTTGACGCATAATATTATTATTACAAAGTCACCAAATACTGGTCCTGCTTTTGCCAGTGCAATGTACTGTGTATTCTCTATGTTAAGTGTCTGTGGGGAAAACTATGCTCTTTTCAACCCTTTCCCTTCAACCCTCGCATTTTGTTTATATGGTCATTTCCGCTTGCGGGTGACCTCGATTTCTTCAGAGGTCCGTTTCAGCAAATAAACCGATAATGACTTTTCTGAAGCATGTGTCCTGTTGTTATGCCAGTCTGTCTATATGTCCAATGTTGATAGTTATTTTAAACCACTATTTTGTTTTTCCCTCAACTGTCCCCATCTCCAATCCGCTGGCATTTGGGATTCTTTCCGTGACATCATTGCTATGTTGACAGTAAACAAGTTTCCTCCTGGGGAGACTAAACCAAAGAGCGATTCAGTGGGAATGGGGAACAGAAGAGCTTCAAACTCCATTCTAATTTTTCACACCCCATTTCCTGTATTCCCCTTTGCTATTGCTACAAGACCAAATGAACACATCAAGTGAATAGCTGAATGGAAATAGGTTGGTGAAACCTTGTGTATCTATCTTAAATATTACTGGTATACAATAGCTTAATAAACCACCCAAGGACTAAATTATATTATTATAAAATATATTTTGCCAGTCATAAACAAGTATTCTAATGCCTTTTTCTAACCTGGATACATGTAGATAATGCAATTGTAAAGGTCAAATCATTAAGTGAAAGTGAATTTTTTGAAATGAGTTTGTGTAAATTTATTGAGAATTTTCACCCTTTTGCAAGTGCATAGTTCCATAGAAGTTAGATTACTGCTGGTTTAAATATGACATATTCTAAGGGTTCTATGGAATAGAGAGTGTATGCATGTGGACTGTGGCACATACCATCCCAAGCATCAAACATGTCTGTGATGAAGTAGTCTATGAAGGAGATCTGAGATTTTGGAATACTGCAGGTGTTTCTGTCAAACACAGGCATTACAACTGGCAACCCCAGTCTCTTCTCTTCATCTGTCTATTAAACAAAGAAATAATAATAATAAACTACAGAACAACAGTCTTGTAATGTGCAGACTAATAGTAGTGGACAGACTTGTGCAAAGTACTCCTCTGAGATTCGTCCTGCCCATTCGATGCAGAGCTCCAGTGGTCGACAGGGATTTGCCACGTCTGCACACTTGATGAGCATTCGCTTTATCAGCAGTCTGTTCTCTGGAGAACTCCTGAAGTTCATCTGGCCCTCACAGTCACTGTTTACACTCTGTAGAGACACAATCAACAAAAGTGCATAAGTATTCATCATCAGGTTTAAAATGCATAACAAACTACAGACACTCACACTCGTGCTGGTCTCCTCTATAGCAGCCATGGGCTTATTGATGCTATTCACAAACTTGCTGACATGCTCAAAGTGTCTGGTCATCTCTGTGGCCAGCACCATGTCAATGATGGCTTGTCTTAAGGTCCGGAACTGATTTCTGTAAAGAGTGGGGTAAATGTTTTGATATAAAATGTTTTGTGGGTTATTTTTAAAGAAACCCTACATTCCAGTTACCTGTCAATGTTTTTAAAGATGTTGTTCTTGCCATCTCGAGCAGTGAGCTGGAAAGCTAGTGCTGCATGATGACTCTCTAACACAGCGGTGTCATTATAAAGAATGGCCAGTTCACTGCTGGCATTACACAAAAAAGAGTTTGTCCTGCCAGGATGGTCCACATCGTGCACTGTGGCTGCTATAAGAGCTGCTACCTCATCCAGCTGGTCCAGACTACTCTGAAGACACCATTGAAACACAAGGTTAGAATTCAACAGTTATGATCCACAGCAAATCAAAAATAAAATTTTTGTCAACTGAACAAAAGTTTAGACTGATGCTGCTCATCCTAGTGGCTTCTTCAGTTCTTCTCAGATTGCTGATGGAACACTGCCTTGTATGTGCCTGATTTAGCATAATCGCTCATAAGATCACCCATTAGGGGTGATCTTAAATATAAATATATGTTAAATACGACTCAGGGATAGTCATATTTAACATATATGACTATCTATGAGTCATATTATGGCTCAGGGATAATTCACACTTTGAGTAGTTCAATAGACCTAGCTAACAAACAGAAACTGTAAACAAACAGGTGTGTTAGTTTCAGTGTGGTTAGCTCCTTCCTTCAGGCAGATATAAGCCAGTGTCCACCAGCAATCTGGCTAGAACTGAAGAAGCCGCTTTGAGTGGTGAAACGGTTTCACTCTAAAACTTTTGTCCAGTTGACAGAATTTAATTTTTCTTTGCTAGGATAATACCTGGACTGCACAGAGATTATACAGACAACAGTTACGTAATAAGAAGCATGCTGTTATTGTCTTAACCTTCACTCTTTCTGTCCGAAGGAAAAAGGCAGTGGCATGTAGCACATCTGCTGCGTGTGTGGAGTTGTGATAAGAATTTGACGAATGGTAGCTGGCCTCAATCAGCTGTAACCATGAGCGGAGTGTGGCCTCTGAGCAGTTCAAGAAATCACATACACCAAAGCTGGTAAAGATCTTCAGACCAAGGTATGTAAGCGGTCTGTACAGAGTATATAATACACAAGATTATAGAACATGACAGGAGCACTGCTATTGCACTGGTACATTGTCCATCATTATACCTCTTATGTGTGGCAGCTTCCAGCTCGAGAATATTAAACTCCCAGCATTCCTCATCATTGAGCATCTCAGCAATAAATGGGGGGATGTCGCTCAGGGTGACTGGAATATTAGCCAAGTGGCTCTGGCTGATATCTATTAAAATCACATAGAAATCAAGGTTTACCAATTGTAAACTTCTGTAAACATCTCTGTTTTAGACTTACTTTTGGAAAAGACATATTCATTCCCAGAAAGCTTTCTAAGTCCATCCTGTAAAAGACAAAACATAAAGAAAATATAAATGAAATATACGCTCTACTAACATTTCTAACACATTATATTATATTATATTATATTAAACTTTACTATATTTCTACTACATAAGTTGTATAAAGAAATTAACTAAAAGAGTGTGAGACATCATTGGCTCTAGTCAAATGAAACTTATCAAAGCTAGCAGTTAGAGGAGTGAATTTTGAGCTGAGTTCCATATAAGGACTAGGAATTTATTTACAGACAAAATAGTGAAATAAAAACACCAGGATCATGGAGAGTGAGTTAATACATTGTAAGACCAAAGGAGGAGCATAAAAGCAGCAGTTACAGAGAGAGGGGTGATTCAATTGAACTGAAAGAGCCGGAGGCGCTCCATGCGGACATCCTATGTGAAATACAGTGGCTAGTGTGTCAGCTAGATCCATTTATATATACTATATACTAAGACACAAGATAAATTCACCATCTGTCTACCACCTAACACCATACAAAATAATGAAAACTTTCCTTTGCTCATATCTTACTATAAATATGCATTGTTCTTTGGCTTACACTCATGAGGCCCCCCACCAGGTCGTTGGTGTGGGGATCATCCTCTTTAGAGGCCAGCTGAGGTGAGTACAGCTCTGTTGTCCTGAGGATCTCTAGCACACGGTCCAGAGCCTCAGCAACTGTCACAGGACTGCTCTCCTGGGCTGCATTTATGATATTTATCACCTGAGGAGGGGGAAGAAAAGCCCCTAATCACTGCTAGAAGAGCAAACACAAAGAGCCCACTGCTAAACATGCCATAAGATAGAGCCTCTTTCTCCTCAAGTGTCTTAGAGATGTGCATGTGATGTTAGAGAATGTGGTCTGAGGCTCAAAGGCTTTTGAACACACACAAGCATCACAGGATGCTAACTTAGCTTTAAAATGAGTCAATATGAACAGTCCAAAGCATATTATACCTTTGGACTACAATGAAATCCAGGCACTCCAAAGAAGTAAAAGTCACACAAGCAAAAATATAGTTAAAAGGCCTTTCTTTAAATGGCTAAAGCCAACATGTTTCGACCATGACTGGTCTTAGTTGCAAATTTTAAAACTTTTTTTTTTTTTTTTTTTTTTGGAGTGCCTGGATTTTGTTGTGTCTAAAGTTTTGAACCTTTTTCCAAGAGCATCCTCTACCTGTTCTCACTGATTGAAACACTTGCAGCAAACAGCCACATTTTTGTTTTGTTTTTTTCTGTATATATTATACCTTTGTTCACTTTTGAATTACTTTTAACAAGGTTTTAATACTGTGTGTATGATTTTTGCTTAAGAATATGAAATAGTTACCTTTGTTATGGGAGCCTCAATAGTCATGGAGTGGATTCTGGCAACTGAGGAATATCTTCTGTTTTGTAAAGCTGGGAGCTGTAAGTATCATAAAAATGGAGACCACCTCTGAAGCTAATGCCACATGTTGGCTACTTTTGTTAAATAATATAATATGATAATAATAAATTAATATTTATAAACATACACAGTGCAACATGTTTTTCCAAAAATTGTGTTACCAATTAGGCAATTACCAATCATTACTAAATCAGCAAAAGTAGCACTGATTTTTACCATCACTTCCACGCGAACTGATGGAGTCTTTCCTCCTATCTCTGTGACGTAAAGAATAGCAATCTGGAGGAGAAATAAAACACTTAATGCAGAGGTTTATCATTGTTACTGTGTAACATTCATGCAATTATTACAGCTACAATAAATAAAAAGAACTTAGTACCTGATTGGGAAATCTCTCCACTGCATCTGTCCTCCCTGTTGAACTTGTGAATCTAAAAATCATAACATAGAGTGAATTTCTTAATTTCTCTTCATTTATCCAGGCTTTGAATCAGGCTCCAGTAACCACTTAGCAGTGATTTCTTTATCATAGCACTTAAAGTTCAATTCACTATACATATAAAACAACATTTATCACTCATTGGATGATGCATTGCACAAATGGCGATGGGCCCCTAATCAAACTACAGCAAATGAGTAAAAAGTAGGAACATTTTCTGTTATTACCTAGTATTTTAGATAAGATAAGATAATCCTTTATTGTCTCCCATGGGAAAAATTTGTCTTGGGACAAATTTAGAGTTTGAATATTAGCCTTAGGTTATATCTTGGGTGATTTTTTATTTATTTTTTGCTTGATTTGGCTACTTCACGCAAGTTCAAAAGTAACTCTTGTTTATTATGGCCATATCGGCTTGTCAAAACCTGATCCCATCAGATCTCAGAAGCTAAACAAGGCTGGGCCTGGTTAATACTTGGATGGGAGACCACTGGGAAATCAGGTACCACAGTGGGGCGCCAATTGCACAAAACTGTTGTTGTGTCATTAGGCAAGGCACTTCACCCACATTGCCTAGTATGAAAGTGATGTGTGTGTGAGTGATGGTGGTGGTCTGAGGCACTGATGGCGCCGGTTGGCATGACAGCTACTCTTCAGTCAGTCTGCCCCAGGGCAGCTGTGGCTACAATAGTGTCTTACCACCACCTGGTATGGAGTTACTGAATAATGCTCTGTAAAGTGTCTTTGTGACAAAAAATGTCTGTGAAAAGCATTATATAAATAAAGAACTTACTTACTTACTTACTTATTAATTAATAACACTTTTAAAGATGCACTATGTAACTTTCCTGGTAGGGTGTGGCCTGTCATGTTTATATCTCCATGGAGGTGTTATTGCATTGCCTGTATTCGTCCACTGTATGGCATTCATTTTATCTTACATTTATTCAATTACATGTGTATCTATTGCTCTAACAATATCTTAACATGAATTCTTGTCATGAGCTGCTTGTCTCCATGGAGAAGGAAAAATTAAACACCATTTTTACTTTATATTTTCCATGGAGACAAGCAGGTATCGACCCTTCACCAGAGAAGTTTTATAATGCACCTTCATCTTTGAGTATTCAATATAGCAAATAGATAAATAAGTTTAATTTCAAATGGCCATAGAAAGAGCCATAAAAGTAGTTTATGCAAAAATGAACAACATAAATTAATAATAAACAATGGATTGTGCATGAATGTGGCCTACATTAAAAAGGGCTCACACAGAAATCAGGTTGTGTGAGGGCTGGCATCTGCAGGTTGAGGGCCTGCAGATGCCAGCAGCTAACACACGATAAAAGTGCTGGTCCCTGTTCAGCTTGCCCTAAGTATAAATAGCCCTGGCGCCTGGCTGCTATCCCGTACAGTCTTTAGAGGGGGATCCTGCAGCTTAGCCGGAGCTTAGAGTAGTATGACGTTATTGGCCTGAAACTCAGCTGAGAGCAGCAGCACACCTGCTTTAGGAGAACTGGACATTCTATAGCACCTTCTACTTAAAACGCAGGAAGTACTGTACATATATGTAAAGGATAAAAGGAAGCTGGCCCACGTTTACAGGAGTAGTCAGATGAATGTTTTTTTTTTATTTTTTATTATTCAATTGTCTCTTTATGATAATAAATTGAGGGAAAACCGAAGCTAGGATGAGAGATGGTGTATTTTCTCATGTTTGAATTTCTGTTAAAATTTACCTCAAACATATAAATAAATGGCATCATGTATATTTTCAAAACACAGTACTGGTTGCTCAAAAAAACAACAGCATGTAACTTTTGACTTACTTGATTGTTGTTGTCATTGTGAGGTCTTTTAATTGCAACAAAATGTCTAATCTTTCTATTGGAGACAAGAGAAAGTTTAAATGAATGTGAAATTAATTTTATAGTAAGCACTTTTAAATACACGCTTTTGTCTTACCCTCCTTGGCCAATGACAGGTGTGATTTTCACATGCTGTTGTATGCTGTCTCCTGATTTCTTCCGGGCATGGTAAATGCCTTGCCATTCCTTTTGAATACATTTTAAGTTTATGCATGTAATTAAACGGGGAAATACTCAATATACACTGTACATACCTTTCCTTTTTTGATACATGTGTTGATACTGTCAAGGAGGTCAGCCCTATTCTTGTCACTCTTTGGCAGTTCAGTCAGTTCCTTCCCAATCAGTTCTCCTTTTTGATAACCCATCATTTGTTCAAATGCTGGGTTCACATACTGCAAAACAAGCAGAAGATCATTCCAATACAAATGAGCAACATACAACTGAATAGTGACCTGTTTGTGTGTGTACCTGAATGATGTGGTCCTCACTGGTGATCTCCACAGCTTCTTGACATTGTTCCAAAGCAGTGAAGATTGAGTTACAAGCCCTGCACAAACACTGTGTCAATAACCTCCTCAACAGCACTGTTTAACTGACTGTGGGAGATTACCTGAGTTTGAACTGGCAGCGCACCTCTCCATGTTCAATCTGTAGTAGTTCATTATAACAAGCCGACACACTGCTGTTCTCTACAAACCTCTGCAGACCACACAAGAGTTTCCAGAAAATCAAGAGACCAAAATAAGACAATTCTCTGCCATTTTTCAACACTGGGAAAAAAATATGAAGTAATTGCAGGTTGATTTTGAACCTACTCTGCTGAATCCTGCGCAGAGAAGTGGAAGAACAGATGGCTCATCCTGGTCATGTGGCCTATATGGCAGAATCATAAGCATAAGTGGCTATTTTGGATGAACATATTTTTATTGTTACAGAAGACTTACATCTGTGGCACAACAGCCAGTATGACAGTTTTTTCTGAAGGTTTTGTGGCACGAATCAACCTGGGGAAAAATTGACACAATAAACATTTCAACCTAAAATGCTCTGAAATTAGGGCTATATAGTAGTATACCCAATGTAACCTTTGTTACACATGCATGTTTATCAAATAGACAGACAGTCTATTTGAATACAGTGCCTAGAGTGAAAACAGTGCCTCCCACTGTCTGTGTAAATATTCACATATGTTAGCTAAAATATTTCTCTGTAGGATGTAATATTAATACTTATCACTAGATGGCACTCAATGGCCCACTACTGACCTTAGTGAATTTATAGCAACAGTCAACTTTTTATCACATACTTTGTAGTGTATGCAAAGCCTTTCAGACCAAAATGAAGTCTCCTTGTTTTTGTTGTTTTATGGTGTCCATCAACAAAACTAAAAACATATACTATAAACTCATACTGTAAACTCTGTTACTGTCTACAGGGTGTTGTTCTGCAGACAGATCTTTTTCCCTGCAAACCCCTGAAACAGAGTTCAAACAAAGATTCATGTATTCCTTTTAGTCAAGCAGTCAGCCCAAACAAAAATATGGCTCATACTTAAGCATTAAGGCCAAGTGGGAACTATCTAAACAAAAAGAGGCACAGCAAACCTTACCGGCAGACAGCTTCAGGCTCAAAGTAACGTGAATGGCGCCCATCAATGACAATAATCTCGTGATGCTTGTCAAGAAAACACTCCACAGCAGACTCTGGAGTCCGAGCGATGTTACATCGGAAGCCGGCGCGGTCACAGGCCCACCAGAAAGCATCACTCTGATTGTCCTCTTTAGCAAACACCAGAAGCACCTAAGAACACATACATCATTAGCAGTTAGAAATGCTGAGAAGGGCTTAGTGAATTAAAATGTGTACATCTATTCTGACAAACAAAGCAATAAGTGACAAACGTATTTATGTGCACATTATAATTCACACAGATATATTGTACCAGGCTGGAACTCCAGTTTTGATCACACACTGTGTTTTGACCACAATTACACCAGCACCTTTAGTACAATGGTGAGGAACAAAAAAACACACACAGTAAAGGCTTTTGGGCCATATCCAGAAGCAACAGCAGTCAGTTTTGGCTCACAGCATCCCCCTAACCTGCTCCAAGCACTACAAAGGAAGCAGAGACAGAGAGCAAGAAGAAAAATAAGGTACTCTAAAACAGAAGGCATAGAAAAATAATCAAGTTTACAATTGTAAAGACAAAGAAAATTACAAAAAAATACAAGATGAGTGCAGAGGGAGAAGTGGGATAGCATTGGTGAGTCCCTGTGAACAGCCTACACACTCTGATCCCTTACAGCTTGTATAACCATGGTGCTAGCATGTGAAATTCCACACACAGAGGACTCAGTCGACCCCAGGACATGCTAACCGCATGGATCTTTGACCTGCCACCCAAATATGTCCCCAAACTGAGAGATGCAGCCATTAGCATACACAGTGCTGTAATGAACATGAACAAGAAGACATCTGTTTTTGGGCATATCTGAACCCTCTATGGCATAAATGGAGCGTGTCCAAGATGACAACACTTTAAATTAAATAATCCACCAATACTTGATCCCAAAACGTAAACATTGTACAGAATCATTTCAGTTTTTTGTCTGATTCCTATCGCAAGCTGACTTACATTTGGAGGGTCAGAGGTTAATCCTGTGCATTTGTGAGATACAGTCTGTGGCCTACACTCAGTGAGGCCTGATAGGGCCAGTGCCATCTGGGGAGGTGCACCCTGTGCTAAGAAAAACATTTAGCCATGATGTGGAGCCAATTCAGCAGGTTTATATCATAAGATTGATTTATTACATGTTATTAATGTAGCATCGTCTTATACAACTTACTTTAATGTGTTTAGCTTTAGAATCTGCACAGTGTAAAGGCCCTGATGCTTTGATTATTATCGTTTCTGTGTAACCGATGGAATGCTTAGGTGAAAGGTAACAAGAGTTATCTATGTAAAAATGAAACAGTCCAGGACTGTGAGTCAACAGAAAGCCTGTGAGCCTGTAGAGAGGCGTACATGCAGACTGGTTTAGGTCATGGGTTTGGCACACAGCTGTACTACAGCATCAGTGAACTGCACTTTATGACTTGATGGGCCATGATTGTAGCTTTTAGAGCTTTAATAATATATATATATATTTTTTTTAAATCCAGCTCTTACACTTGCTTGTGTGCAAGAATTTTGGGTGATTTCTTTTGGCTTGATGGGGGTGGAGTAAAAAAGGAGGATGTATGTTTCTGTGTTTGCATGTTCTCCCTGTGAGTGGGAGAACATGCGGGGTCTTCTTTTAGGTTACTCCAGTCGAACTGAAGAAAGCATAGTGGCGTAGTGTATCATGCTAACTAATTTTGAAATGTGATATATTGCAGAACAGCTGCAATAAATAAACAGCATGAATGACATGAACACCTGAATGTTTGGTTTGTATCTATAGTAAATCATACAATTTATTTATTAAACCCTCTACAGCGCAAATGTTATTGTACTACAGAAAAATAACTAGTTTCTGACTGATACAAAGCAATATATAAGCAAAATATCCACAATGAATATTGACCCTTGAAAATTATTGCTCCATTAACATTTATTGCATGATAAGTTCATATAACAATGTGTATAAGTGTATAATATCATGACAGGCTGAAAGATATTACATAGGACAGATTTTCCTACTACAAAAGTAAAAAGTATCTTAGAATAGATAAATGCTTTATACATTATACACAGTGCCTCTGAGATCTCGTTAGTGAAGCGTAAATCAAAGCAGTCAATGCAGCATCAAGGGCTGAGATATGCGTTGCAGGACATGCAGCTCCCAGTTCCTTTAGGGGCTTTCACTGTTGCATAAGTGCAAATCTGGTTTGTACATCACCTAATCCCAGATTTCAGGATGAGCTCAGACAATCCCTGACTCAACCTGGACTGCTCAGTGTGGCCTAGACAATAACAATGCTACTACCATTTTAAATAGTACTATTAAATTCACAATTGTATTAATTTTAACAATATAATAGGGATTATAATCTGAAACTGTACAAATTGTGTAATAGTGAAGGGACACTATAGAAAATCTTATATCTCTCACATTATGGAGTAGATATTTCATTATTTAAAAGTTATTATTAAATTGTAACAGGGGAGTGGGGGCTATGAAATCCACCAGGAGCTCTGTAACACCTGCCCTCCACCCCCTCTCCAGCCCCTTTTGTTCAGAGCAGATGAGGGCAAGGGGGTCAAGGACACATCACCTACAAAGCAATATCAGTGTCTGCTCAAATCATGCTTCTCTCAAACCATTAAAACGGGACATAAAATATGTTTTTGGCTCTGGCAATATTTATGTTCAGATATGTGAGGCCAGTTTAGATTATTTAAGTACATAACTAGAATTAGATATAGCCAAGTTTCTATCACTTTTAAATGTATTTTTTATTTGAATAGGCCTAAACTATTAAAGTGAACATGCTCATACATCGAGAACATGAGCCAGCATCTAACCAGCCTTTCAGAAGCACTTAAATTTGTTGTCAGCTGAATTCATTGCATTAAAACACCGAGGGAACTCTCATTCATACTACATGTCCAGAATATAATGGGACATAAGTTTCTAGCAGAGGTATTTTAACAGTACAAATAGTACCAAAAATAAGAATTTTAAACTAGAATTCTAAATATTAAGGTTAATTAACAGACAAGCCAGTGGCCTTTAACACAAAAAATTCTATTCAATTTATTATTGTTTTTTTATCTAAATCTTTTTTTTTTTTTTACTGCAACAGGATTGATTGACCACCAATTTAACATTCTTCTCCTACCATTAAGATCACAGTTTGAGCATGTCCAGTGAAGGAGAACTTGAAGGAGATTAGCCAAGCATAATATAATATTTTAGTCAACAATGAAGAAGAATGCTTTCATTATGGACATACGATGTGGAGTAATTTTGGCAAGTACAAATTAATATTGAGGCTAATCACCTGAAATTATATGAATTGTTTTGACATTCTGAAAAGCAGGTTTTTTGCCTTAAGAGAAAGCCTATAAAGTAAACTCACCTGGATGGGCTCCCGAGTCAATCTCATTGGTCCCACACATTCTTCTGTCGCTGAAACCTGTAATAGATTAAACAATATAAGCCACCAAATGTAGTCCACCCAGTACAGGTGAGAAACTGGCAGTAAGCACTACATACCATTTTACCATTCATCTCCAGAAGCATTTTGGCATGTTTGTCTTGCACCTGCACTTCACAAATCTTGTGTCCTAATTTAGTCAAAAATACAGTCCCTATACAGCACATCCAAAAAAACGTTCCCACACCAACAAACTAGACAGTGTTGGTAGTGTTGATATAGCTACTCACACAGAGTATTAGCAACTAAGGACAGAGCTGAGGCTACATACCTATTTAAAAGGTATTAGGAGCCTGTCATGAACTCCCAGGTACATTTGCATAATCCGCCTGCAGGAGCATCCCACATGTGGCTGCAGATATCCGTGTTTTTGTTAACCATCTGATTCCAACACACTCGTAATCCACAAGCGTCACTGATCTGAGTAACCATGACACATAGTGTGGTCCACAAGTGTGAATGGCTGTGTGCCTCAGTGGGCTTTTGCAGACGGCAGTGATTCGTTACTGGTTATATCACAAGTTTAGAGTGGTCAGTATGCATCATATCGAACAATACTTGTTACTTATTTATAATTTGTTTTTATCTAGAACGTTGCAGTCATCGCTGTGGTAAAAGATCAATTTATTATACAAGAGGTGTAAAAACATGATATTGTGGGTTACCTCTCTGACTCAGGCTCAAATTTACCAAGTCAGGGTCACTGAAAATGTGTGGATTTAACGGTTTAACTGCATGTAAAACAGAAAAACATAGCATAACATAGGGCAACATCTATGAAACTATGTTATAGCTATGCTCACTGTCTGAACCTAGGCTGTTGCTGAAATTATATATAAATTGCTGAATTTAAATCACTGGAAACAATTAGCTTACATCTTTATTTCAATGATAAAACAAAGACATGCACTTCCTACAAAAGTGTGAATACAAATACTTGTTTAAGAAAAATAAACCCTTTATCTTAAACTTGATGGAAGTATATTGTGAAAACCAAAAATTTATTTTAGCTAAAAGAAGGTTGAGAACTTAATACCAGATTCAGTTTGAATGATCAGTTAGTCTGGTTTGTTAGCATATATGTGTCTCAAGTGTTTTCATTAACAGGCACTGTCACAATGCACTTATCTAATATTAATATAACTTGCTTGTTTTTACTCTCTAGAACTGGTTTACATTCTCTGGAAGTAAAATTGAGCCCATATAAATGATGGATTAGTAACATAGTTGGGAAGATGAACAGTATAGCTCCAAGTGAGCTGACAAACAAGAGTCTTCTGAGGAAAACCAGCAGTGAAATCCAGGAACTATGAGAAAATAAAACAGCAACAGTGGATCAGGAGTACAGTCAAACACAATCTATTTCAGCTGCGTGGACAACTAAAACAGTTAAAAATAGATAATAAATCAAATAAAACAACAAGTAAAACTGAAGAAAGCATGTATATGAATGTATACAAGTTATATAAGTTAGAATAACAGTTAATATAACCTAATATATAGGCCCATATATATGTTATGGTATGAAGAAGACATGACATTGTTTGTGATAAGTTATGAAGAAGGCCAAAAACTTTGCCTAAGCATCTAAAGACACTTCTCAGGTAAAATCAGAGCATAACAAGAAATACTCATTGTGCTGTATTTTAGATGAAACATAACACCTCAAGGAAAGTTTTTTAAAGAATGATGTTTTTATTTAGACTAAATAAATGAGCACCAGATCTTACAATCTAGTCCATTTTTATTGGGAAAAGATATTAAAAGAACATATTATGATTATTATAAACACTATTCAGTAGCCAATTATATTCAGTCAAATTGCAAATCTCTACCTTATCACAACATTTTTCAACAGTTTTCAGTTGTATAAGGGGTATATGCAGATCACAAGATAATCGCTGAGCTGCAGGTTGTCACAAATGTTTTGTTAATTTAAATTATTATTTAGTATGTTTGTTTTCATTTTTGGGTAAATCATTGGAGGGCTGGTTCAACTTGAATGGTAGGCCTGATCCCAATCCTTCCATCAAGGTCTGTGGACATGTCCTTCTGCAGATGTCCCTAATCTGATATTGGTAAACTATTGTTTTTCAGTCAGTGGTGAACATGAAAAAATGCTAAGTGGTGTTAAGGGAATGAGTGCTTTCTTATAAGTGTTAAATGTGTACAATAGCCTGCAGCCCTGTCTGTACAGGACTCCATCGTCAGCTCCTTCACATGTGACTGTTTGCACCGTGCCTCACTAACCAGGGGGGTAAACAAATGCCCCACACTAGAACAGGAGCCCTCTGCATTATCACAGTACTGCAGGGAACTGCAGCTGCTTTAAGGAATAAAAGGCTTCATTCATTCTATTCATTATGTGTGAATGACGAATCATGTAAAGGTTTGTGGCTGGCAAAGCCATGATAATCTTCAGCCTGTGTTGAAGTGATTTGGGTAAACATCTAACATTCTGAAGAGTCAACATGTGAGTATACTTGCCCCAAACACTGATGCTTCTCTTCATAAAGTAGTTTTAAAAACTGTCATCTGCATGAATGTGCTTGCATGATGACAAGATCATCTGCTTCTCCACTTCCTTGGAAAACACACAGCAATATCCTCAAGGGCTCCATCATAAAGAAGAGCAAGAGTCTGTTCTCATGTGCCTCAAGAGAGCATAGGCCGACAAGTATCACAATGGAACTAGATCACAAGACTCATAGACACTTGGTAGGGACTCTAAATAGGAGATCCACATTATGGTGCAAAAATGTTTTGGTCAAATACATAGGCTATAAGAAATATAAGGTCCATATATATGGAAACAGACAATAGTTCCAATAGGCCTATCAACTCATCAAATATGTTCCATAATATTTAGTTGATAAGTCTAGTGTTTGATTAGTAATAATGTCCTCGTTAACCATTGAAAACCTGATAGTTTTATTTTCTTTTGGTAGGCTCAGAGCTGTAAAGGGTCTGGGCCATACAGTTGGTCTACCATGAGGGTCCACTGACCAAAAAATGTTTGCAGCCAGCGCTTCTGCCTGGTGCAGATGGACTACAGTGGTAAGAATAGAGCCCTATATATGAGCTATCACAGGTAGTAGACGATATCCTACAGTCTATCAGAAAACACAAATGAGAATGACCGTTGGCTGAAGCCCAACTATTGATGTAACGTGTCGAGACGAGGTGTCATTTTAGCCAAAGCATTCCGCTGATTATAGGTCAACATCGTCTAGAAAGGCCTTGGTTACTGATACTGATGCTGCCGTTCATGAATCGTACCTTGACGCTGGTGTGGCTGGTCTGCGTCTCGGCCTCGATGCGGACGTGCGCACTGCTGTTGTCTTTGCGGTCCCCGCGGTAAGAGTTGTTTCGCGAATGACGGTTCTGATAAGTGATGACTGAGGGAATGGTTTCGGCAGCATCCGTCTTGATGAAGAGCCCGTGCAGCGTGGCAGCAGTGCCCTGGGAGATGGTAGTGGTCTGGTGGGGAGAGTTGGATTCATCCGAGTCTCGGCAGTAGATCACCCCGCTCTGAGAGACGTGGATACTGGGAGCGCAGCCCATTCCTCTGTGAAACGTGGGCCAGAGCCCCCTACACCGGCACTCGTAGCAGCCTCCTCGTCCCGCGGTCTACTCCTCGCGCCGCGGAGTGTAGGCTACATCAAGGTCTAGCGGCCAACGCTTCCCTTTGCTATGTCCTTTGCTCTCGGTGTCATATTCAGACGCGATAGATGATGAACCAAGTCTGCTTCACCTTCGCCCGTGGCCCGTATTCTACTGTGCCGCCCACACCCACCGCTCTGAATAAGTCTCCACTAATCAACACAATTATGCCAATATACATGTATATATATACATGCATAGATATATATACATATAAGTAAGCTATGGCTGTCCTGCTCATCACCCCTGACTTCACATCCGGCTGATCCCTGCTAACCTCCACTGAGTATTCATTGAGAGAGCTGCCTTATAAAAATCACTAGTGACTTGCTGATCACTGGCCACAGTCCAGCCCCCCAGTCTTTAAGCCTATGACATTAGGCTAGGCTACATGTTGACCCATCACGTCACATGTTTCCAAAATACTAGGCTATAGTCTGTATAGTATGAGCATTATTATTATTATTATTATTATTATTATTATTATTATTATTATTATTATTATTATTATTATTATTATTATGTAATCGTGTAGTATATAATAAATAATATTTATGATATTTTTATGGCTTTCTTTGGAACATTTAAGGCAAAGTAATGACAGTTCCCAGGAACCAACCATCCACCAGACAAGTCAAATCTCTAGAGTATGTTACTGTATGTTAATAGTATGTTACTGGTACTTAAGGGCAATATCACCTATAATAATAATGATTTAAAAAATAGGTCCACATGGGCCTTAGTCCCCTGGGATTGAAATTCTGAATGTTAATGTGATGCCATGATGGAGGTAGGGGATGAGAGGGGGTCCTTGGAATATGGACTTGGACGAATAAGTTAAAAAAAGAAAATGTTTGTAATATATGTAATTATCTTGTGTTATGTTGCCTACATATATTATACAGAGTAAAGTAGTTTAAATACAATCAAAATTATTGTTAAAATGAGTAACCCTAACTATTGTGTCTATTAGGCCAGTGGCTCTCAAGCTTTTCACACCAACTAAGCTTTGTTAAATATTTTGCTTCCCAATACCACCGGGGCTACTCTAACACTAACTGGTCATGGCAAAAATTTGTCCCCAAACTAAATTTGGATGAATATTTGGACTGCATTTTAACATGCACAAGACCCAGCTACACTACTTGAAATAATGGGATATATTGTGAACAGCAGAAGTATACTACCAGAAAAAGTCTACACTATTGTCTAAGGATCACTTATTAGTCTAATGATGGTTTAGGTTTTGTTGCTTACAAATAACCAAGAAACAGAAAAGCTTGGGAGATGTTATTTATTAACTTTTGGTGGTTCATTGAGGAATTCATTTTTTCAGGTAAACACTTCATTCATATTTTTAACTTGTTTACCTCACTGTTTCCTGAAGACTGGGTCGCGACCCTCAGGTGGGTGGCAAGAGATTTTTTTGGGGTCGCCTTGTCACGATCACGAGCATGTAGGTCCGCAATATACAGCTGTATACATGGATCTTTGACCTTATCATCATTCTGGAGAGGCATTTCATCAGAATATCTTGTCCTCAGTAAGACCAGTATATCTATGCTTATCCCTTTCACTACTACATATATGTGTGAATTGGGATTTTCTGTTCTCACAAAAATGCAGACAAAGCACAAAACAGACTGAATGCTGCACCTGATCTGTGTGTTGAGCTCCCCTCCTGCACCCCAGACTAGAACGCACTACAAAAACACAGACAAGCCCACCTATCTTATTAGAAATGTTGAAATGTAAAGACATGTTTTGTATAATTTCTAATCTCTAATGTAATTATGTATTTACTTACTTACTAATGTAATTATTTTATTGACTATTTTGTTTCAATATTGCTGGTTCAATTGAATGTTGAAAAGGAAAAGAAATGGGCTACTGTCTAAATAAGCTACTTATGGAGACCTTTTATTGCTGGTTCAATGACTGTTTTTCATTGTTTAAAACTTGAGTAATACTAATTGTTCAGAGAGACACAGTCACTCAGTCAACAATAAAATATCCTCATTAATGTTCAATAATGGTCAAATACACCTTTATTTTGTGATTTATGAATAATAGTTTACACTGATTTACCTCACTGGTGTGGTGTGGACTTATATATTCCAAGTCACATTGCATCGTTGGCCCTAGTGCACTGCTACTACTAGGGCAAACTGACCCGGCGTACAAGGCAATGGGAGCATACCTATGGTCCCATAGGTCTGTTTTCTCACATTTAAAATATATATTTTTAGAGTAAATCCATAACTCCTCACCCTGGAACTAACCTTAACCAGAATCTCAAAACCAGGCCCTAATCTTACCCTACAATTCAAACAAACATGGGAACATAGAGCTGTGTGAACATAGAGCTGAACCCCATGGGGGAATAACTGTAAAATGTGCCTTTGATAGCAGATTTTTGCAGGAAAAGTGGCTAAAGTCTTATTCATTAGCTCTCAATAGCCTGATGAATAAGACTTTAGCAATGTAGAACTGCCAAATCTATACTTAAATATAATCAGCAGTATCATGTTTTAACATACTATCTTAAAATTATGTGATTGTGTGTTTCATGAAATTACATGATGACAAAGTTATGTGACAGTATCTCAAAATTATTTAATAGATTCATATTAAATACAAAATTACATAAAAATATGTGACAAGAAATTATCATGAAATAACGTTATATGCAAAAAGGGGAAGGATGGAAACAATGGAGGATTTATTCATATTTGACTGTTTGTATTGTGAGATTTTCCAACCCAAGGTAGTAGATGTAGTAGTAGTAGTTGTAGTAGCAGTGGTAGTGCCTCTAGGATTAGGACTACTAGGATCAGGAGTCAGTTTCAGTGTGGAGATGGAATCGATGGAGCCGCAAGCGCCCCCATGCTCACTTCATATATCGAATGTGGGTTAGCTATATTCATACAATTAATGCATTAGCAACAATGAAGTCAGTTTTTAATTCATTTTCCCCATAGGCCTTTTGAAAAATTCCAATATTAGGAACTCAAAACCATAGTAGAGGCTAACCAACTGCATGGTATGAGAAGGCTGAGAAGGTAATATATTTTAATAACTTTAAGGTTTACAGAGATTCAGAGATGAATTTCTGCTCACCAAATATAGCTCTAAGCAAGCTTTGAAACTTTTATTTTTATTTTCACTTTTCTGGAATGTCTATGCCAAAAATAAATGAGAATTTTATTTTCAGAACTGGGGGTGAACGTCATATGCTATCATACATTTGACTGTAGATTTTTAAAGGTTTAGTGTGATAGTAGCCTCAATTGGGCTGTTTTTGTTTTGTTTTGTTTATTGTAAGCAGGCTTGCATATCCTTACTTGGCCTAGATGGGAGTTGTTTCCATGAAAATGTTATTCATTTGGTTTTAATCTTCCACATTATGGCATAAAATCTATCTCCATGTAGAATGTTTTAATCTTTTTATTGGAATCATGCAGGAGACATGCCACCTCCAGAAAGTTATTGTTCTTTCTTTTCTTTCTTTCTTCTTTTTTTAACGAGTGTTTTGAAGTTCTAACATCCTGTTATTTAAAAACTAACGTTGAAAGTGGATTTTCCACGCCTTGTACAATACTACATTTTCCAAAAGAGGGCGCTAGAAGTACAGCTGCACTGAGGACTAACCATAGACTGTATAACGATGGTGGTAATATTAGTGGACATAATAGAAGGGTCATTTGAAGACACGTGTTAGATAAATAGTAATTATTGTAGACAATGTCCTAATTTGTTTACTTTGATTTGTCTACTTGCTACATTGGTTTTGGGAAATTCACTAATGTCAGAACAACCCAAACTCCAACAAAAACAACCAATGCAGGCAAACAAGGCCAGGCTTATTTCAGGGCAGAACAAAGCATCAGAAATTCTAACACCTCAGTAAAACAGTATCTGACTACCTTTGTAACCTTTTCTATGTTCACAAAATAGGTTCTTTTCACTTGGCATCACAAAATGCTTATTTAAATTGAACAGGAGGACAGCTGCCTCTCCTTGCAACTGTGAGGAAAATCATTTGCAGTGCACTCAGAATTATCTCACAAAACTCCAAAACTCTGTAGTTTTGTAACTGGACATGTATCATGAACACTATAGAAACAATTGTTGGAAAAATTCTAAAAATGGACTGCAAATGTTGAATGAGCTCTTGCAGTGGAAAATGGATTTCAGTCCCTTCTGCACTATTTGCAAGAATTTGTAGCTTATCGTGTTATGACATAAGCAGGTGTCTCTAAACCTGAATTATACGGAGCTGAACTGAATCCTTTTCACACACACAAGCCAAGGCTACTTGTGTGCCATAGACAGCTTTTATATTCATGTGTCATAACATAGTGGAGCAAAAGAAGGTTGAATTGTTAAGGGCCCTACCTGGACAACTGAAGGATAGGTTATTTGCAAAAGTAATATACTAAAACTGTAAAATAGACCTATGAGTAAGCAAAATAGTAAATATACAGTCATTGGAAAACTTATTTAAGATCAGAAGAGCATGATCCATAGCTCATAAAATATTAAATTGGCTCTCAAACTGCAGCGTACATACATTTCACTAAATCAAAGCTCTATGCTCAACCTATACCATGGCTCTAATCATAACAACAATAACAAAAAAAAACCAAAAAAACTTCCCTGCCTTTTACTGTAACTCTCTCAAAATTGTGGGAACGAGCTATGGACTCCTCAAAAGTGAGATTAAAAAGAAAAAAATAATAATAATTTGAGTAGTATCGCTTTATATCACTCAAATGGTCTCTCAGGTAAAGTAAGGCATTAAATTACTTTTGCTTACTTTATACAGTGTGAATAGTAATTTTCTCATTCAACTAGAGCAGAGTTTAAAAAAAACTTCAACAGATAAGGAGAGTAACTTACTGTTGGAATCTTCTCACCTTAAATAAAATGAATTTAGTTGAAATATTATGAGCATACTGTACACAATTTATTCTTCAACATACATATACTGAGGTCAAAAGAGGAAGTGAAAGTTGACTGAGTAGTAGCTTTGCTGTTTATTGTTTTGCAGCCGTACACCAACATGTATTTTCTGTTTTCTGTGGCTTCTATCAGTGTAGAGAAAGAAGAAATAAAGAAGTGTTTTGTAGTCAAGTCACAACCAACCCTTTTACATGTATGTTGGGATTCATATGTGGGAGCTCTTATCTGCTGTCTGAATTCATTTGTCATTGTCTTTAATAAACTCTCGACAAAACACATTGCATGTATCTGCTCTTGTCTTTCTGAAGAATGCAGTATGTGGGTCACCTCTGCAGTGAATATATGTATTCATTTATTAATGGGTTTTTTTTTTGTGTTTTTTTTCGGCGATGGTGGCCCTTGCCCCGGGCGCGCACCGCCCCCCCTGGCGAATGCCGGGGACTCGCGACCGCCCCGACACACCGCTCTCTCTTCCCGACAGCTCCCGAGGCCAACAGCTCGTCCACCAGAAAAATGACATACTGTACCTTTAAAATTGGATAAAGTGAATGATTCTAGAGACAAACTGTAGACACTAAGCCACAGGTCACGTGACTTTAATGGTCAAGAGCACTGTCACACTAAGACTAAGTGCATGAAAACACATCCTCCACCAGAAAAGTTACATAGTGTGCCTTTAAATTTCTCAGAAGTGAAATTATTCTAGAGGCCAAAGTGTAAAACTAGGGCATAGGTCTTACTGACTTTTATGATGAGGAGTACGTCAGTGAATGTTTTGGCAAAGTTTTACAAATGAATGTAAAACTAATTTTATGTCACACAATAATAAATTGTGTGCATTCATATAGGTGGCGCTGTATCCCTGATAACTGTATTTGACATATCAATGGAATAAGGGTCATGCAGTGTATAACTGATAGAAATGTCATCACAGTCGGACAAAACATGTGCATATAATAATTTTTACAATATTTTTTGGAGGATTCTCTGTGCCCCTGCTGGCCAACCGTGAAAAATACACCATGACTGTAATAGACATTTTTGCTTATAATCATGCATAGAATTTAACCCCCGACTTTGGTCCAAGTCCGATAATGTTGACATTTCATGTCTAAGGTAGGGGGCGCTATACTGTTCACTTTTCATATGTTTTATAGTTTATTATATTCAGACCAATATCCCGCATTAGTGATTCAAATTTCAGCACAATCGAACTAAGCATGTCCCTGTAATAATTTTAAAAATATTTTTTGGGGGATTCTTTGCGCCCCTACTGGCAAACCGTGAAAAATGCATCATGTCCGTAGTAGACTTTTTTGCTTGCAATCATACATAGAATTTAATCCCCAAACTTGGTACAAATCCGATAATGTTGAAATTTCATGTCTATGGTAGGGGGCGCTATAGAGTTCATTTTTCATATGTTTTATAGTGTATTATATTCAGGCCATGATTAGGCATTAGTGATTCAAATTTCAGCACGATCGGACTAAGCCTGTGTGTGTAATTATTTTTTAACTATTTTTTGGGGGAGTCTTTGCGCCCCTGCTGGCCAATGGTGGAAAATGCATCATGTCCGTAATAAACTTTTTTGCTTGTAATCATGCATAGAATTTATGCCCCGAATTTGGTACTAATCCGAAAATGTTGATGTTTCACGTCTATGCTAGGGGGCGCTATAGAGTTCACTTTTATAAAATTTCATATTTCATCACATTCAGGCCTGGATCAAGCAATTGTGATTTGAATTTGAGTTCTCTAGGACAATGCCTGTGGCCGTGACAGGTCACCGAAAAAACAGGAAATGAAGGTGTTTTTCGCCGGCGTGCTACGGGCGAACCGTAAGGAGTATCCCAAAAAAAGTTCGCAACTTCTGTGAGTTCATGTCTGTAGATGTGACATGTCAAATTTGAGTTCATTTGGACCAAACCCCGGGGACTTGAATCTTTTTGTAGACCCCCAAGTCAAAACGGCGGTGAATGTTTGATCCAATATGGCCGACTTCCTGTTCGTCATAGGGTCATGCTCCAATTTATCTTTTGGCTTGTCTCATTGTTTTCTATCACTGTTCCGAATTTCGTTTCCCTGCGACAAACTTTGCCTGTCCCCACTCCCATAGGGGTCCAATTCTAGGCGGCGCTGTTGAGTCGGGTCACTCGGGTCATTGTTGCGATGCCCATTTTATCGAATTTTTCGGGGACTTTTCGTCCATGTTCAGGGGGTCAAAAATGCGATCGTTTGGTCGGAAAAGGGAATTTAAAAAAAAGAAACCGACGAAGAACAATACCCCTCGCCCCTAACTTTGTTAGTGGCGAGGGCCAAAAATGTTACTTTTTCTGAACTACCCTATACAATCTGTATCACCTTTTCAAAATGGCTCTCGGGCCATTAAGTGCTTTTCACAGAAAAACGCATTAATGACTCCACTTTACTTTTAAAACGTAAATTAATTCTGATATAAATACTACAAAGAGGTATTAATTCCTATGTGGTTTTGTCAGTCTGCACTTAAACTGCTTGGAAAACTGAAATAAAGATATATATTTATAAAGCTTGATTGTTAAATGGAATTGTATCCAAGTGATCAATGGGTCAAATAGGGGGCAAGGATTAGGTGTGTGGAGAATCACAGGTCATGACAAATGGTCTTAAATGGCATCCAGTCACCACTGGAGTAGGGCAGGTGGACATCTGAAATAGTGACCCATTTTAGGGAGTGGAAAAGACAGACAGCTTTATATTTCATTTTAAACTTAATTGCAGTAATGGCAAAATACGTTGTTTAGAACTGTGATTAGAACTGTGATAAAGTAAGACTGTTCATAACAAAACTCAACAGCCGGAGGATTGCAGTTCATCTCTACCTCACAAGATTTCAAACGCACTCTCTTCTCTCGCTCTCGTCACAAACACGTAATTGGCTGAAGTCCCCCCTGCGTATCAATCAGAGGTCCAGATACTAGGGGATATAAAGGGAGCGAGGGTAAGGGATTGCTTATCCTTGAATCAACTCCGCTGACAGCTTCGCGCGCGTAATGGAGCGCACCTTTAGAGAACAGTTGTTCTTACTGGTCTTGTGTCTATCTGCTCTCAAAGGAGACTCCAGGGACATCGAGGTAAGCCACTCTTTTTATTTTTCTGTTAACTTTCGCATAACTGAAAGCTTCGTGTTTTGCAGAATAACGAGATATCTAGGGATGATTTATATTCAGTTTTTAATCTGGATCTCAAGAGGGAAATTCCAGAAATACCTGAAGAGCTCATCTATCACCGAAGTTTGCGTAAGGCATGTTTTCTAAACTAAAAAGTTAATTACTTCCTGCTGTAAAACATCATACAGACTTTGTTACAGTTCAATCACTCGTTGGGTTTGTTGCTACCTGATTCATGCATGTGATTTTCGTGGTGCAGGTTGTCTGGACATGATTGCGGTGGAGGGGCAGTTCACCTTCACAGCGGAACGCCCTCATCTTAACTGTGCTACGTTTTTCATGGCTGAGCCCAATGAAGTTATCAGCTTAGAGTACGACAATGTGGACATCCACTGCAGAGGAGGGGATTTCATCACGGTACGTTGGAAAATATATAAGGGCTATATCATCTGAAGTGGAAAAAGTCCTTAAATACGCCATATTACATCAAGCTGAAACTCTTTAATGGGTCAGTGTGCTTTGTACTGATTGTTTAACGCCATGTGTTTGAAGCTTACTCTTTGATCTAAAGGAATTATGTTGCAGTAGAAGGGCAGGTTACAAATGAAGCGCTTTGCTTATAGCTGTTTAATTATCCACCTATAATAATGTTAATTAAGGCTATAATTTTCTAGAAAACTATTCTTTAGTGTCAGAGCCTACTAAATTATAAAGATTAAATAGTCTAATTCAGTTCATCTGAAAATCTAATCCACCTATTTTATTTGCTGTTCTTAAAAACTCTTAATCATTTAACCATAATTTAAATTGACTTGACATGCGTGTTGCGCCTGCAGGTATTTGATGGCTGGATGATGAAAGGGGAGAAATTTCCCAGTTCGCAGGATCACCCTCTGCCACTGTTTGAGCGCTATGTGGATTACTGTGAATCGGGTGCTGTGAGAAAAAATGTGCGCGCCAACCAGAACGTGGCTATGCTGTTTTTTCGCATCCACAATGAGGGCAGCAGTTTCACCATTACGGTTAGAAAGCACGTAAATCCTTTTCGTAAGTATTTTGTAGCCTTTTATCTTCAGTAATATTTTGTCACCTATGTCTATCACCATGAATGTGAAAATAAACTTTTTTCTCCCTCTCGCAGCTTGTAATGTCATCTCACAGTCGCCAGAGGGCAGTTATACGATGGTGATCCCTCAGCAGCACAGGAACTGCAGCTTTTCTATTGTTTATCCTGTGGAAATAGAGATCTCTGAATTCAGTCTAGGCCACTACAATAACATTGCTAAGGTTGGCATACTAGGATAAAGAATGTTTTAAAAGACAGCTCATTGTGTTATGATTTTTGTTAGATTTGGTCATAAAACATCTTGTGTGTGAGCAGCGGTTGTTGCCTGGCTGTGCTGAAACAGGAGACTTTGTGCAGCTGCTGGGAGGAAACTCCATTGACTCGTCCAAACTAATGCTCGTCACTGACCTCTGCATCTCATTCACTGACCCCAGTGAGTACCTGTTACACTTTATAATTACTACACTTCAATAAGAGTTAATAAAGCATGAATAAACGGCTGGGTTTCAGATGACATAACAACAGTCTACAGTCAGTAATATTTAATACAGGCATAGTGTTAAAATGCCTCAATTAAGGGGTTAGGACTTAGGAATCTGAATCCTTAATAATTTTTAATAAACTGTTTATTCATAATGAATGAAGTCCAATATATTATGTTGGATTATATTCCAATATATATTCCAATATATTTTGCAATATATGATAAAGTGTTACATCCTATCCTTTTTATGAACTTACTCCATTTGATCTTGCTATGTTGTAATAGCCTATATGGTTCATGTATTTGTTTTTTGCAGTCCAAATGAAGATCAGCTGTGAGAACACTGTGGTGAGGATGGTTTCTAGTGGGAGGTTCATAAACCAAGTATCCTTCAGTTACAGGCTTTTAAACAGCCAGGAGCTGCAGAGCTTCAAATCCAACAGCATAGATGACTTCTGCATCAGTAACTGACAACAGCCATCAATCTGTCATTAACACCAATGCTCAAAAACACACATGCCACCGTCTTTAAGTGTCATGTAACACAATTTTTAGAAGAAAAATGTGTTTTTGGACATCTTTTTGTATTTATTGTATTTATTCAGTGGTAATGTTAATCTATTTATATGTTATAAGTCTTTTTTGTTTGTTTGGTTTTTTTTTTACACTATCATGGAAAAAGTTATTCATAATGGAAATAACAATGTCATAATGTTTATTTGTATCAATTTGTATAAATCTACATTTTGTAATAAAATTTTACTGCATGCTAAAGCAAAGCAGCTTGTTTATATTGTCCTGATGAGCCAATGCACCAATGGAGGGCAATGGCTCTAAAAGATCAAAAGTATAATCAAATGCTAGGTACTGACTATAGCGTCTATATAACTGTTGTTTAATAAAAATCTATATAACACCTAGAAGAAAGATGCCTTAGCTTAGACACTTAAAGTGCTGATTAAATATTTACCATATATTGTACCACAATGTCTAATGACTTACAGTGTGATCAACATACAAAAAAAAATAAAAAAATGCATCAATCAGAGAGAAAACCTGTAACTCTTCATGAGGACGACCACATTAGACAGCAGTCTTTTACTTCAGGAAAGACCATGTTGCTCTATTATCTTGCATAGAGCTTTATAGTCACAGTATATGTAATGATTTTAGTCTGTATTTTTGTTAAAGGCTGTATAAAGTACTAGAATAGTAGAGTGAAAGACCCAAGGGACTCACGGGCAGCACAAAAGAGAGGCAACTTTCCTGACAGCTGTATTGTCAAATAATGAATCATCAGTGACCAATGGAGTTGGGTTGAAACTATAGTGTCTTCATTTGAGTTGGTGGTAGTAACAGTAGACTTAAATGTTTTGTAAAGTGTGATATAAAATCGAACACAAGATCTCTAGGCAAAACCCCTTCATCTCAAGAGGTTATTTCATGTCATAATATAATACATAACAAATGCTGACATACACTTTGATTGTTTGCTCCCAGCAGGGAAAAACGTCCTTATAACTACAAGGGGACCATATATTATAAATGGAATGGATAATGGAAACAACTCTTTGGGACAGAAAAAGTTATTTTATAGTTATGAATGCTGCAGACAAATTAAAAGACCATACTGATCATGATTGAAAAAAGCAAAGGTGTGAATATTTGTGTGATATTTTTTGTTTATTTTTAGGGATTTAATTTCAGGTTGAACTATTGCATGTTCTGTGATTTAAAAAGTGATGGGAGACTGGAGTGATGAAAAGCATCTTATTCCAGTGCACTACCTAATGGGGCTGGACCATGATGCCACCATGTCCTGAGGGAAAGTCCTAGAGCAGAGCAGAAAGCCTCATGTGGAGCTGAGTACATCTCACCTTTCCTAAATGCACATACTTCCATGTCCATGGGTTAGGCTAGGAGACAATAGAATCAGCTCAGACTCTGACACCTCAGTGACGCACATGGTGACGCCATGCTTAGTCTTTAGCAGATAAGGGCTTCAAGGGCTTTCCAAGACACTGTAAGTCAAAGCCACAGCTTTGGATGTAGTAAGAGGGGAGATATGAAAATGTATACAGTGCTGGTTTGAGAAGGAATTCATTTCCTCAAGCACTGCCTACTTTCCATACTGTGGTGTGTTTTGCTTAAACAATGGTGTTAAACCCTGTATACCCTTTGTCATCTCCCAAAATAACTCTATGACCCTCTATTTTATTATTATTATTATTAATATTAGGCCCGAGCGCCAGAGGCTGGCGAACGGCCTATTAGTATCGCAAAGCGATGCTCCAAGTGGCCGAAAAATGGGATGGCGCGACATGACTCGCCCGTAGTGACCAGGGACCCTCGCCATCACGTAGCAATGCGCCTGAGGTTTCCGAAAATGTATAGTTTGTCGGCCAAAAAAAAGCGGAACATTGTTCTCGCATCAGAATATTATTCTTTCTTCTTTCTTCTTATTATTATTTTATTTTTATTTTTTTCCTAACCAACTCACCCATTTTTCACCCACTGAACAATAATAAGAAGTCCTGGAAATTTTGCAAAAAACTCGCGCTTCCCTATGTTTTGGCTATTTACATTTTCCAAACAGAAATAAAATGGCTCGTCAGCGCCCTCAAACGACTCAAAAATGCATTAGGGAATACGAATGACACACACAAAAAATTTGCACGTACAATCATGAAATTTGACACAAGTCGATCATGTCAAGACAAGGAAAAAATATTATTACACCAACACCGTGTGCTCCACTAGGGGGCAGCAATATTGGCTTAAAGTTTGCTAAGCTTTTACAAACTCCTCCGAGGGCGTTCACCCGAACGAGCTCAAATTTGGTCCACATTATCTCAAGACGTGGAACATCAAAAGTTATCCACATTTTTCACACAAGTCTTACGGTCTCTGAGCAGTGAAGCAACAAAAAATGCACACAATTTAGGAGATTTACAAATTGCTCCGATTTGTTCAAACGAACTCCGATTTCAATGAAATTTGAAACAGTTGTTAAACTCTCTGCCCTGAAGCTACTTCATGTGAAAATTATTAATTTGGCGCATTAGCGCCCCCTATAGATTGAAACAAAATTTAATATGGAAGAAAATAATTTGTTCCCAAACAGTTGCTCAAAAATGTCTGAAATTTTGCACAAAATTCCATTTTGGCATCCTGATCCAAAATTCAATGACACCTATGTCATATTTTTTATGGCGTTGCCATAGCGATGACATAAACTCTCCATTCGTAAAATCTACAAATTCTGGCACAAAACTTTGGCCGATTTCACTCAAATTTTAATCGTTGATTGACACCCCGACCCTGAACAGATTTATATAAGAAAATCTCAGATGGGCACAATAGCACCCCCTAGGGAAATTGCATGGTACTGCAAACATTTACTTTGTTGTAGACATATAAAATTTGGTACACAGATTCATGACATGGTCTTGATCAAAAAAGTCAATGACGACCCCATGCCATTTCCCATCGTGTTGCCATGGCAACAGGCCAAACATCTGCCCTCGCCGATGGGACGCCCGACAAAAACTTTGGCGTAGTCAAACCAAATTTGGTACACAGATGCATCATGGGAACAGGAACAAAAAATATATTACGCGGTTGCTCGGCAACCAACAGGAAGTCAGCCATATTGGATTGATCGTGCGACCTGTCCTCGTATTTGAACGAAATCGTCCTAGGGCATTTGACCCAGACAGAATCATTCTGTATCAGCTAGACAAGTGGAACATTAAAAGTTGTTAAAAGCTTTTTAAAAGGTCAAACGGTGTTGCCGTGGCAACGGTGCAAATTTCTGGTTCGTTTTTGGGCCTCACCATCAAACTTCAATGACTGATAATTTGCACAAACTTTTTCCAATTTCACTCTAATTGTAATCCTTAGTTCGCACCTCAACCCTGAACAGATTGATAATGATGATTGATTGATGATTGATGTAAGAAAATACAAAAATGGGTGCAATAGCGCCCCCTAGAAAATTTGTATGTAAAAATAAGGTTTTATTTGTCACCGATATACAAAATTTGGTATCCACATTTGTGACATGGTCTCGATAAAAAAACTCAATGATGCTCACATCCCGTTTACATTGTGTTGCTATGGCAGCAAGACAAAATTGTATCCTTGCCAATGGGACGTCCTTACACAAATGTTGGTGTAGCCAAACCAAATTTGATAGCCAGATGCATCATGGCAATAAGAACAAAAATGTATATTGTGACCACGCCCCTTTACAAACCGGAAGTCCGCCATCTTGAATAATTTTTTTTGCCAATTTTTAAAAAATGCAGGGTTAGATTAAGACTTATAGGTTTAGGGTTGGGGCTATGGTTAGGATTACAATTAGGGTAAGGTTTAAGATTAGGCTTATTCGGGTCAGTGTGAAGTGTGGCGTTTGTGGGGCGTAAGCACGCGCGAGGGCCGATCATTGCCGCTTGCAGCTATATTTATTATATTATTATTATTATTATTATTATTATTATTATTATTATTATTATTATTGAGATTTTGGACCAGATGGATTTGGATTTTCTCCTAACATCAAACCAAAATGGACTATCACACAACTGTATATCAAATCATGTACACACGCTAGAAAATATATTATATTTGATTGAGCTAATGTAACTTGGTGGAAACATTTTAGAAAATATTTTAGTTAATTAGCAGTGAAAGAGTTTACTGCCTTAAAAGGACACTTTGAGTAAAAACATTTTCCGAACTACAAATGGTGACGTCTGCAGGAAATAAAGTATATTTGGTAATTTATTATAGAAGGGGGTGTCTAAATATCCACATTTATAAATTATCAAATGGTATTTCAGATTGATAGCAACCTTTTATAATTTGAACAAAAACATAATTACGGCATGGCTTCCTCCCAAGAGAGCCAGTGTGATTATCCTGCTCAATTACAGCCAATCACAGCCAATTTGCATTGTAACTAAGGGTTTGTGCAATCACCATCTGCAGCAACTATTGCCTCAGAAAAATGTCCTTACCACAGCTCACACTCACACTTGAAGATTGTTGGCCAATGCTTGGCCCTTATGGAATGGTGAATGGGCCTATCACTATGCTCGTGTTAGAGTAAGATTAACAGATACTCACATATTTGAGTTGTATTTTTCATTGATGGATGCAAAATTAATTACCTATGATTTACAAATAAATCATAGGACTGTGAATGTTCCTGATTGGCTAATCCACCTGTCAATCACACCCATCTGAACTCGGGGAGATTCAACAGTGTTTCATTGGTGACCAGACATGTAATTAACAGTAAACCAGGAACATGATTTTATGCAGCGATTATGCAATGGCAAAAGATTAGGGATTAGAAACAGAATGCAAATTACATTTTGATTTCATTTTGACACTGGGACTCAACAGCATGACTTAAAAATAAAATTTCTTTGCAACTAAAGAAATACATTTATTATTAAAAGATCAGAAGACACTACATACAGGCACAGAAACTGCAATTCATTCATGTTTTTTTTCAACAATCTCGATATATTTGGTCAATGTGTAATTTTCTTAGTGACCGACACCTAGGTTTTACTTAAGAGGCAAATTTTCAGTTGCAACAAATTGAATTTGAAACATACAAGTAGGTGCAAGTACAATATATGATTTCCCATCAGCCCTGGCATGGTGACAGGATATAGTGGCATGTCTATTTGTGGGTTTCAGTTACATATATTTTTTTGCAGGTATGGACACACTTTTGAGGACTTTTGACGATTCCTAAGATAGGATATATTGAAGTGTTAATTGCTACAGTCACAATTTTTCATCACTTTAAAAAATATGGATATTGTGGATCATTGAAAGTAATGAGTGTACATGAAATATAACTCGTGAACTATGCTATTTATTTTTAAATGAACAAAATATAGAACAGGGTTATTATTAACCAATTTGCAAATGTAAATGGTTGACATTTCTTTGCCAAAATCACAGTGAGAAGCCAAAGTACATGAGTATTGACAATATTTACTTAGATTTCTTCTGTTGCTCTTGAAAAAAATCATTGCAGGCCACAGTGAGTGCTGCCACCAGAACCACAAACTCATTGAAGTCCACCTCATTGTCTTTGTTTGAGTCCAGGTCATTCATGATCTTCTCCACCAGCAGAGGGTCTTTCTGGGACTACAGAGAAACATAAAACAGCCTTGTTATTTTGTCTACTAAATGAGCAAAGTGAGTTGCAGTGATGAAGATGATTCACACTTTTCTTTAAAAAAAAAAAAAAATGCTTTTAAGTAAGCCACACAGAAGTTATAATGCAAAAACTCTACTTATTGTAGTAAAACCTTTTAACAACATCTTGAACACCATTACAATTATTATTAAGTATTAAATTCATACAACAGTAATTAAATTCATTATCTAATTAAATTTCTTTGTTCGTGCAATTAATTGTAGTGGCTGTGGGGTTGTTACTCTTTGCTAAAGGATTGTTGTTCCTACTGTGAGGTGTTCTTGGGAAAGTCATGGTTAAATGCTTTGAGTGTCCAAGTAAAAAAAACAACAACAGAAACCCTTTCCATAGCAGTAATGTAAAGTCAAACCAACAAGATTACATTTTTTTGTAATAGTACTTGTAAATATTTAGTGCTGGGCTCTCTTTCCATTAGCCTGGTCTAACTGGAGTTTCTTCTGCCTGTTGGGACGCACTGACATCATAGTGGCTTGTCTATATTTTGCAGCAATGTGGGCCACTGATGATGATCACCTGAGGCTCTGTGAAAAGGGACAACAAATAAAAAGAAAAATATATCTCGAAAGCATGGCAGTTCATACTGGTATAGGCTATAGGCCGTTTTCAGTGTTCCTGGGTCAATCAAATAAAACTGCAGGCTTGTGCACTCTGCTATCACACAATGTCAGGAGCAGGGGTTTATGGGAAATAGCTTTATCTATCTCCTTCACCTCTGTCAGGTTTATTTTCCACATTATGATGTGAGTCGGATCAGCAGCAGCCATAATCAAACAGTGGGATAACAATCAGTGTCAGAATATTTCAAGGTCAAAAAGGACAATTCTCAAATCATTAAAAAAAAAAAAAAAAAAAAAAAAAAAAAACATATTTGGCAGCTGGTATTAAATTTTCTTTACAAGAGTTGTGTGTTTTACTTGGCGCATTAATCATTAAGTTGTTATTTAAATGATCAATATCAGTAACTTGTTCTTTAGAACATTTGGCTGCATAATTCAGAAAAGCACCAATATCTGTGCCTTTAGTTTAGGTCTATCCTGAGCTTTTGTTTTAAATTGATCTAAAATAGAATAAATTTGAAGTAGGTGAATGTAACTTTGCCAGAATATCACAAATATCAATTGTTTTTGCTAAATAGTAATAACAGTCATTTGAAACAGCATGCACTAATAAGCCTCTCAGCAAATTGTGGACTGATTCAACAAAAACTGTTTATTACCGTCAGGAAGTCCGTCAGCTCGCTATTAAGAAGTTGCTTTAGTTCACCCTTGTTGAGTTTGTATTTGTCACCATCATTTCCAGAATAATTGTAGAAAACTGTTATCAGGGCATCCATGGCTCCCTCAAGCTGGCTCGGCATCTTGGACGATTTTTAGCAAAGTTCTTGAAAAAAACAACAACAACAACAACAAAAAACTGAGTAGTATTTAAAGATACGAAACAGATTTGTTGTTGAAGACAGAATGGTTCTTACCTGGTTAGTGTCCTGCAGTTGAATGAAGAAGAGGACTTTAAGTGAGGCTTGTTTATTGGGAAGTGAGCAAGCTTAAGTGGACTAACTTAATCTTTTTTGCGATAATTAATTCCCCAGGTAAGGGAACCACGGGCAACTGTCTTCCTCTCCCAGACTGAGCTTATGCTAAGTGAAAAACAACACATGTACCAGTGTAACCTTTCGGCCTCAGGGGTATTGGTTTTGCCCACGTCAGGTATAATGCTGCATTCATGTGATTTAAGAATCTCGGAGATAGCAACGTAATCGTCGGACTTCCTAAAATCAGAGCGTTTATAAGAGTAGCACGTGCAGCAACGATTACTGTAGAACATACATTTGCATAACTTGATTATCTTTGCAGATTCATTGAAAAGTTGTGCAAAAAAAGTTTAGATGTGTTGTTTCTTGTTGGCAAATTGTGGATAAACTAATTATTTAAGATGTTTTTGCAAAGTTGTATCGCTGAGTACTTCATTAATTCAACAGAATCTGGCTGCGGATCTTTGATCTCTGAGGCTCTGAGGACGCTACCCTGCAGACCTCCGCCAGGATGCACCTCCACCGACATGTCCCTACTTTTTTCATTGCTTTGAGTTATAAACGATTTAATTACACTTTCTATCAGTTGCCTTAGGCCATTGTCCGTTAAAGGTCATTAAATGCTCGTTTTAAATGTATAAAGCGAAATACTTAAATCACCATTAAGATTTCATTTCTAATTTGAAATTAACTAACTCTGTGTTGTCCTCATGAGTTTCCGAGTTAAAATCCCGTTCAAGTTTTTCCGAGTCGAAGGTGGGATTTTCCAAATTTCCGAGATCACATGAATGCAGCATTTGCTTCCGAAAGCAGTAGCCTACAACAGGAGGCTAGTGTAGCTGTAGTGATTTGAGAAAAATGCCTTATTTTTTGTTGAGAAAAGAATATCGCTAGGTTAATCAGTGATACAAATAATGAACGCAGACACTAAAATCACATAGGTATGTAGATTATGCATGCCATTTTGTGAACTACAGCAACCCAGAGATTTGGTGGGTCAACTGAAAGAAAATTTACCCCTGAATTAGAAGAATATAATTTACCACAAATGAGTTGAACTATCTGTACATCTATATAATTGAGATGTATTAGCCTATTCGCATGATGGCAGTGTCACAGTGTTGAAATAGTGTCACGGTGTTAGAAATAGTCCAGCAAAAATAGTCTATAGGACTACTAACTGCATATAATTATAGACTACATCATCTATTTTTAGCCAGAGTGGCAGGAGGGTTTTCATTTCGAGTGCAAGTCTTCCCCTCTCTCACACTCTCTGGGCTCTCCTATGTGAGTGACATCGGAGACAGTAGAGAATAACATCATTTATCTAGGTCCCCTGAAGGCATCACCTCAGGGAGTCTATTCATTAAGTTAGCTTCTAAGTCCACCTGTTGATGTCACAGAGAAAATGAGTTTCCATCTTTTTAGGTGATGAAACATTTTCCTTTACAAGGCATTATGCAATAAAGTATAGATTTAAATTAGTATTGGAACAGTGAGATGATATCAAGAGTCGATACATGCAGGTTGTCTAAATCCAATTCTAATTGCATTGGATTCTATATGACTGCTTTTCATTGGTTGTTGTATACATGTAATATCTTTTCCACAATGTAATTATCTTTTCCACAGTCCACAGTTGTGGCCACACAAGCTTCTAAAAGCTGTCTTTTGCTGCTTTATGTCTGCTTCCTCACAAACACCAGGGTCACACTCAGAGCAGCACCTCAGTATGCCCTCATGTTTTAATTTTTCTGCTGTTGCACTTTCAAACCATGAAATGTTTGTTGTTTATATGATGTTTTATGTTTTGTATTTTCTTTTCATAGAGAAGATGATAAAGGCTAGTGTTAATTTCCAAAGAAGTGTGAAAATAGAGTGTCTGAAGATCTATTTTTGTTTGTTTCAGAATTCACACCTTTAAAGGTGCACTACGTAACTCTGGTGGAGGGTCTGCCATCTTGTCTTCATGGAGATGCTTTACCACAGTTAAACTATGAGATTATCCATACTTGCAGATAAGCAGGTGAGCCCATCAGGCAACACCTATATAAATTTAATGGAGACATTGGAGACAAACAGAAAAAATATATAATGCACCTTTCAGCCACAACACAACAACAACAACAATAATAATAATACATTTTTATTTATTAGACACCTTTCTGGACACTTAAGGTCTTAACTGAAAATAGGCTATTTAAAGAAAGTTGAGCCAGAGTTTTACTGCCCTCTGTTGGCTGAAAACACAAGCTGCCTGCTGTCAACCAACAATCTCAATTGTGTTGTGTTTCGTTGTATTTTTGTTGTTGTTGTTTTGGAAACATATAAAAAAATATTCTGTCTCTTTCCCTCTGTCTTTTATGTTTGACTGTTGACTAACAAATATATCACAGCTACTGTCATGATACCACAGAAACCAGTTCCAAACCAGTTTGAGCTAGACCATAGTAAGGACACACTATTTAAATAAACAAAACAGCAGCCAGTCATAGTTCACCATCTGACAGGAAGTGCTTTTGAGTTGTTGTTAGATCTGTGGCAGTTTGTGATTAATGAGGGCTTGTGTAGGCCTCTGAGTGTGCCATTGATTATGTCTGAATCTGAATTTGGATAATGCGTAATGATTACATTAATGCATACATTATATTTCCATGTGCCCTTTATCCACACAATTGTTTCTTTCAAATTCTTCAATGTTGATATCTGACTAAAGACACACTGACTTAAGACACATCCCCCTCTGTGTGTTAGAATACACAGTGGAACGGAAGCTCTCACTCCATGATGTGGGTCAGAAATGGGAGCTGTTGTGGCGCAGCTCCGACTCCTGGCTGGCATCCTTGTGCCATGAAAAAGGGCCCTACTGAGGCCCTGCTTTTAAAATGCACAAAGTGCTCTCTTGGAGGTGGGGCTTCAACATACATAAGAGCCAAAGACAGGCAGATGGACCAATTTGGCACAGATAGTCGACATTCCCAGATGATAGGCCTGCTTAAACGTTCATGCTGATTGGATCTTTGGTTCGTTTAGAATCTTTTCATTCACTGCTGAGCCTTCTCAAGAGACAAACCTTTAAGGTCTGCCCCTTTTTAACGGCAAACCTTGTGCTAGTGATGAGTGCAGGCACACATCTTAGACCTGAGTCTTTATCCTGGATGTTGGATGTGGGAAATGTGACTGGAGCCCTGTCCCAGGGGTCACTTTTGCAGCCAGCCTGGGATCACCTGCTCCAGAACCACCACGAGGTCCTGAGGAGCCCGCTCTTCCCTGTGCTCCTGTGTGTTTCCACATACTTCTGTCTGATTAGTCTTTACACGGTTCTGGACCTGCTGGCTCCCACCTGCCCCTGCATTAATCGGCACCGACTGCACCCGGACAAGCCCATCACGTGGCCCAACATCTGGACTACACTAGTGCTCACCATCTACAACCACCTGCTCTACATCTTTCCAACGGCAGTGGCCCAGTGGCTTTGGAGGTCACCTACCCCATTGCCAAGAGAAGCACCTACTCTTTGTGGCTTCATTCTGGGAATTTTTGGCTGCACTGTAGTTTTTGATTTCCAGTACTACATCTGGCACCTGCTGCATCATAAAGTCCCTTGGTTGTACCGCACCTTTCATGCTATGCACCATCAGTATAATCAGCCCTTCAGTCTGGTCACTCAGTATCTGTCTGGATGGGAGCTCTTCAGTGTGGGATTTTGGGCCACCATTGACCCCATCCTGCTCCAGTGCCACTGTCTCACCACATGGGGCTTCATGGTCTTCAATGTGTATGTCTCCACGGAGGATCACTGTGGCTATGACTTCCCATGGTCCATGCACAGGCTTGTGCCCTTTGGCCTTTGGGGTGGAGCGCCCAAGCATGACACCCACCACCAAAAGCCGGGCACCAACTTTGCCCCCTTCTTCTCACACTGGGACTGGCTGGCAGGCACCCATGTTGTGTCAAATCCCCCAGGCCATGTCGCAGAGGAGCCAGATGAGGGGCGAGCCAAAACTAAAGAGCTGTGAATTACTTTGGGTCTTTGCTTTCAATTAAGTGGGTATTTTATATTTTGCATTTTATTTGAACACTTATCTTACAAATATATTAAAATGTGACATTTTATTCCTTAAGATGTGTAAAGTTGCTCAATATACACTCAGTGTTATCTCCTTTGGGTACTAAGTAGGCTGTTATGAGCAGTTATGCTTTGTTCTGGACTAATGTACAGTACATGTGCAGCTCAGTGTTTAGAGATGTGCTGTTTAAAATAATGTGCTTGTTTTTGTCATTGTGTTTCAATGGCATTCTCAGGTCAGATCATCATATCTGTATTGCAACAGTATTTGTCACATTTGACAATGTAATCAGCATAAACATATAAAGCAATGTAATATCTGTAATGTAAGTGAATACTTACATACATTGACAAGCACATTTTGTATGGAGTAAGAAAGCTGTCAAAAATATTCGTGCGCATAAAATAGAAATCCGTGCGTATTTGGGAAATCCGTGCATATTTGGCTGTAGTTGCGCATAAAATAAATATTTGTAAACTCTCAAATGAGTCCAGTCGTACATAAAATATATTGTGTGTATTTTATCCATCAGAATACGAATTGAAAAGTTACGACGTCATGAATTACAATCACGAAATGAAAATTTACGATTACGCTTTCATCAGTACGAATACGAATTCACAGACGGAACTTTACTGTCAAAAATACGTCATCACTTCATAGACATTATCCATCGAGCAGAAGAAACATCGATCAAGATCAAGACTGCGCATGCTCAGGTTTGTAGCAGAGGGTAAAAAGAGTAATAGCACAAGAAGCTACAACAGCAACCAACAAGAGGGTTAATTAAAATGTATTGTAAAAATGTCTTGAATTCGGGAACCGAACGCTGCTGTATAATATTGTGTAGAAACACCTACTTTGAACGGGAAATTGCACCTATATGTTACATAACATAGTGGTAGCCAGTTGGCTAACACCCGACGTAACGTTATCCCAGGGCTAATTAGGAAATATCAGGTTCTCTGTATGTTTAGATGAAAACATTCACGGCTACAGCCACAGCGAGCATCAGCCAGTCTTCACTTCAGCTGCATATCAGACAATGGTTATACATGAGTTAAAATGGGTTATAATTAGCAAATCCATCCACGTCACGGTGACGTTATACTTACCGGTAAATACTGTAAACACGAACATTAATTGTTGCTGGAAGCTGCATTAAACTGTAATGTGTAACATTTCATTGGCTGTGACGTCTGAAACCAGGACAGTTTGGTAGTGTTTGGTGTAAACTGGGACATTTCAGCGTCCCGAGGAACTTTTGGTGGCATTTCATGCGAGAAATGCAGCTGAAGTGAAGACTGACTGATGCTCGCTGTGGCTGTAGTCGTGAATGTTTTAATCTAAACATACATAGAACCTGATATTTGTTAATTAGCCCTGGGATAACGTTACGTCGGATTTTAGCCAACTGGCTACCACTATGTTATCTAACAATTGCACATAGGTGCAATTTCCCGTTCAAAGGAGGTATTTCTACACAATATTATACAGCAGCGTTCGGTTCCCGAATTCAAGACATTTTTACAATACATTTTAATTAACCCTCTTGTTGGTTGCTGTTGTAGCTTCTTGTGCTATTACTCTTTTTACCCTCTGCTACAAACCTGAGCATGCGCAGTCTTGATCTTGATCGATGTTTCTTCTGCTCGATGGATAATGTCTGTGAAGTGATGACGTATTTTTGACAGTAAAGTTCCGTCTGTGAATTCGTATTCGTACTGATGAAAGCGTAATCGTAAATTTTCATTTCGTGATTGTAATTCATGACGTCTTAATTTTTCAATTCGTATAGATATACTAGTAGAATCAACTCACACCAGTGGAACATTCCCATGTTTTGCCTACATATTTTAAAAGATCAGAAGCATGCAAGCTCGAATCACATCTGCTTAGACAATTGAGATCATGTTTCCATGGCAGCTCTCAGTCACGAAAAAGACAAAACAAGTTAGACAAGTTCCTGATTAACATAGTGGTTGAGCCAATACTTGACATACAAACTGACTCAAATGTCACAATGATTTCACACTAACAACTTTCTAATAAAACTGCCACAACAAGCTTCATGTGCAGAAATAAAAACATTTAGTTGTACATTATGTCCTCTGTTACAGCTATGCAAATGTACAAGGCTGACATAATAAAATGCTATATTACGTGTTGTATGGCTCCTGTTAATGCTGGCACACAGTCTGAACTATGAAAGAGTAACATATCCAGGGAGTGGCTCAGTCCCTACGTGTGAAAGAAAGGCATGTTGCCTCACAAAAGGTAAGATGATACTCAACAACAATCATTAACCACAACTAGATGTTAAACAGAACAGAAACACATCTCTGTTCATAAAGTAGAAGTAAAGTAATTTTAACAGCACAGCATTTAAAAACTAAGTAATGTAGCGATAAATATTTATATTCACATTCCAATTCATGTTCCCGCTTCTGTATTTTTAGTAACACCGGAAATGCTAACAGCAGAGAAACTACGGCATGCCTGTGAAGTCATCATTAAGACATGCCACAGCGTGATCAGTGGAATGTATCCACCACTTTATTCAGCATTCCTTTGTGTCTGCTGACATGGTCAGTTACATCAGCTGAATCCCAGAATGGTAATTCTTCATTTTAACACCAAAAACTCAGACCACATACCACAAATAAGAAAAGAAAGGGGAATTATCAATGTTGCCCTACATTCTTTCAACAGATCACACAAACGAGATCTGAGGTGACTCAACATGACTCACAGTCAAATATATTACGCAATATCATAAAAAAGTTTCGCAGAAACCAAACAAACTTCATCATTTATTTATGAAAGTATTAAGCATTTAAACAGATTGAAAATTCCAACTGTATGTATCCAGTGCAACAGTTATCAGTCTTAAAAGGCAACAAAATAATGTAACAGGCTTCATGTGCATTAAATATAACAAATATGTTCACATTGAAAACAAAGTACATGCACATAGTCCATGCTGACAAATAAAGTTCATCTTTGGCAATCCATTATAATGAGGTTATTCATTAGTGGACCAAGCTCTAGGCCTGTCTCCATAGCTAGATAATGATCAGTGTCCTCACATTTCCCTGTGCACGTTGCTCTAACATGAGCTTGTCTGAGTGGTCCCTGAGTCAGACACATATGACTTAGTCTTTCTTGAGTATTTCATTGAACTAAAAGACACTCTCATCCGCTCCACAGTCCTACTACTGCGACACAAGAATGTGTTCTTTACATGGTTTCTGAAGTCCTCAGACACAAAGTAGTAAATGAAGGGGTCCAGGCAGCTGTTGAGGCTGGCCAGACATAATGTTGAGATGTAAAAGCTGTAGCCATTGTTGGGCAGTCCATCTTTTAACAGTGAGTAATGCACCACAAGCATGATGTTACTGGGGATAAAACACACCACAAAAGTGACCATTACAACCACTATCAACACTACAGCTTTATGGCGGTTCTTGGCAGCTGTGCTGTCCTCCATACTGTTTCCTAAAGCTCTGAGCAACAAGATGTAAGCCACTATTATAACTACACAGGGGACCAGGAAAACCACCAATCCCATAAAGATGAAATAATAGAAAGGCAGCTGGACTGAAGGAAATGGATTCAGAGGGTCCTTAATGATGTTCACGTCATGACACGTGGTAATGTTGGGGTCTTTGATCTTGGCAGTCTGGTCATACAAGTATAGTGGAGTTGTGGTAAGCCAAATGAAGGCCCAAATGGCCACACAGACACCTATAGCCACCTTGTTATTCTTTCTTTGATGGGACAGTGGATGAGCCACAACCCAGTACCTCTGCACACTGAGGCAGGCAATAAAAAGAATTGAACAGTACATATTGCCATAGAAAAAGCCCACTAAAACTTTACAAAGAGGTTCTCCATAGATCCAGTTATTTCCATTGAAGTGGTATGCTATCTTCAGAGGAATCCAGATAACAAACAAGAGGTCAGCCAGGGCCAAATTGGCCATGTAGATTGATGATGGATGCTTCTTTTTAACTCGAATCAGAAACACATATATAGCCATTAGATTTGCTGGGAGTCCCAAGGCAAACACAATGATGTACAGGATTGGGATAAAGACGGTGGTTAGATCACTTTTGAGGGTGACAATGGCGGCCTCATCCAAAACCACTTGCTGTGTGTTTTCAGGGTCCAAATTTCCAGCAAATCCTCGTCCCTCTACTAGAAAGACAAACATGAAATCACATCATTACTTTCATAAGTACAATTAATTATTTTCATGTTTAAATAAATACAAATTGTACAAAGTTCTGACAGCAAATGGGCATGGGCAGATGACCTTTAAACTCTTACAAATATATTTAGCAATATTTATATAAATATACGAGGTTGGCGATAAACAGTTTAACAATGTGAGAAATCAAGTAGATACCTATTCCTAAAATAGCATTTCAAATTACTGTATTTCAGTAGCTCCCTATGTACGACCTCGCCCTTTAGAGGTGAATATGGTCTTCGTCAATTTTACCTAAGCTACTTACTTGCGTGAGACGCGCAGAAGAAATTCAACACCAGCAGAAACGAAAGGGGAGTAATAAAATCCATTTTATGCACCAAACAATCTAAAATTATCTCTGCTTCGGAACTTCACGCGAAGAGCTTCTTGTACACTCGACACGCCAGGGAACAAAAGGCACCACCCCGAGACTACCTGCGAGTGCCTACGTCACGGCGCCTTGGTCCCGCCCACATGAAGTACCTGCTGTTTGTTTTCCAAGTAGGCATACTATTTAAAATTCTTCTAAATATTTGCCTAAACAAATATTAGTATGCGTCATGTATGCCAGACAAAATGAGACGTTACTAATCAAGTGAGAATGCAATCCTCCAGTACTCTCTAACACAAGTATTTTTGCAACTCTTGTATGTGAAGTGTTTGTTCTGTAAATAGTACATGACCTTTGCATTAGTTCCATGATTTCTTTAGAAACTTTAATTAACAATATAAAAACACAATATCCACAGTCAAGAACAAAAGTATACAAATAATGCCCATGCGTAAAAGACTCATATTTTGTCAGAGAGAGAAAAAAAAGTAGATTACAATGTAATTTATAGTAACAAGATAACATAAAACAAAAGGAGATTGTAACCCTACACTGACAAATTGACTAGCACTCAGAGCTCTGTGTATTGGCTGTGTCAGAAGTGTAGGTGTTGCTCTTCTTTGAGTATTTCAGAGCATTGAAGGAGACCCTCATTCTCTCCACAGTCCGCTGGCTTCGACACATGAACGTGTTCTTTATGTGATCCCTGAAGTCCTCAGAAATAAAATAATAAACAAATGGATCAATGCAGCTGTTGAGACTGGCCAAGCACAGAGTGGTGATGTAGAATCCATATAGGCTGTTTGTGGCGTCACTCAATAGCAAACTGTAGTGGACTATTAACATTATATTACTGGGAGTGAAGCACACTATAAACATAACCAACACTGTAATGATGAGGAGAATTGCTTTTCTCCGCTTTTTGCCAATAGTAGGGTCTGACATGTTGTTCTGAAGAGCCTTCAACATGAGGATATAGGACACGATGCAGACAAATGAAGGTACTAGAAATCCAAGGGTTCCCATGGTGAGGAAGTAACCTGCTGCCATTTTTTTATGGCTTGGCCTGGTGACATCATGACAAGTGATGATGTTAAGGTTTGTAACTGTGACTTCTTGATCATAAAGGTACAGTGGCACTGTGACTGTCCAAACTATGATCCAGACAGTGATAGACAAGGCAATGGCCACACAGTTGTCCTTCTGTAGCTGGCTTAATGGGTGAACCACAGCCCAGTAACGCTGCACACTAATGCAGGTGATAAACAAGATTGAGCAGTACATGTTTGCATAGAAGAATGCAACCAGAACTTTACACAAGCTCTCTCCATAGATCCAGTCGTTATTGTTGAAGTGATATGCAATCTTCAGCGGCACCCAGATGACAAAGAGTAGATCTGCCAGTGCTAGGTTTGCCATGTAAATTGAAGATGGATGCTGCTTCTTGACTCTGAAGAGGAACACCCAAACGGCCAGAGCATTTGCAGGCAGCCCCACAGCAAACACAACAATGTAGATGACAGGGAGAAAAACTGCAGTAAGGGGACTGCTCAGGGCATGTTTGGCTTGAAAGCTGACGATCACACCACCCTCTGTTTCAATACCAGGGAATCCTTTTCCCTCTGTGGATGAAAGAGTTAAGTTAGTCAAGTACATGAATATGTCACATTTTAGACAAATATAGTTAGATTATCATCAAACTACAACCCTATGCCTGCTCAGTGTTGCAGTATAGGACCTGCCCATTCACTTCAACGTGAGCGTCTTCTTTTCAAAACAATTCCAAGGCAACAAAAGAGCATCGACAAAAAGAGAGTAATACTTACCCTTTTGATCTACTCCCACACACGTATGCACGAAATACACGAGAAGAAATAGCGGTCGGAAATATGTTAAAGCCATTTTGGTGGTTTAAAGTTTAATCGCGGGTTTAAATGTGAGGAAGTAGGAACACGGGTGTGGCTGCCTTTAACCGCTGACTGGCGGTTGGCTTGGAGAGTCAGCGTGTTTTGATACCTGTGTGATGTCATGACACCGGGTCATATGACATGCAGCGCTTTAGAGGATGGTAGGGCATAATTGATGTCTAAGTGGAAAAAAAAAACAAAACAAAAAAACAACAACATGTATTTATTCTATTTTATTGATTATGTAAGATCCACTGAATGATCCCTTGAATGATTAGCTTATTGTGATACAAGGTGCGTTACAAAACTGTCATGTGAAAACATGGAAACGAGTTAATGGCATAGGCCGAAGCCCATTTTTCATTAGGCCTATTATTTGTTACAACATCTTATAAGCCTTCTTCGTTACAAAACTAAACCACAGGCCTACTATGATACATGTGTTGTGACGCGTGTTGATATTAGGCTATATAAACAACATAACCATATTTATTAAGTAGGCTATTATACATTTTACCAGCGGGGGCACCAGTGTATGCTATTTGAAATTTCTTTTACATAAACACATATACAATGGAAAACATAATGTGATTTTACAATAATAGTTACACAAATACATCCTTCAGTGAGATATAAAATTAACAAAAATCTATTTACAGAGAAACGTACAAGTATATTAAAAATACATTTGTCACTGTTAAAAAAGAGACCATCTAGGCCTTTCTCTTTGCACACATGCCTTTTTGCTTACAAAATAAGTTAGGCTATGTTTGAATTTACAAGAACCTGCCTGTGCCAAGCCATGCAGTTAGTTTATAATTGTGTTTAACTTCTCTAATACCCAACTAGACTTACTTCTCCATCACAGTCAAAAATGTCACACCAACAGTTTCTTGTACTGGCTGGACTCATTTTCTGAAGAGTGATTAATCTTGGAGGTTTCTGTCCGGCTGCTTTTCAGTATGGCCTTACGGCTGGACTTGTATGAGTCACTGGATGAATGACTGGTGCTGCAGTCAGCAGACCCCCTCCCACATCTCAGCACACTGGATAGTTGCTTTTGGCATTGGGATGAGCCAAAGTAGTAGACTAGAGGATCTAGACAGCAGTTAAGACTGCCCAAACAGAGAAAGACCAGGTACAGAGCATATGAACTGTCTGCACCCTGGTGGCTGCTTTGAGCATTGTCGTCAAACAGAAGATAGTGTACTAGCATGATACAGTTAGTTGGCATGAAGCACAGCACAAAGATGACCAGCACAGTGGCTGCCATCACCACCGCCCTAGTCTTTTTGCGGGAGCTTCCTCTTATTCCCTGAGAGACCCTGCTCAGAGTCCAGATGACTCGGGCGTAAGACACGACTGAAATGAGCAGTGGGAGGAAGAAGAGTGCACAACAGATGGTGAGGAAATAGATTTTGTAGTTCCACTTGAGCTCCTCCAGTGGCTGAATGTCATGACAGGTGGTGATGTTTAAACTGTCCAGGTGTATGGTCTGATTGGAGAGCAGGAGGGGTGTGCAGCCAATAAAGGACAGAATCCACATTGTCACACAAGCTATCACAGCATTCTGAGGTCTTCTCCATGCAAGAGAGTCAATGGGATAGACCACAGCCAAAAGTCGGTCGACACTTATGCAACATATAAGCAGAACAGAGCAATACATGTTCCAGTAAAATGCTGCAGTCACCACACGGCACATGGCGGGCCCAAATATCCAGTTGTTCCCTAAAAAATGGTAACAGATCTTGAATGGGAGCATAAGTGTGAAAAGTAAGTCAGCACAGGCCAGGTTTAGCATGTAGATGGCCGCTGGTTTCTTGGGACGGATTCTTCTGGCAAAGGCCAGCATTGCACAGAGGTTTACAGGCACACTAATAAGACACACCAGTGAGTACCAGGAGGGCATGAGCAGAGTGGACATGGGCCCGGTGAGGAAGAGCAGGGTGTCTTCAGAGATGGATTGTCCTTTGCGACTGGTATTAGACTTATTACCACCAGTGTCAGAGTCTGAAAAAACTGAAAGAATGTCGTCAATGTTCAATAGCTCAGTATCATCATTTCGGGAGATGGCAAAGGTCCTTGGGCCAGGATTTGAAGAGCCTACAAAGATAAATTAAAAAAAAATTTTAAAAAAGGGTTTAAGGGAGTTAGGTTACTTTTCCCTGAACAGAAGTAGTAACTGATTGTGAAATCATAACGCATTAGGACTTAATATTTTTAAAAAGGGAAAAAAAATTATATAATCTTACCGTTATAAACGACAGCTGGAGCAAGATGAACACAAGTCAAAACTACAAAGACAAATAAAGAAATCATTTTGGCAAAAGCAGACTACTTCTCTAAAGTCCCCAGATTGTATGTATTCTACACTCTTGTTCCAGTACAAATGTTAAAGTTAAAATATGAAAAGTTAAAGCGTTTTTCTTTCCGTTACAAGCACCAGTCAGTCCCAGTGGCTCCACCAACCAACGACGCTCTGCAGAATTCCTTAGAAGTGATGTCAGCTTCCCGTCACAAGTAGTACCGACCCAATCACAGGGAAAGGGACTCTATGGGGAATAGTCTACTTGTAACAAACACATCAAAAATGTACATTTAAGGCGAGGCGGACACAAAAAAGAGGGGGAAAAACATCATATGCTACGAGTTTATTGATGTTTCATGTATGTCCTGCTTAAGCATTGGTTAATGCAACTCTACAATATCACAAAATAGCATATACCGCAAATATATAGGCCTGTTAACACCTCTGTTTTTGTTGTTTTAAGCCAAACAATTATCTGTGCTGATGTTTGCAAAAAAGTGTATGCTCCCCGAAAAAAAGGAACACAAACAAACAAACAAACAAAAAAGTATGGTATGATATTGCACATGTGGCGATAAGGACAAGAAAGGAAGATGTGGGAGTTTGAGTCTCTCAAACAGTGGTGATAGACCCCACCGGTATTCAAATTAGACCTGTTATTTTACTTGACGTATGCTTTGGCAAATAGTGTACATTCATGGCCAATAATGGAGTTTTGTTCTTTTCCCCTGGAATTTGTCACTTGAGTGGATTAAAACAGCATGTTATAACAAATAGGCTAAGTGCAGCGGTACACAGGGTCCAGTGCGTCAGTTCTACAGGGCGTTCCTAAACATCCATTCCCTCTGAGGACAGGATACAGACTGTGGGAGATAGGCCAGTGGCACATTGCCAGATTCCACTTCACATCAGTTCCTGTTGTTTTCCTTTTCAGTTGATAAGTGGTAAAATGGTGAAAATAATATGGAGGGATTACATTGATAAGAATCTTGGGAGACACAATAAAGTAAAAAGATATCTTAACACATTTTAAGGGACATTTAAGGCCAACGCACACCAGAAAATCGACAGGACACCGCCTTATTTTTTTACGGCAATTAGCTATTTATAAAATGACGCACAACACGAGGCTGTGAGAGAAGAGGGGACGTGGTGGTTTGAGCAGGTTATACTGAGATGAGTGAGTGCTGACCGGATCATTTTAAGAAAAATGAGACAGACCAGAGTTTCACACACACAGAGAAGCAGAGAGGTGCCTTTGTTCTGCCAAGTTGAACACCGGGTCTTTCTCTGCTCTCGTGGCTCCCCTCAGTCATTTACAGCTCCTGTAGGCTATTCTGCGGTTTTAGAGTGATTTATTTCAGATTATTTTTGCAATGGTTTAGAAAAGAGAGAAGGAAACGGCATCTCATTTTCTAAATTGTCCACTTGGGCATCTAAATTGTCTTGACGGTCCGAGTATGCTATTTACTGAATGTATTTAAACCTGCATGATGACAACTGACCATATAAGGACACTACAACGGAATTTGTTGTAACTAGTTTGCGGAAATTATGTATATCTTAACCTCTTTATATTTGTATATATAATACTGGATTGCCCTCTTGTGGCAGAGCAGCTCTCGGACGTCCAAACATCCTGCCAAGTTTTATTCTTTGTAAAGAATAATCAAATCTATTTAAGCACAACAGAATAACATTTCACAATTGAAATAATATAGAAACAACTGAAAACATTATGGCTGTTTATTAGCAAAATAACCAACAAATTATCCTGGAATTCAATCCAATTCCAAAAACAAAACAAAAACGATCAAACAAACAAACAAACAAACCAACATAAAACAATATCTCAAAAATTAGAAAAACGTGGTACTGAACTCTTTTCACTTTGGGTTAAAATGTCTTCCCCGCTCGTTTGTAGAAAAAGGAAGTTGCCTCAGCAGTTCACTGTGTGCATGTTAAAACAGAAACCAAAGGCTTACCACATATTTTGTTATAGTTGTGGGGAAGTAGTGTTCACCCAAACAGGCTCTCACTAAGAGGCTGATCACAAGAGAGAGAGATACTGGTCCCAAGGGAAACAGGAGAAAATGGATAAAGTTTTACTTTTTGTAGTAGTTCTTGGTTTGTGTTTTGACAGCTCACTTCATGACAATGGTAAGTTTGTGTCCATATATTATGCTAGATGGATTCATGTTGAAAATATCAACATGCTAAACTATGTTTTATTTATTTTTGTATTCATTACAGTTCAGAATGAGAAATCAAGAAACAAAACCAGCAACTTCAGCTCTATTGCTGAACCCAGGACCTTTTGGGGAAAGCCTGTGGTTCTGACTGGGTTTTCCTCTGGTAGGAACAGGACAGGGGCACCATCTCCTGCAGTCGTTCCTGACTCTATGCCGGAACTCCTGCTGAACAGTAACAAGACTGCCTCTTACCTTCAAGGCCCTATAAGTACCATTCTCATCCCAGTCCTGTACATCTTAATCCTGGCTGTGGGAGTCCCTGCTAACCTGTTCACCCTTTGCTCCCTTGCATCCAAAGTGCGTAAAGTGTCCTCTGCCATCCTGTACTGCAGTCTGGCTCTGTCTGACCTGCTTCTGCTGCTGTCTTTGGTGTTCAGAGCTCACTATCATCTCCGGGGGAACCAATGGTTATTTGGAGAAGCTGCCTGCCGCATGGTCTCTGCGTGTTTCTATGGCAACCTGTACTGCTCGGCACAGACTCTGGCCAGTATCAGTGTGAAGCGATATCTAGCTGTAGCCCACCCATTCATGTATAAGAGCTTACCCAAGAGAATGTGCACCACCTGGGTGACAGTGGTGTTGTGGATGGTCCTGGGAGCTGGTCTGGTCCCGGAGCTCCTTGTCCATCAGAGCTACAGGATCCCACAATTGAACATCATCACCTGCCATGACATCTTACCATTAGGCTCTGAGTCCCACAGGTTTCTATTGTACTATAACCTGTTTTTTACTATCTTTGGCCTCATCCTTCCACTGGTGGTATCTGTGGTGTGTTATGTGCGTATCCTGGCTGAGCTGAAACAGTCCCACACTGACTGGGGCTTGTACATACGCAGCAGTTCCCTTGTTCTCCTCATTTTTCTGGTGTGTTTCACCCCTGCTGGAGTCCTGCATTTTATCCACTATGTGCAGCTGTTTACAGATGGGACAGAGACCTTGTACATGTACTTTAATGTGGCTGTGTGTTTGTGCTGCCTTCATGCAGCGATGGACCCCTTCCTGTTTATACTCATGTCCCACTCCACAGGATCCAATCCCTATGTTAGAACCTTCAAAAGCAAGAGCCTCAGTATATCAACTTAAGACTAACAAAAATGGACATAAACATAAACATTTTATTTTTAATTACAAATATTTTTCAAACAAATGTGTTGAAAATACATTTGTGAAGGGTGTGTCAGAAATGATGTGTCACAGGACAACTTAGGTTACAGTATTTAATTTATGCAAAAGTCCCGGTTGGCATTTTATTAAAGTAAATCTGTTCTATTGTCTAATGCTCAGTGTGACAAAGCACAGAGCATTCTCTTTGTAGTGCCAAACCATACCAGAGGATGCTATTGTGTATATGACTACTATGCATAAAACCTTGTGCGTGTGAGTGTTTGTGCTGTGTTAGGAAGTAATTGAATACATACACAGAGAATGCATATTCAGAATACAAATTTTGTGTTTGGAACTGTATTCCAGTACAATTAGAAAACAGTTACTTTTCTAAAATCAGTTTTTACACTATAATTTAAATGCAACTTGATGTAAAAGTATTCACAATACAGTACTTTAATTGGACCATGTATCAGAATAAAGTACAAAATATATCTTAATGCATCCATCCATTTTCATCTGCTTATCCGGGGCCGGGTTGTGAGGGCAATAGTCTAAGCAGGGACTCCTAGACTTCCTTCACCCCAGGCACTTCCTCCAGCTCCTCCGGGTGGACCCCAAGGCATTCCCAGGCCAGCTGAGAGACATAGTCCCTCCAGTGTGTTTTACATTTTCAAAGTATTCTTCCCATTAGTGTATGTGTGTGTGTGTGTGTTTTGTGTTTAGTGAGACACTTAAGTATTTCATAGGGGGGAAAAAAGATACAACAAAATATTTAAGATTGTTTTGTATTTTCAGTATATTCAGTTGTTTGTGTACACTTGTAAATGCTGTATAATCCAGCATCATAAATCGGAGTGAAAATTTGACAAATCTTGGATTTCTTTATTAAATGTTTACAGATTTGTGGAGCTTTCCTATTTGCTTACAATCCTTCCAAGCTTTTCAGTATATAAACATTTCATATGAACATCAGTCCCAATTGTGAGCAGAAGTAATTAAATGTGAGAGTACTGGCTTCAATTTTTTACGTATTAGTCAACTTCCTCACAGCATTTTGAACACCTCCATTTGTAAACATCTGACATACTCTTTCAGTATGACTCAGCATAAACAACAGGTGATCTGTGCTAGTTATTTCAGGATGATACATTCACCTTTGACCTTTAAAGAGGAGAAACAGTGACAACACCAAAAAGGCAAAGAGGGCACACAACAGACACCGACAAACATGCAGGGACTTGTGCAGTAAACAGTCTGAGAGAAGGAAATGTGCAGTTCAGCAACTATTTCAAACACACAAGTTATCACAGAGAAAATCAACTCATTGTGAAAAATGACAAAGAGCACTATTGTACACCATATAATTAAAAGCTTAGAAAAACAATTACCTTGGTGGCAATGCTCTTAGCACAGTTATATGATAAAGTTTGAAAGGCCAGCTGATGTCTGAGCTATACATTTTCGTACTAAAAAGCTAAAAGTTGGTAAAGCTAAACCTCAGAAAGAAAAAGTACAAACACAGAATCCAGTGGGGAATGCATGTATTTTATGATTAGCCTAAAGTGTGAACTGAAGTGAAGTGCAATTATTGAACATGTTGCAGCAGGCTGGCACTGATTTTGCTCAAATATGAAGCTCAGGTTTAATCACAACCCTGTGACTTGAAAAGCAAAATACTGCTGTTATTCATGGCTTGAATTTCACTTCAAACTTATATTCTTGATATTACGATTCTAACTTTCACTAACTGTTTAGTTAGTGGTTTGTCTGAACACTCATGCACACAAGCACACATCCTGAAGAAGAGAAAACAGGACAAAGCAGCAAAGCTTCCAGCAAGTTTTGGAAGGAGAGACTAGGGCTAAAAGACAGAGAGGCACAGCTTTGAAGAAAGGCCTTAGAGGAGTTTGAAGGGAGCAGCAGCAGCAAAGGGCGAGAAAGAGGACACAAGCAAATCAGCAAACAGGAAGACAGAGAGAGAGCAGCCAGAGAGTTTGCAAAGCCCTTCACAACACAACACACAAGAGATGAACACGGTCAAGCATCCAGACAAGAGGGTCAAATCTCAAAAGTCTGTTTCAGTAAAAAGCGCAAATTGTAAACTTTTTTCATCTTAGAAATGTAGCTGCTTAACTTGCCAGTTTCACACACAATAACAGTAATGTTATTGATTTTAATGGCCTTGCTATTTTTGCAAAAAGCAGTAAACGGCTTGAATATTGTCAATAGATTGAGCCACTTTCGAAACAGAGGTTCTCTGTAATGTAGCACCTTCAGTTTCAGGCATCGGCATGAAAATGTTGCAAATACAATAAATAGCAAAAATTACTAAATGTGTGAAAAAATCAGTATAAGCATAAAAAAAAGTGGAGTGGATTTAAACAAAACTCTATGCAAACTATGAGCAATCCAAGCCTTTTGCAGCATTGACATTTGATTTGTTGCACATGAGTAACAGCTCCAAAATATGAACTGTGGTTTCTCAAGGATTGCTTATTGTTATGAGCATTGTAATGTTGACATTTGCCTAAATGTCTTCAGATTCAGAATTCAATCTTTTGATGTGATTATCATTGTGTTTTCACAACTTTTCAATTGTAATGTATTTATCAGGTATTAATAATATTTCATAAAAGGAAATTGAAATTACAACATAAATAACATTTAAATTAAGTCAGGTTTCACTCTGTAAACACCTGATAAACATACAGCACGTGCTGCCTGTTTCACATGAGAACATTGGTGCGAGTGTCTGGAAGCCGCAGCCCGATCAGACCACCACCCACCAGCACCGAGGAGGCCAGCAGGATGGGGATAGCTTTAGTGATGCCAACCAGGGAGCCAAAGATCAGGTTACCGAGCACTGCTGCCAGCTTACACATAGCATTGCAGAAGCCAAAGCCTGTGCCCCTGTAAACGAGCACAATCATCAAGTTATTCTTTCTTTGATGTATTTTTAAAAATTATTGTATACAATCTTTTAAAATTTGAATTGTACCGTCTGTCAGTGGGATAGAGCTCTGTGGTGACCACATCCAGAGAATTCCAGGCGGAAATGCTTAGACCGTTGTAGAGGCATAACATGAAGATCATCATGGACTCACTGGTGCCAAACCACAGGAAGAAACAGCTGATGCCCGAGAGCACCATAGAGCCCCCTGCAGGACACAACCACTCAGAGACATTACAGATGTCACAGTTTGTCTACTATCTACAAAATAGTTTAAAAGTATAAAATGATGAGCTAAAGCAATGGTATTTAAGATATATGCTTATTAAAGCTTTAATACTGCTTTTACAAATATAACAAGCAAGCATATCAAAACCAATAAAAATTGTACATAACCATTCTAGACTGCTTTACATTGCGATTTACATTCTCTCCTGTCTTGTGGTTGAAGAGCAGCCACAGCTGCCCTGTGACAGACCTAATTGTGGCAGTCCTTAAACATGATTTTCTTTACCACCTTACCACTTCCACATTATGTATGATTGATAACACCTTATCCTTTAAAGTGGACAAAAATGTACTTAAAAAATAGTCATTTAGATCCACATTGATAAATACCATACCTAACATACTGAGGCGTCCTATTTTGTCCATGAGAAGAGCAGAGACAATGTTTCCAGGCAGAACTGCGAGTGTGCCCAAAAAGTTTACGAAATAGACCCAGTAGGCACTGTAGTCGTCATCAAATGTCACCTGACAGCCCGTCTTGTTATGATGGAATGAGCTGCTGATCACTTGCGACTTTATTAGCTTGGAGTCGTCGATATCTTTAACACAATAAGGGAAAAATGAAATGGTGGTGACAATTTTGTTTCAGGAAAAATGTATGCACTGATCAAATAGAACAATACGAACTATGACGGGCAAGAGACATTTTCTATTTGTCATGGCATCTGTTTTCCAAAGGGTTGTTTTAAACAACATACATAACATGCAGCATATCAGTTTCTATAGGGCTCTATATTAAACAGGAGGCATACACACAAGTTATGATGAGTGGTTTGCTCATGTGCACTAAACTTCAGCGTCGTCCTGAGTGTTGATCAAACTGTTTCCATTTTTATTTTTCTGGAAACATCTGAAGCAACTCACTTAAGGCCTTTCCATCTCTGCATTAGGAGCTGTGGTGTATTATTATTAAACACCTGCATTTTCATGTTTGCTTTGAAAAGACACCCTACTGTGATCCTGTGAGTCATATAACAAACTAATGAGTGAGTGCACTTGGTCAGCAAGAGGAGGGGAGCTTGAGTCTATGTAGTAATTTAGAAGTATAAAATAAAGCAATACATGCTTAAAGTTATTTTTCTCTCCAGGAGGCTGAGACAGTGACTTTAAAAAGAGTGAGAAAGAAAGATACTGGATAGATAGACACTGGATTTTTAAAGCAGAAACAAAATATCTGCGGGAGGAAGGACAGACGGGTGCACTGACCCGTGTTGTAGAAGAATGAGTCGACAAAAGTGCAGTTCTTGAAGTAGGAGCCCACTGTAGACACATCTTCAAAGTAACAGTTGAGAAAAGATGAGTCAATGAAAGTGACAGCTTTGAACTTCATAGCAATGAACCTGACAAAAAGCAAAAAAGTCAAATGTGGATTTTAGTTTTTATGTAAATCAGGAATGCTCAACAAATTAGTTTCAACTCTCTAATATGACAATAAACATGTTTAATCTTCTATAATAAATAAATAAATAAATATGCACACTGTGCAGTGAGACTCATAACAAAACTGCAGCTATGTTTGAAACTGAACTGCATGGAAGGTGGAAGAGAGCGAGATAAGTCTTTTAATTTCCTGGTCGGACAGCAAATAAAGGAGGAAGACGACGCCCTGTTTGCAGGAATGATAAATATAGGATCTGTGCACATAGGGTGACCATTCCTATTTACACTGGATAGTCCCAGTTTTGACCCTGTGTCCTCTGTCCCAGCAGATTTACTGTCCCAGGTGTCCCTGTTTTTGACAAATCTAATACCCACCAACAGCAAAGCAAAAATATATTGTATTTGTTTAGCCAAAATACAATGCTTCAAAATGACCATAAGGCAAAAAAAAGCACCAATAGAAGTCTCTAAATATAAATACTGACCCACAAGTGAATCAAGAATGGATAATGTTATTCACTCTTTTCACTATTTTATTCATATCAACCACTGAAACCCAGGTGTTTCCCGGTTTTTAATTTTGAAATCTGGTCAGCCTTATGTGCAGCACGCTCGCTAGCCCACTGTTATTTTAATAGATTCATGGTCTCAAACCCATAGTGTCAAAGCTAACACTCACTTTTACTAAATAGCAAAACATAAAACAAACAACCTATTAAAATTCAAATTAATTAAAATAAAGACTACCCATTTTTTTATATGTAGAATACTTTAGTTTGTAGTGTTGTTGCTATTTATTATGCCTCAACATTAGCATTACCATTAGCACTGAGACACAACCATCTCTCTTTCTAAGCACAGAAGTCTTTAGGAATAAGTAGTCATCTTATTTGTGTAGTTTTTAACATGTTGTCACTGGCATGCACCGACAGCAGCCTGTTCACTGCCTTATTTTTAAATGTTTAATTATTTTAGCACAACAAAAAACACACAAAGATCAAATTGGACAGGAAGTAGTGGTTCTGCAGAGCATACAGCAGCAGTTTCATCCTTCAATGGGATTACTTTCAAGAGCAAGATTCACTGCGATTTTACCTGTCATTCAGAAAGAGTCCATTTCTGTGGATTTGGTTCTCGAGGGTGAAATTGAACGTGATGTCTTCTATGCGTTCATTATTGTGGATCTTGACTCTGGAGGCATACTCATCTGCTTGAAGGTGTTTAATGACATCAGGGAACCACACAGATAGGCCATAATACCTGCACAACATATTATTCATATTAAGAGCAAAGTACAAAGAAAACCTTTTAATGGTTAAATCGAAAGTTAAGTAAAGTTAAGTAAATTAGGCATGATGTAATACTATAAACCAAAGACCAAAAATTCAACTACACACATCACTAATGATGCTATGAAGCTGCATCTTAAAAAAAATCACAAACATTGCAAACAAATCCAAATAGCAACAAGTTAAAAGAGCAAGTAATGTTCTGTATTTTGTCAATAATTGGTCAAAGTCTTACCCAAAAGACAAGGTAAACCAAACTGCGGCTAATTTGATGGTGTTTTCTTTGATTGGGTTGGTAAAGCATTTCAGAAAGGTTTTCCAGATCTGTGAGGAGAAGATTTAGGTCTAATCATCACAGAGAATCAGAAAATAAGGAATTAATACAACACTGAATAAATGGTCTGAGGGTCCGAATTTGATAACAGTAACATGACTTTTTTATGTTTCTCTGTTCAACATGTTTAAATCTAACAAAGGTCGCTTGATTGTGGCCAATGTTAGACCTGCATGTTTTAATCAGGTTGATGAAACATGACTTTGTTATAAACTCTGGTGAAACTCCTCCCTCTGGAATTCTCCTCCCCAAAACTTTTGGAGGGAAAATTCAAATGTAACAGGACACAGGACAGTTACAGGAGCAGAGGACACACAGTGTGAAGCAGGAGGATTATGAGAGCTGATCTGGAGGTGAGACTTTTCAAAGATTTTACTTGCTTGCTTCTCTGGACTAGAATGTCATCATTGTTAAAACATGTTTGTGGTGTTTTATTTGAAATTTGAGTTAATGTAAGGACTGTTTCCATAAAACAAATTGTATTTGACTGTCCATCTACAAGAGTGTGACAGTTGTATGTGTTGCTTCCAGAGTAAACTAAAAACAGTTATGTCCAGAGCTCTGCTGGAGCTGTGGGGAAGTTCATGAATGTTATAGCTGATGTTTCAGAAAAAAGGAAGATGTTTGAAAACCAACAAAACACAGACCACAGATGAACAAAGTAAGTAACTCAACTAAAATGATTTTAAAAGAATTTTTCAAAATTAACTTCCTATTGAAATAGTCATCGTGTTTCTACAGGGTGATGTGGCACTAGGAGGACTTTATACCAAATGCCCTACATGTTACTGCATTTAGAGGAAGAAAAGCAGCACATGGTGAGTTTTGTTTCTGCAGATACAGTTCTAATGTTCTTGTGATTCTGTTTCAGTCCATTATTGTAGTAATAAGTACTTTAAATGTATTTAAACATGTACAACAGAGTAGATCATTATAATGTAATGATCATGTGTTATTCCTGTGTCCACAGGCAGAGACCAGAGCGTCTTCACTGGAATAAATCTTCACATTGTCCATCTCCAAATTGTGTGTCTCTGTACTTGTGCTCTCTGTGTGTTTGACTCTGTTTAAGACAATACGGAACTGTGGAAAACTAAAGATTGTTTTTGTATTATTTTACAGAATTACATCAATTAAATTATATTATACGTACTTATACATTTCACCATAAGGCAACATAATATAAATATGCATATTCAGCATGATTTGATCAGATTTCATCAACATGAAAAAGTAACGTTCATGTTCTGAGAAAAATATGTGTAGAGAGGATTGAAATAAGTTTCAAAGCCTAAACATAATTTTATTGCATGCGACTGCATTCCATAACTTTTTCACGCAAATCCAGCGACCTTTATTTTTCAGTGAATGAATAAGTCTGGTACCCCTTTGAGCTCTGATTGGATTTTAAGGAGGACTTTTAACACAGGGTTCGCTGACTCATTCTGCATCTCCACCAGCTCATCCAGCTGTTTAGGGATTTTTATGCGATTCACCTGCAGGGGGAGACACTGTACTTTTATCTGCTCTTGGTGCTTTGTAATGTGTCTGCACTGAAACACCAGATTGATAACTTACTGTGAAGACTCTCTCAGGCTCACCACGTGCACGCATGTTAGTGTCATGGATGTGTTTGAGCACCATCCAGGCCTCGTCATGCTTCCCCATCTGAAAACAGCCCAAGATTCAGTTTAAATTCAGTCAAATGTAGTTTTGCCTTTAACTACACTGTAATTGCAATAATAGACATCAAATATAATAGCTGATCATACACAAATAAGCTATGCATTGCTACTATTTGATTGTTTTGTGATGAATACATAAATAAAAATAACCCCAAACACAAAGTAAATTCAGTCAATATGATTTTTGTATGATGCCTCTGGGCTATAAATAGATTTTGTCCCTAGTAGCGTTTCCACTTAAAGCCATGATGTTGCAGTTTGCAGTGTTTTTACTACCTCCAGGTAAAAGCGGGGGCTTTCAGGCATAAAAGTGAGAGCTACGACTGCAGAGACACACGGCAGAGCACAGACCACCACAAACACTCTCCAGCTGTGGAACTGATATGCCGAGCCCATGCTGAAGCTCCAGCCTGAAGAGAGAGGAATAGACAGGTATACTCGCAGTATTAAATAAGGTGTGCTTTGGTATTATATAGTATATTATATAATACTCAGGACCAAGACTGTGTGAGGCAGACTTGTATGGTCAAAAAAGATATTGACTGGGCATTTTCTGGGTTAGTTCTAAACAGGATATTGATTAGTATAGTGAGTGCTGATTGTGAATACATATTACCTGTATATTTTCAATTATGTTTATACATTAAGATTAATCTATGTGTATTATTTTGGTAGTAAACCTCAATGATTATTACATCTAAACTGAATATGTGTTACTTCAAGGTAGATTACTTTTTGGTGAAAAGAATAATAAAAACCAACCTGACTGTCTTTTTCCGCAATGGTGCACAATGTACATTTTCCCATAATTTTGCCTGTAATGCTCCACAGTATGACATTAAACTTATCTATCCATGGACATAGATACGACAAATGCCCTATTGTGGAACATACCAGGCAAAGCAAAAACAAATCCATGATGACAGGCAGATGGCATAAAAGTCCTTTAATGCACCTTTCGAAAATGCAACTATCACTTACAGCTGCTGGGATGTATTGTGTGCTTGGATGGTCATGGAGCAGTAAAATATATCAGCAGACATTTTAACTCAACACTGCTGTTTTTAAAAGAGCACAACAGCAGTCCACAATCAGAGGCAACCATTTGATGATGAACTCAAATATTTTAATAACCTAATATATAACATGCTGGGTTACCCTTGTGTGAGAGTGTCCTGTGGGACTGCTCTGGCCAGAGCTAGTACAAACCTGATTAGGGGGATTATAACTGTAATGGACTAGAGGGGACGGTTGACCGACTCAGATACCCAGGAAGATTTATATACCTACCTCAGGCATGGCTAGGTACCAAAAATACACTACAAAATACACATATTTAGATAGTGTGCCCTTGATTATCCTCCTTTCACATCTAATGCAGGGGTGCATGTGAGATCAATGCATGAAAAGTTTGTAACTATATTAGGAAATCTGCAAACCAGTATTTCTAATTTTAACATTTATTATCCTCTTTCGGCTGTGCAGTTATACAAAAGAGTCACACGGCACTCTAGCCATGGTCCACCACCAGTCAATGCCAAAAGCACTGCGGCGGAACCTATTACCCACACTCCACTGCACTTGGGCCAAAAAAATGTGTTAAAACAGTAGCATCTAATCAATTGACCTCAATTACGAGTTTCGCCTGGTCTCCTCACTTTGACTAGTTTGTCGTGACACATTTAAAGCTTTAAATGGAAACTGTATACTGTACTTATTTAGGACATAAAATGTGGAACTGACCATAGTGGAAGAGAACAGAGTCACTTCAAATTGTAATTATTGACACTATATAAAAAGGGAGATAGTGCAAGTGTAAATTGAGAAAAAAGTGAAAAATGTAAATCAGAGATCAAAAATAGCATCATTTCAGTCTTATATGTGTTTTGAACATAGTTATTCAAAGCTTAATTTAATGCAACATTTAAAACATTTCAAATATGTTTGTTTGTTATGCAACATGGGACTCATCTTCAATTATCTATCAATCTATAATGTACACATTTTTGTTGTGTGACACTGCAGCCAACCTTTGTACAAATACTATCCTATTTCAGTAATATGCATTTGACAGATTTTCATGTATACTATAAATAGTTTGGCATTTCCTTTGAGCTTCTCTGTGCTGCAGCAGTGAGTTGTGAGAGCCCCCGCCTACACAACCACCTGCTTTGTGTTACCCTGTGTGTTAAATGTCCATATTTTCATAATGAAAATAAAACGTTCATTTTATCGTACTGTGAGCTGAAAACAGAAAAAAATATTAAGTAGTAGTGTGATATTATTGTATAATGTAAACAGCCATCTCGTCTTTGAACTAAGAAGTGTTAACATATACTATGTGTTGTATAAAGTAGATTTTTTTTTTACCAAATTACTAAATAACCTAAATACTTTATTTATATTTCTATCACATTTGGGAGGTTCCTATTTCTTGATACCTGTCAGTCGCTGTCTACTTTCATTTGCTTCTAAATCACCTCTAAAGCCATGTTTTTAAATGTACTTTCCCATAAAATGTGTGATTTTACTCCCTTCCTTGAATCACTGACATTTATTATCTGAACCTGCAAGTTGATTGATTCAAGTTGTGGTGATGTGGTGATTCAGAAAACATAGTATATTTTTTTTATCAAATATTTGATTCCACTCACCATAGTGTGGAATAATGGCCCAGGCCATGGCAGATGCATAGATTCCTCCAATCATCCAGAACATACAGAGCCAGCTCAGATGTTCCCCTCGTTTTTCACGAGCTAATACCTCAGCAAAGAAGGAGAACACTATGGGCACCGCTCCTCCAATCCTACAACAACATGCAATTTTAATATTGCATGTGTCTCTGTAAAAACTTTATAATAGTAACATATATGCACAATGAAAAAGCATGGCTCATTAAAGAAATGTAAAATGTGGTATATGTTTTGCTTTAATCAAGATTTTGTTTTGCACACTGAAACTTGTCAATTAAAAACTTTCCTATCTTTATGGATATAATTTTAAAAATGTATATCACATTTAAAATTTTCGTGACAAAAAAATGAAGCTTTTAAGATAAAATAAATTCTTCAGCTATATGTAAATGCATACAATCTAGTCTGTTACTATATCATACCATAGAATTGTATTATGACTCTGACCTGAGAATGACCTCAATGTGACCCTGAGCACCACAATCTCAAGTCAGCTTTTATATGTAATGTGGAGATCACCACCACTGCAGTACAACTATGCTTTTATGCCCCAGTCTTATACAACCCAGGTAAGAGAAGGAGGGCGGCCTACCCAAATCCAGACACCATGCGGCAGAAGAGGAACATGCTGTATCCCTGGACAAAGGAAGACAAGAAGGCAAAGAAGCCGTTGACAGACAAAGATATCAGGAGGATCTGTCTGCGGCCCACTTTGTCTGATAGGCCTCCCCAGAAGAATGCCCCCACCATCATTCCCAAATACACTATGCTACCTGCAGAGGAAATAGCACAAAGCAAAGGGAAAAATGTATCATTACAGAAGCAATAACTGAAGGATTAAAACAATTAAAACATGCATTCATTTTTACACCTGCCAAAATCTCAACCACACATTAAATTGGTCCTCAATCAATATTGTGAAAAGTGTTTAAATTATTATGATTATCTTAGTTAATAGTTTCCTTCTTGCAACTTTTTTGCCCTTTCCTTCTCAGAGAAAGTCAAAACACTTTCTCTTTAAAGGAAGAAAGACTGAAAGGTGTCAAGGAGGGCTAGTGGTTTGTCAGACCAGTAAATAATCCCCACTGTTCTGTAGTTACTAATAAAAATGCTAATGCAGGCTAGAGAGATGGGACTACTTGACATGGAAAAGAAAAGGATACTTTCTCTTTCATGGCAGTGGTTGTGGTGATGGGCTGATAGGCTGGAAGAGGAGGTGGGCCTTATCGAGCTGCACAGACATGACGCATAGACCTATAGCAATTTATTACTTGTGACAGCCACGGATATCTGCACACTTAAGCTGCTAAAGCTGTAAGATAACTTATGAGAATCACATTAGATATCTAAAAGGTGGAAGTGCTGACACAGTGAATGAATGCTGTTGACATAACATTATCTCAGAACAATGACATTATTTCTACCCTGTCAATGAGAGACTTAAGTGAGGGATGTAATGGTCACCTGCCACATAATGAGCAGGTTACATAGTGTTTGGGATGCCCAAGACTAGACTTACAATACACAAAGACATGGTCTCGAACTGTATCCTGTGTCCACAACTTCTGATTGCTCTGATCTTTGGATGAACACAAATTTCATCAGAATGAATGAGCAAAGCACTAGACTGCAAATCAGTAAAAGAAGCTATAGATATTGTTCTGAATTATATGATGAGAGATATTGAGGAGACTTTGAAATATAGTCTGATTCCACACCCTCCTGCATTGTAACAGAAAGTGGGCGGGGCTGGTTAAAAGGCAAATATGTTTAAATTGATTACACACATTACCAGTGTGATAGGAAAGATCAGAAGGCTGCATGTAGCTATTGTCAATAATGACAAGCACAATAACTTTTGTATGGTACACAGTAATCTAAGTAGGCAACACAAAATACAAATGTGTTCATTCTGTGTGTGAAAATGCATTCATTATAATACTAATGAAGGTCCGTTCTGGTTATCACCTGGGAATATTTCAGATAAATGATTGCAACTTTCTTTGAGTCTACAGTTTCTCTGCACCAGTGGAAACATCCCCATAGACGAGTCTGGATGAGACAATGCAAGTTAAAAATGTACTTAATATGAACAGCTGGTAGCTTCATGCAAGAGCTGTAGAAATCCTGATGAGAGAAGCTCCCAGAGGAGGCTCTGTGACAGACAGGTGTGCCTGACGGAGTGTGAGAGGGAACAAGCATGTGAAAGTGGGCGGGGGAGGCTGGAGTGTTACTTTTATCAAATCCCGAAGCCCATACAACAGCTTTTTGAGCTTTACGGGAGGAATGTGAGGTTAGGAATTGTATTTTGGTGTATGTTTGTGTGAGAGAGAAAGGTGAGAAAATCTATGGTATATGAGCACTATAAAGAGGGCGATTGTACTACATAAAACATATGCACTGGAGGTAAAGGGAAAGAGTACTGCAAGGAAGCAGTCATCCTATTTTAAGAGGGAGGGACAAAAGTCAGTCTACCATGTCTAAACTGCAGAGAAACACAATGCTGCAAAGATTAGCTCTGTTAATATCTCCAGATCACTGAAGCCTAGAAAAAGAAGAGGATTAAACAGGGGGAACAGAAAGAACTTGGAAAAAATAACTGCTACACTTTTGTTTTAAAAAGCAAGATGTAATTTAAAATATGATTTTGTCAAGCTAATAACTTCCTGCTTATTTGTTTAGCCATTCCTGACACATTTTAGGCATTAGTGTGATATGGGAGTAATGATGACTCATTGTTTCTAGTCTGTACCCACAGTTATGACTCACTTTAGGTGAGAGTGGCTTCAGCACGCTGAGTTTGTCAAACCAAGTTAGAATGGTTTTATCTGCTTGTATACCCACATCATTGTCAAGGCAAAAAACATGGCTCCAATGAATTTGGTCCACAGCCACATCAACTGAATATGTGAAAGAGCTTTCTTGAGCTGAACATACCTCCTACTCATGTATCCCAAGACATGGTGTCATGACAACCAATGCTCATATTGGATTTAAATATATATTTTTACCTTATAGCAAACCATGAATCAAACGACACTAGTATTTATTTCTTGACAAATGAGTTTCCTTTTGTCACTCCTAGTTCTTAGAATCTAGTGTTTATGACCAGATCACATCACTTCTGCAAACTGAAAATGAACAAATACTTAAAGTACCAACTCACCCTGTCAGGTCCCCCACCCAAACACCTCAGAGGTGCAGATTCTTACCCAGCCATCCTGCCCCTGAGTTAGGCACACACATGTCTGTTTCTGCGCTGGGGAGGACAAAGCCCACCACAAACACCTCTACTCCATCAGACATGAGTGCCAGGCCCAGGACAAAGTACAGCTGCCACTGGAAGCGGCCATGGCCACACTCCTGCAGGATGAGCTCATACTGCTGGGCCAGCTCCTCCTCATCAGCCTGCCTCTCACTCTCCAGATCCTTATGGCTTTTGAGGCTATCAGAGACAGGCTCTCCCAGTGCCACATGCGCATCTGAGGGTTTCCCATCACTGTAGGCAGGCACACCCTGGTACTCCCCTTCGTAGACTTCATTCTCATCATCATGTCCCTCAGTTGCATCACTGGATGCCCCATCATCATTGTCTCTATTCTCTCCATAGTATTCATCCTGCTGTTGGTAATACTCCTCTTCCTCATTTTCGTTGTTGAAGCGGTTGTAGCTGCGCTGATTGGAGTACTCATCTGAGGCTCTGTCTACAGCCTTGTTGAAGTTTCTGGCAGCTTGCCTCTTGGCCTCTTTGGCAATGTCCTTCGCACCTTTAACTAAGGAAGTCCTGTTTTCATCCATATTGGTAGAGTTTATTAAAATAAAAAATCCTTTAAGGATTAGATAAAAACTGTGCAAGAGTTTTATTTTAACTTCTCAAAATCTGCAAGACACACAGTGCCATTAGGACCTGTCCAAAATGAAGAGTATTGATCTTCACAAGAGCGTTTCTGTCAGTGCAGAGCAGAAGAAACCATCAATCTGTGGAGAAGCAGAAACTAGAGTTAACATTTCAAAAAGCTCTCAAATCAAATATTGTAGTACTACTGTTCAGAAAGACATGCAGTATAGACCCATAAATCTGTGTGCTCATGTGGTTCTCCTGTCATGACTTTCTTTAAAAAACACAGTACAAACACATGTTTAATCCAAGCCATTTTGTGTGTGTGTGTGTGTGTGTGTGTAACTTAACAAATTGTGTAATATATGGTTTGTTGCAGTTCAGTAATAGTATGTTCCAATAGTCATTTAAAAGGACATTTTAATAAAGCAAAAGCATATAATAAATAGATTTTTTTTAAATAGAAATTTTTAGCATGCAAAAAGTTAAGAATTTTTAAAATACATAGAATGCTATATTGTTTCAAAATGCCATTGTCCAAAAGCACAACATTACCTCACTCAGCAGCAATAATACAGATAAGTGCTTTTCATTCAAGACTTTATAATAAGCTCTTGATAGCAGATGAGTATTTAAACATAGTACAGTTAACATTTAATAGATGCCAACACAGGTATCATTTCAAAGGCAGAGGTGATTAATCCTGGCATTTTCGAGTGATCTATCCAGGTGGAGCCATACAGATTAATTCCCATGTCCATCAACTCTGAAGAGAACAATATGTGGTCAGGAGTAATGTGCTCCACAGAGGGTCAGAAAAGAATAATACTGGCACCTTATGTAAGTTAAAATACTGTATATTATGGACAGCATATAAACTGCATTAATTAGAAAATTAATGCAGTTTATATGCAAAATATGCATAGAGCATCAACTTCTCAAGCTCTATAATGATATATAGTATAGTATAGTATATGTCTATTTTGATACACTACATAATAATAACTAAGTAAGTTTTAAAGGTAATTGTGGTAGGCCAATATGTGTTGACTAAACAAGATATATTTGTGCTATTGCTGCAGTAAGGATTCAGTCTTGAGATTTTCATGTTGCTGTTATGTTGCCTTGAGGTTGAGATGCCATACAGACCTGACCACTTATGTGTAGTCTCACATCAAATAGAAATGGGGCTAAGATAAGCAGGAGCCACAAGGTGGTTAAATAAACTGAATGCAAGCTCAAGATGAGCTTACAGTCAGCTGTATAAGGAATATTTAAGCTATTATAGGTCTTCTGCCTGGTGGTCTGTTGAGAGCAAAACATACATCATAACTCAATAGCCTACGCGTCACGAGCCCTCTTTTTTATTTCACGACTGCAGCATCAGCGTAGTGCTCTTAACTCATAGATTACCCTCAGCAGCGACCATGGAAAAGAAGCATCTAACAATGTGCAAACTTTGACGTAATCTTGTCCTGTACGTGGACTAATTACATGCTATGCAGCTGGAGAATCAGTAGACTGTTTGGGGGAGAGAGAAGCTAAGCGGCATCTCTTGGAAATTGAGAGGGAAAATGTACGGTGCTGGAATCCACGTGTTCGCACGCACGCACAAAGGCAAGACAAACCCCGGACAATGCCTTTTGGTGACGATCACTCAGCTGACACAGCAATCTGGAAAGTCTTTTGGACGATGGCTGAAATTAAAGGTGTTTCACGACTTATCGTGTGATTTCTTCCCTGCTACCTACTGCACATAAGCTATAACCTATCGAACACTTGACAGCGTCAAGGATCTAAAAGTCAAAAGTGACAGAAAAGGCTATTTTTTGTATCATGTCACAATTCATTAAAGTTTAAAAAGTATTTGGACCACAGCTTGATAGAGAGTGTGCTAACTTACGGTTTAAAGTTCTCTTAACTTTTGATTCAATCACACATAGCCTATACGTTTTCTGTAAAAAAAAAAAAAAAAAAAAAAAAAAAAGCTCCAAAAGATCTACACTGGGGCATCGCGGTGCGGTCCTCATCACCTAACTCCATTTTGCATTTTAAATGATGTAGCCTAGGTTGATTGCATCCACAATATATGCAGAGATTTTTTTTAAAGAACAGGTAAAGTAAATTAGGCTACTTGCCTTGTACAGCGAAGACGCATCTCCCAGAGTATTGTGAGTTCAAACCGTCTTTTCTAGGGAGAACGGGATCTGCATCTTTTCCGATGCAGCGCTGCCTCTACTGCAGTCCTGGAGAGACGAGAGTCTGAAGAGGGAGGTGGTGGGGATGGGAGGGAGCAGCGGGCTGTAGCTGGACTCGAGGCAGATTAAAAAGGAATCGATAGAAGCCTGCTTTCTCACCATAGTGAGCCTTCCCGCCTAGTGAACTATGCGTAGTGGCGAAAGATGCCAGGCTTAGAAGAACAACCCAGGATATTGTCGGGTATAGCCAAGAGTGCAAAATAGCTTAATTTAATTTAAAAGACTATCAGGGCTAGTTTATTCATCTACTAGTGATAACACTGATCTTCCAAATAGATTTCAATTGCAACAATTAATGATGACACATGGAGACTCTAAAACAGGGATAGGTTATATATAAAAGAAGCCTGGGGTAAATTCAATCCATAAACCATTTTAATACATGCTTCATGAGACTGCTATTAGTTTTTCCAATATGGAATCCCACTTCTTTCTGGACTGATTAACATGTGACTTAACTAAGTCAGAGTAGACTTTTAGACTGGTGACAGCTTATTTTGAAGGAGGAACAAAATACTTATGAGTGAGAAAATGATCGTACATGTACATAATAATAATAATAATATAATAAACCTGTGACTGAGCAATGGAACAATTTTTGTACAGATATCATATGCAACAAAAATAATCATTTGAAACAGTTTTTGAATGATGAATAATGCAGCTGTCACATCTGCAATGCATTGGAGGATCAAAAACACAATACACAACCCTTTACACTGCCTAAACTTTTTTTTTCTCCTTAACCTGGGGAATATTATGAAAGTAGCTTGAATTGCCTTGGCCTCTTTGATCTTTTCTGTGTCACACCTTCAAACCTCTGAGAATGCAAATAACTCAGGTATCAAACCACAAGGAAATGCCACAGTTCCATTTATTTGGTTCCACTGTGGAGTTTTCAGGTTTGTTTATTTTAGTGTTTTTTGGCAAAAAAAAAAATTATGTTTCCATAAGGAGGCTTTTAAAAATTCTAATCCTACAGTGTGATCAAAAGAAGAGAGGCCAATATGTATTTGAATTGCTTATTTTTTTATTACCTTATTTGGCAAAGGATTATGTTTTTTCCCTTATAATTGAATATACACCACATTCTGAAGTATTATTGCTTGAGTCAAAAGCAACAATGTCTTTTGCACTTAATAATTATAGTTTGGAAATGCAGCTCAAAATTTTCCCTTCCTTTTGTGTTCACACTGCGCAGGAGGTAGAGGGATGCAGTATCACACGTCACAATTTGTCAAACTGCATTAGGACACAGGTTAATGGATGAATTGTGACAGTGATATTGTTTTTATCCTGCATAAAGGGTAATGTACAGGTGAGAAGGGTATATACTTATTTACTTCTCATCTGAATCATGGTTACTTCTTATTCAGTGTGTATTGCACTGTATGCTCTATATTCAAAACTTGTAATACTCAAGTTGTAAAAGTAAAAAAGTTCATTTTTTTATCCATTATAATTTATCTTTGTTTGTAACAGAAACTTAACTATATGGAAAGTTGTTGTGAGTGAGGGTAACCAAAGCTGCTGTTCTGCTGTAATACTACTCTCAAACTGTCAATATAAATGATTAACTTTAAAATGTATTTGAACAAATTATGAAATGCAATACATTCCACACACTGAGAAAAAGAAAAATATCAGGGACCCACTTAGTTAGAAAATATGTTTGTTTTTACAATACATTTTCATATTAAACTACACCCTTGGTCAAATCATCTGCATTTTGACATTTAAAAGACAAATACAATTCTGACCTGCCTTTTTATTATTATGTTATGTTGGTGTTCAAAATGTATTCACTTAAGAGTATAACTTTATAGCTTAGCATTGATTCAAAGAGTTATGTTGTGTTTGTTATTGCACTGTATTTTATGAGAGCCCTTGTACTTGTCAGTACTTTTATGCTTTAATTCAAGGATGTCCAAACTATTCAGCCTCAGGTTCTATTCATGAACTGGTCCAGATGATCATAACTGATGCACTTACTGTATGTTTTGTAACTTTATGTGGCAGCTTAGTTAGTTTGTGGCCATACCGGCTTGTCAAAGCTTGATCCCGTCAGATCTCAGAAGCTAAGCAAGGCTGGGCCTGGTTAGTACTTGGATGGGAAACCACTGGGAAAATCAGGTGCCACAGGGGGGGCACCAGTTGCAAAAACTGTCGTTGTGTCATTAGGCAAGACACTTCACCCACATTGCCTAGTGTGAAAGTGGTGTGTGCGTGAGTGATGGTGGTGGTTGGAGGGATCAATGGCGCCGAAAAATAATAATGAAACTATAAAATGCTCTGTAAAGCGTCTTTGTGACATATGTCTGTGAAAAGCGCTATATAAATAAAGACTTACTTACTTGGTTCTCTGCTAAATGCACCCATGCAACAGACTTCTATGTCTTGTGTTTATCCAGTCCATAGGTATGATCAAGAACAAGCCTTTTGTTTGTGAGAAGACAAATAGCTTTACTTGTCCCATATGAAAATTGAGAGAGAAATTGTGTTGTTCTGCTGTCCTTGTTATCTTGGCCTACATCATCTCCGTACAACTGAAGTATGGCCAGACTGGACTGCACTACACTGGGTTATGGATAGCTATAACAGCATGTCTTGAGGATTCATGTCTCCAGGTCCTGTACTGATGGTAAATAGACTCCTCCTGCATTAGAACTCCAGCCTAATTTTTCTTCTTCAAACAGACAACAAACAGAGAATGTTAAGGTACATTTTGTAGCTTTCTGAAGGTCATCGCATGCATGATTCCATGGAAATAGAAGGTTCAAACCATACTTTGGAACATTCTCCATGGAGATAGTTAAGTTTGCCAGATGGTGGAAGATTATAGCCAAAGGAACAACATTTTCAAGGATACAAACGGAAGGAGGCCTTGCTCCAGGTCAAATAAGAGTGAGGAGGGTTGGGGAGCTGCATGCCAGTGTACAGTTTTTTTTGGTTTTTTTTAGATTTTCAGTACAATAAACACAACAAAAAACATTTTGTCATATTTTTGGCAAAAAGTTATATACTGCTTTAAATATGCTTTCTAAATAAGGCATTAGAGTAAATTGTATTATGGCCATCTAAGGCAAAGTACTCAACATTATTTCATTATTTATATTATTTTTTTCATTTCTTCTTTGAGTACAAACTCTGCAATTGCAAGGAGTCATTCTCTCTCATACAAATGACGACAGTAATTCCCCACATAGAGAAAGTGCTGATTTGGCAAAAGTTGCCTGTCTTGGGAAGGTCAGAGCATTCTTCTGTCACTGACAAATGAGCTAGACCATTCTGGTGTGTTATCTTTAAAACATGAAGCAAAGCAGGGCAACAAAGTGCATAGAGCACACTATCAAAACAACCGTCTCCCACAGCATCAAGACCACTCCATCATCTAGAAGTGTGTAGCCATTTTAGCACACATACTGGTCAATAAGTACATTCTTTTTTTGGTCATTGCTGCTCAAGCTTTACATTCCATTGGTCAGATAACCATTCAACACATTAGGTTGGCTGATTTTGTAATGGAACAAATAAAGAGGAATCTGATTTCAATTGATTTCTGTTAAAATGGTGTGATTATGACAAATTATTATTAATTGATAATAGAGTCCATGAACAATAGAAGTTATGTTATACAGTGTCTGCAGACGGCCTCATGAGACCATGTGCTACAATAACCTCATGATGTTTCTACAGATTCAATCAATAGAAAACAACAAGGCTTTAAATGCTACAGTGCCTCCTACTGATCGTGGTAGGGATCACATTCTCGTATAGGATTTGATTCAGCTAAACAGAAACCACAAAATCTATCTAATCTAATCTATGCAACATTAAACACTACACATGCATATTGTGAAAGATACAGTATGGTTGGCTTCATTAAAACTGTAAATATGATTTTAAAAATGTACTCCAAGAATACCAATTCTGGATGCTACTCTTCACTGTAGAGTTTCACTTGTGGAGGTAACGATATGATTATCATGATTATCAATCTATCGAGCCTAAATCATAATTATTATGTTAAAGTTGCAGCCCACAATTGAGAAAAGCATTACTATTAATGTATCCTGGCATGAGGATTGATGAAAACAGTAAGGATTTTTTTTTCTTTCTCATATTGTGCTACTGTGATTGAATTTATTGTCTTGATGTAGCAAAATATAAAACCATCTCCAATAAATTATCCGCATATGCACAAAATGAGGAACAAAAGTTATAAGCCGCAAATCAGAACTGTACAATTTACATAGAACTTTAGGGAAATCTATGTGAATTTATTCGATTATAGTACAAATATTTTCTTCCATCCATGGGTTTCGGAAATTAGAACTGTTGCAGAATCTATAAAATAGTCAATTTCATCATCATACTGTAGAGACCATAAGCTGTAAGGATGTTTGACAAAACCACGTTGGTCCACAATATCTAAGGCTCACACTCAGGTGCTGTGAGCAGACAAGTATTGCTTCAAACACTCTCCACATGCTTATCCGTTGTTTTTTGTTTGTCTGTCTATAAATACCTTAAAGGAACTGTGTGAGATTTTGATTTTAAATTAAAACTTTACCTGTCTGTGTCCTCAGATACAAGGTAACATGTTTAAATCAAATATGGCTTCTATCAATAACAATTCGACTGCTGATTTATTCTAAATTACCAAAACAGTGGACATTCTGTCCCATTTATTTGGTGTTTTGGTTCTCAGGACGATTATCTAATTAGAAACCAGAATGAGTCTCATATGAATCTCTTATTTAAGTGGCCAGTTTGGTGAAATTCAATTGGTTTAAACCTAAAATCACTTGCAACTGAATCATCGCTATTGAAAACCCAGCACCTGTAGCCAATCATTAATCGAGCACTGGCTACACACAGTTCCTAAAAAGTTTGTCGTATTTTCGAAAAATAAAAAAATTACCAGCCACCACTAGAGGGAGGCACTGTACGGAGTTTTCTTCGTACAGTGACAAATGACCTGAAAAAATGGCCTCGATAAATAGATAGACCAAATTAATAGCTAGGGTATTAATTAATTAACAGTTAATTAGGGTACTTCAGCTGAACTGATTTCAATTAAATACTATGAAATAATTAATCTAGCCTAATTTTTTTAATACTCACATACAGTTTATGAGGCCTATTGACATTAATGATTTTAACTGCTTATGTATTCTTTACATACCAAGAATCAGTATTTCCAGAAACATCACACTATAGCTCATGGTTGGTCTATTTTGAGGAAGAAACTATAAACAGAAGGAGGAGCCCCGGGTCGGTTTAGGAGAGGATTATGTGACGTCGGCCGAAGCCAGCGCCCTGCGTAGTGCGCTCGCTCAGTGCGCTCCACCGTCAGATGAACATGGCGTAATCCGTGAATTATTTGACGAGTAAAAACTTATGGGAAACGCTTGTGTGTCATTCGGGTGTAAACACACAAGCTCGCAACTCGGAGCTGAAGAAGATTCCCAGGCATTTTTCATCGAGTATGGTTGCTCTCACTTTTAGCACACGACATCGTGGAAAGGGCTTGTAGGCACAGTTTGACAGCGTTTATACCGTGCCCACTTGAACCCATAATGCGGACAACAGCTTTGGCTACACAACGGTAAGGTATTATTGTGGCAAGAGCTAATTAGACCCATAACTCCACTGTATTAAGGTCTCTGCTCGGTACCATCATGACTTCTTGAACTGTTGCTCAATATATTGCATTTCAGGTGATTCCGCTTCAAGCGTTTTCAACGTCCTTTTTAACGACGCCAGTGCCGCTTCAGATCGTTTTCATCTAGCAGTGCTCTGTGAGGAAATGTCAGATAATCAAAGCTGGAACTCATCCGGGTCAGAGGAAGACTTGGAACCCCGAGAGGAGCTGGGACATTTGGCTGCAATTGGAGAGTTTAGCGGTGTTCTAAGTAAGGTAAGATATCAGTCTATTGTAGTGAGAGGAGTGTCTCTATCAGCTGTCAAATGGCTGTATGTAAACATCTGTCCACATTCATTGTCTTCTTATGTAAACCTGCTTTGTGGTGATAAAAAAAAAAAAAAAACTTCTGTTTGAAATAAGATGGTGCTATATTTTCCTTTTGGTGCCGTCCATCGTGGCTTAGGGGAACAGATAAACCTTGATAATCCTTTGAAAAGCGTATGCTACTATTTATTATTTTCAAGATTAACAGTGTAGGCCTACACCTGCTACTGCAGCACATTCTTAGATTAGTGCACCTGCTCAATCTTCCTAATCTGTCTCATCAGATCTTTCCACAGGCTTCATAAAAGCAAACTGAAGTGCCCAACTTGTTTTTTGTTTATTACTGTAGTGGACAAATTACATCCATGGCTGGCAGGACCGTTGGGTAGTGCTGAAAAACAACACATTGAGTTACTACAAGTCCCAAGATGAGACGGAGTATGGCTGTCGAGGATCCCTCTGTCTTAGCAGAGCTGTTATTACTGTAAGTAGCTTTTCGGAACTTTGAGTGTTTTGAAATAGTTAAGCAATATGTCTTACTAAATGATCACATTTGGTCAGTTGCTAAATGATCACATGTGGTCATGAAACCTCTTGCAGTTATATCAGCTTACTTTCTGACTGTGTTAGAAATTATAATGTGTGAATGTCTTACATGTGGGTTAAGTAGGAATAATAAGAGGCCAGATTTTTTTTTTATAAATGTGGGACACTTGAAAATCAACTATACACACACTTGCATTGCTGAATATTTTTGCTGACTTGCTATAATATGTATAAGGCAATATCGTCACTGGGCCAAAAAAAAACCCTGAAAAAATAAGATATTAGTGTCTTTCTGTTTCAGATGACCTTTGAGTAGCATATATTTCCATACTGAATCAGTGAGTTATCAGCGAAAAGTGTTGAGCACAACATTATGACACACCTTTTCAGTAAAAGTGCTAATTAATGTGCTTATTGCTAGACAGGACTTTAGATATTTATGCTATTTGCCTTCTGAAACCTTACTCATCCAAACTCGAGTCTAAACTACTGCTTTACTTCTATCAGGTGATCAATATAAAAGCACATCAGTACACCATTTCATTAGATTTGAGTCGTGAGTTTGAAGTCCTGTTATCAAACATACCTGTGCAACATGTTTTTTCAGTAGAGGTTTCCCAAGACATCTTAGGTCATTTATTATAACAAGAGAAAAAAATGAACAAAGGAAGGGACTGTTTCTAGACGGAAAGCTGATTTAGATGTAAGTCGTATTTGTTAAACATTCCCTGGGTTTTAGTAAATATTAACCTCTTTTCCTGGAGATATTTCTTACTTTGCCAGAAATGTGCATTTTAATAGTTACTGCAAAAGTACTTCTCACTCAACACTGAACTTTGGTTACACCACACTGCATAACTGTTTTTAGAAAAGCAGAAACGTGACAAATAAGTGAATCATAGAGTCTGTGAATCGTAGAGTCCCAGGATATGTGACTCTGCCTCTGTCATGAGATTCGTGCATGGTCAGATCCATGAGCTAATGTTGCTAATTTAGCACCTGCTGCTTCCTTTTTCCAGAAGTTTTACTATCAGTCAGTTTCCTTTGAGTTTGTGGTGGCATTGTATTGTCATGTATTTTAGACATTTATTTAAGCTCAGTGCTTTGTGAGGATTTTTATTTTTTCAGAAAAAGCTCCAAAGTCCCATGCATTGATTTTTAGACTAAGATGGAAGAGACTTGTTACAGCTAAGAATTTTTCTACTCCATAATTTTTTTGTTGTTGTATATTTCGTTCCTTATTTGTCAGACTGTTAGTACATGCCCTCTTTTATTGCCTCTGCTCGGTTTAATTATAATAGAAGAAAATAGCCCAATTTGCAATTTGTTATAGGTTACCTCTTAGCTGTTTATTTTTTATTGGCACTGTTACGATATAACGATGCAGTTATATCTAAGTTCTGCAGTATGGTACTTAAAACATGCCACCCAAGTTAATATGGTGTTATGGTGTGACTAGTCGACATGGCAGCAAAATCACTCTCCTTCTGCTGCATTTCTAAATTACATACTTTATTCACACATGGCTCCAGGCACAGACATCTCTTGGGCCTTCAGTGCTCTTTGCTCACTGACCATACACTGGACTATTAAGAATGTTGATCAATCAAGTAATTCTTTTTAAAAGGTCAGTTCTGTCTATCTGTCACTTCTCAAAGGGGACTTTTGTCTATACTGGGAGTGCGATTGTGCATAAACAACATTAAACCTGCATGTTAGGCTGTACATTAACCTGACTCACTCCAGATTTATATGTGTAGAATTCAGTTCTACACAATCTAGAATAGCTCTCACTGAATGCAATCAGAAAACATGGAGCATCATGACAACTTTGAATCTTATTGGTCAAAGCAACACAATGGTAGAGCAAGTCAAAAAATCTAACATTTGTTACTTCCAGTTGAGAGAAAAGCACAGACATATTCTCTCTCCACAGCTGCACAAAGTGCTTACCTTCTGCATGTTTTTCATAAACAAACAAAAGTCCATATTAACATTAAAATAGGCTGAAGTATGTCTGTTGGAGTGTTTGTTTTGGGTTCTTTGGGGCTCATGGCTTTTGGTTTCCATACAAACCTCAGTGCTCCTCTGTAATTGGTCCGCTCACCCCATTAACACTTCAGTGGGTGCACTCCAAGATGGGTTCTCATGAGTTTGTGAACTTACAAATATCACGAAAATCCTCCTTGCTGAGCAAGGTTAGCTTTACATATTTTCTGAAATAAAATAACTACCTAATTCATTTGTTTTTAGGCTCACGAGTTTGATGAGTGCCGTCTGGACATCAGCGTGAATGACAGTGTGTGGTACATGAGAGCTCAAGACCCAGAGCACAGAGCACGGTGGATTGAATCCATTGAGCTTCACCGGGTAAGTCATTAAAGAAAAGTCATTGTTCCTTTTACATAGGTGTCTCTGGTTTGTGTTTATAATATATGTGTTTTCATTAGAGTCTCAGAGCAGGGAGGAGGGACAAGGGAGGAGCCCAGGGAACTGTACTCATCGCTCCAAACCTGGTGTGTAGATTAGTAAATGTGTAGGACCCTAGTTTGTGTTTGTATACACGAGGTTTGTTTTAAAGACAGGTTCTTGATATGAGAACACTGATTTTATGCTGCTTTTCTTGCATTTCTCAGACTAAACATCTAAATACACATGTTTTTTGTATGTTTGTTAAAATCAAAAGATTGTTCAAATTGCATGCTTGTTAAAATCAAATGGCAGTTTTATGTTTGTGCAAATCAAACCTTTCAAAACTAACATACTGTTGTGTAGCCTTTTCGACTCTGCTTGAAATAAATGAGGAGGTACCCAACAAGCTGGCATTGACAGCTCATATGTAGTTTAGGAAATCCCCCACTTTCCCCTTTCGTCCCTGTATCAGGCGTCAGGGAGCTCCATGAGTCACTCCACCCACATATGGACACAGCTGAGAGTTCATCCTCTTTTCTGTTACAATAACAATACACCAGGGTTTCCAAGGTAAGACGCAACAGCTCCAAGAAGAGATACATTCAGTCAATCAATGTTATACTGTTCCCATGTGAATCTATGCATTCAATAGAAACCTACTAAATCCTCCTATTGAAGACACAGTAAAGTTGATACAAAGCAGTCATAAAATTTATGCCTAATGTGCTGTTTGAGTTAGTCTAGTAGCAGTATGTTGGCAAAAGGGCAACAGCACTGACTGGCTCTTAAAGTTACTATTGGCTACTGACCTACAGTAACCTCTTGCAAATTGAAGATATGTGCATATACTGCCCTCTTGTGGTTGTAACAGAAACACAGCCTTAATATAATGCTGAACTTATCATGGTGAGGCCTTGCTTATTGACAAAAACTGTTATGTAAGAGTGCTGGTGTTTTGCATGTGCCTCTTTCTCACAGTCGTGCACATTACATGGCTATGTTTATAGTTAGATTTTTAAATCATGTCATTGTCAGATGCTTTTAAACTGCTAATAAGTTTTGCCTCCTTTAAAACATATTATGTATGCTGTTCTCTTAAGGCTGATTCTGGCTATGGCTCAGAGTCCAGTTTGCGAAGACATGGATCCATGCTGTCCCTTACATCAGCCACCAGTGGATACTCTGCCACCTCCACCTCTTCTTTTAAGGTACTTGAACACAATGTTTTGGCCAGGGCCGCAAATATGAATTATTTTGTTAATTATTGCAAGTCATTAGACGGCAGACCTGAGCTGTGCCTGTATTATTTTGACTATATTTGACCCATATGAAGCTAAAATGAATATGGGATGTATTCTGCCTCCACTAGCGTTTCGGAACTAGCTTTAGAGATAGCGAACAGTATCCTCAATAAGCACCCAGGAAGCCTCTTGCTGTTTTGGATATTTACTGAAGGGTTGACTGTAAAACTGTAACATACAAAAATTAAATGCATCTTACAATTCTGTCTTCACATTTAAACGAAAAAAGAACAAGCAGAGCTACATAAAACAACGTATAGCAACTCAACAATTCAAAATATGTACAACAATAGCAATAACATCACAAAAAACGTCTATAAAACAGGCGATTAGCATCATGCTAACATCAATGGAAATCTCTATAGACAGGCTAACGCTACTAGCATATTAAATTTTATCAGGAATCTCAAATATAAAACAAACCAAAGTGCCCCATAGAGTGAGTTAGCATGTTATAGTATTACAATACTCACAAACGGATATTTCTATGGGCCCAAAAAACTGTTCACAGGACTAAAACACTGACAAGAACAGTTAAAACAGGACTAGCAGAACAGTTGAAAAGTCAAGAACAGTATAGCGGCTAAGGTAGCTGAGAGTGGACAAAATAGATAAACTCAAAACAGAAATATTCTCCACCGGGGGCAGAACACTCCCCGCCTGGTATACTGTTATTCCACTATATTTTAACCAATAACACAACTCCTAAAATGAAAAGGTTTTGTGCACCCATGAGTAACTTTAACTACTTGTCTCTACTAGGCTAGGTGTTTATAGTCAGTCAAGTAATCCATCCATTTCTTCTTGGTTGAAGTGCCTGAGCTGCTCTTGTTGCCAACATTTCCGTAATGAGCCAGCAAGAGTTTGTAGTCTCCACTGTTTCCTGAAGTCCTTTGCATCAAATGTCCAGGGTGGTGCAGAGACGAGATTGTTGTTTTTTGTTTATTGTTTTTGAAAGCTGGAGGGTCCTTAGATGTGACCACATGAGGTGGTTCAAGGTTGGATGAAAGAGATAATGGACGATGGAAGATTGAGGCTTGATGGTGAACCTCTGCGACTGTTGGAGGATCCACACTTTTGATTAAGATGTGTGCTCCAGTAAATCCACTGGTGACACTGGTGCATGCGGTTGGCTGTGTTTCGTGATCAGCAGGATTGCTTTCAGAGCTAAAGAAGTGCCATTGACTGAGGTCAGGTGAAAATGCTGCTGTCATGGTAGGACTATTTGAAGCTATCTTATTTAAGTTTGAGTTTGAGTGAAAAGAGGAGCTGACTTGGAGTTTGTTGGGACGAGAGTCAAGAAGAAATGTGCGTTCATGGATTATCATAGAAGTACAATACACACTGACGTTGCTTGGCATATGATCACCCTCTCTGCAAACCTCCCCAACTACAACCCAGCCAAGCTCGAGGCGTTGAGCATACGGGGCATTGTGAGGGCCATTATAGTATTCTCTGACCTTGTGGACTTGTGGTATGTCCCGCCCAGGGAGGACCAATATTGCAGCATTTGGGTCTAAAGCAGGAATCTTGTCCACCAAGTGTTTGAGGTGAGTGTGGCGCTTTGTAACCTCTGGTGTAGGGATCTCAGATCGATTATCTGGGAGTGTGGCACACTCGATTAATGTAGGAAGCTGAACACTGGTTTTGCCATCTAAAGACTCTATAGTAAAACCATTAGCTCGCCTTGCTTGAGTCTCTCCTACTCCTGAGCAAGTTTTGAGAGTGTAAACTGCTCTGTCTGTGTTTACGTTGAATATTTCAAAGAATTCTGTCTTTGCCATGGATCTGTTACTTTGTTGATCTAACACTGCATAGGCCTTGACTGCTTTCTCTTTGTGCCCATCAGGATAAATCTTTACCAAACAGATTTTGGAGCAGGAACGTGAAGTGTTATCTTTTCCGCAGATCTCTGTGCATTTGGATATGATAGCTTGAGTGGAGCTCTCTAGTTGCTCCCCGCCATGCTTTTCCGAGTCTGCTGTGTTTGGCGTTGGAGTGCTCCAAGGAGCTGGACCGGGATGCAGAGCTGTGACATGGTGGTTGCTTTTACACTCACTGCATTGTATGTCTGTGTTACAGTCTTTAGCCCTGTGGCTGGTAGAAGAACAGCACCTATAACAAATGTTCATTTCCTTTAGAATTGCTTTCCTCTCATCTAAAGTTTTGGCTCTGAAACCACGACACTTGCGAAGGGAGTGCGGTTTGTTATGGAGTGGGCATTCATTGTAGAGATGCGCGGATTGCGGTTACAACCGTGGACTCCGCGGCTAAACCGCGGGTCGGGCGGATGACGTGACGAAAAATAATATTTTAATTAAATTCAGGCGGGTGGCGGATTCACTACTCACATAAAAAACTCTGAACTCAGAGCAAATGGGAGGAGACCGAGCGGATGGCGGGCGGGTGCTGTTTTGAAAAAATGTGGTTGCAAATGGATAGCGGGCGGATGATGATTTTTCCGATGTGGTTGCGGATGAAAAAGTAGCCCATCCGCGCATCTCTAATTCATTGTCAGGATCGACTGCATTTCCTTCTAAAAGGTCGCTACAGTCGTCTCGAGCAGTTACATCAGTTTTGCAGACAGACAGTGCATGTTTAAAGTTAGGCTTGTTCAGTCTCTCTGGCTTAGAAATGCTTAGACCACTATCAAAGAGTAGGGGGGCAAAGCTTGGATCATTGAGTGTTTTGGCTTTGTCGCACAAAAACTTTACGAAGACTGAGAATGGAGGGTAGGTAGCATTATATTGTTTTTTGTAGTGGGAAGCTGCAGTGATCCAGTTTTCTTGGAGGTGATATGGGAGTTTTTGAACTATAGGAGTAATTCCACGAGATGTGTCAAGGTAACTGAGACCAGGTAAGAACCCATCTAGGTGGGCTGCATCAAGTTCAGTAAGGAGGTCACCTAGCTCTCTTAGCTTGTAATTCTCTCTGTTTGAGATTTTAGGAAACTCTTCTAGTTTTGTCAGTAAGGCATTCTCTATTGCTTCGGGGGACCCATAACTGTCTTCCAGTCTTTGCCACAGCATTCTGACACCAGCAGTGGCATCATAGATGTGCACGGCCCGAATGCGTTTTGCTTGCTCTGACGACTCAGGGCCTAACCATTTACAAAGAAGCTCTAACTCCTCTCTTGGAGTGAGACTAAGTTCTTCAGTGGCATTAAGATAGGATGCCTTCCAGGCCCAGTAATTTTCAGGCTTGTCATCAAACATTAGGAGCCCTGAGGTGACTAACTCTCTGCGAATCAGATGTTTGGCTAAGTCCAATGTGGCAGTGGGGCCAGACTCATTAGCACTGATGACAGGTGATTGCTTGGGCTGGATTTTCTTGGGTGACTGTCTGGTATAGGGTGGAAGTCTTTGATCATAAGTGGCAGGGCCAGGATGGTGTTGTTGAGGCGTTACTGTGGCATTTTTGAATGAGCTTTGGATGTAGGAATGGTCTACTCCATTAGTGGGTTTGTATTTTGGAGATTATGCTGTTGGTGACTCTTTGCATTCATATTCGCTGATCTCACTGAAGGGTTTGCTGTGTTCTTCTACTTCATTCTGTGCACCATTGTCATTTGTTTGTTGACGTGCTGGTGGAGATTGTGTGGGGGCTTGAGCATTATTAGGTTGGTAAACAACTGGTGACTTGGTTACCAAATTTGGCATGACTTCTTTACTTGGAAAACAGATGTTGCTGGTTTCATCAGCAGCAGCAGCCTCTAGTACCTCAGCTTCAGCAATGGCTGCTGCAGCTGCACCTTTCAGTCGTAGCGTGTGGAGATTTGCCTCGATCTCTGCTTCCCTTTTAATAGCTTCTGCTTCAATGTGTGCTTGCTCTTTAATCATCTCTGCTTCCTTTTCTGCAAACAATAATTGTGCTCGAGCTGCTTCTGCTTTGGCGCGGGCTTTTGCTGCCAAAAAACACTTGTATTGGAGCACTGACTGGACCGTGAAGCACTGGAACAGTGTGATCTGGTTTCCCACTGTTCGTCCATGTTGCTTGCCTGTGCTGTAATGTTGTTTTGTGACGTGAAGAGTGAAGTGCGGTGTCCTGTGTTGTCCGTTGACTGCCCGTTGAACATGTCTTTTTACTATTCTGCCTCCACTAGCGTTTCGGAACTAGCTTTACAGATAGCGAACAGTATCCTCAATAAGCACCCAGGAAGCCTCTTGCTGTTTTGGATATTTACTGAAGGGTTGGCTGTAAAACTGTAACATACAAAAAATAAATGCATCTTACAATTCTGTCTTCACATTTAAACGAAAAAAGAACAAGCAGAGCTACATAAAACAACGTATAGCACCTCAACAATTCAAAATATGTACAACAATAGCAATAACATCACAAAAAACGTCTATAAAACAGGCGATTAGCATCATGCTAACATCAATGGAAATCTCTATAGACAGGCTAACGCTACTAGCATATTAAATTTTATCAGGAATCTCAAATATAAAACAAACCAAAGTGCCCCATAGAGTGAGTTAGCATGTAATAGTATTACAATACTCACAGACAGATATTTCTATGGGCCCAAAAAACAGTTCACAGGACTAAAACACTGACAAGAACAGTTAAAAAAGGACTAGCAGAACAGTTGAAAAGTCAAGAACACTATAACGGCTAAGGTTGCTGAGAGTGGACAAAATAGATAAACTCAAAACAGAAATATTCTCCACCGGGGGCAGAACAGGATGTATATAATTACAAACAGAAGAGATTTATTAATTCATTTTGAAGACAGTGCCACACAGATGTGATAATTTATCTCAAATTATGGCATGTTTGGAATCTCTGTATTACCCAATTAATATGTTAAAACCCAAGATATACACAGCATGTTCTTTTATGAACACTGTATTCTATAATTGTGTTGCTTCTGTATGTTAAATGTTTTAGAAAGGACACAGTTTGCGAGAGAAACTGGCTGAGATGGAGACATTCAGAGACATCTTGTGCAGACAGGTGGACACACTGCAGAAGTATTTCGACAGCTGTGCAGATGCAGTGTCAAAAGATGAGCTTGAAAGAGACAAAAGTAAGTTGACACCATTAACTAGTTTTACTAGTTTTTCAAATGTCTTAAAACCAATGATGTTTGTGACAAAAAGCTTACTATAAATGCTGTGAATCTAGAAATGGTTTTCATTTGTTGACCATTTGATATAGAATCAATGTTTTTTGACTTGAAAACATGCCCCACCTCTAAATAAACTTAGAAATGTATAGGCTTTTTTCAGCCTTCGTATGTCTTGGCTGATTTAATCAGTTTGTGACAATGATGCTGTGTGGATGACCAGAGTGAATAAAGTAAGGCTTTTGTTCTCTTCACCTCCCTCTCTGCGTTTCTCACCCGCTCCACATTCTGAAGATGAAACAAGACCATTGTCATTTTGACCAGCTCAGCAGTCTCTCTAATGGCTGACAGCACTGTAGTCAGTGGATGTTGCTATGCTGCAGATTCTATACTGCTAAAGCACTCTAGAAGTGTCTAAATAAAAAAAATTTATAATATATATATATATATATATATATATATATATATATATATATTATTATTTTTTTTTAGCTATTTATTTAAATTATTATTATTTTTTTTTTTTTTTGGTTTAGTTTTGGATGATGAAGAGGATTTCCCCAGCACTCGAGCAGATGTTGAATTTTACCACCACAACAATAACAGCAGCAGAGAAAAATGTAAGTAATGGAAAAAATACTAGAAAAGGTCACTTATTTATTCTGTATTAATGTCTCATTATGTGCTATTGTTTTCTTGTCAGTGTTTCAAACTCTGAGCCCAAAAGAAATCAATGGCATAGATTTCAAAGGTGAGGCAATCACATTCAAGGCTACCACAGCTGGGATCCTGGCCACTTTGTCACACTGTATTGACCTCATGGTGAAGAGAGAGGAGAACTGGCAAAAAAGATTGGATAAGGTGATTGCCTACTTTAAAAATACATAAAATACAGTATATGCTGTTGGTGAGTTATAGCTGCAGAATCATGAAAGATGTCCTTTGCTCTTTTTTGTGTTTCTAATTTTGAAGGAGATGGAGAAGAGGCGAAGAATAGAGGAAAGCTATAAATCGGCCTTAAATGAATTGAAGAAAAAGTCTCACTTTGGAGGGCCGGACTTTGAGGTGAAAGTTGTAATATAATGATTCATACCAACAATTACAACCATCCCCTACTCCTTCTAAAGTTAAATCGTCTCACATTTAAGGAAGGACCAAACAGCCTCATTAATGAAGAAGAATTTTTTGATGCAGTTGAAGCTGCACTTGACCGACAAGACAAAATTGAAGAGCAGGTATACAGTTAATATGTTGATGCTATAAGACTATATTAGACAATAAACATGTACTCCTTCATTTCTATGCTATGTAGAAGAGAAGATTTTGTAGAGAAAAGAAAATCACTTTTGTTTTTGTATTTACAGTCAGAGAAGACAAGGACCAGAGACCAGAGACCTAGTCCTGTCCCCATTGGAAACATCTACTCTAGCTCTGGCTCCCACCGGTTCTCAGAAAAGGTTGTTAATTATCCCATTTTAACCCTTTCACATTAGATTTTTTTTAATACATCATTTATTCTTTTTCTACTTTTCACATCTCCTTCCTTTATTTTTTTTTTTACTTCAACTCATCCTGTTGTTGCCCGTTACTTGTCGCCCTTTTCTGTAGACTCTTACTCAGACCTCCCCTGCCCTTGTAATCAGGGCACCTCCCCATGAAGTCCACAGATTCAGCACAGAGGTAACAACTGCTGAGACCTGATGTCCTCTGTGCTTCTTTGCTCACTAATATCAGTTATACAGCATAGAGTTTATACAGTATTCAGCTGGAAATAGGAATGTCATAATATAGAAGTTTCATGTTATAATTAGAGAAGAAACATCATGTTTTGACAGTTATTCACGATTATTGACAATCATATTAAATTCACAGTGTGCTATAGATCACCATTCTTATTGTATGTGATCAGCTTGATACAGTAGTACACTACACAAGTTAATGTAACATAAAACAGCTAGCACTTAAAATTTAGATTTTTTTTTTGAATATAAAGAGGAATTGTAATGACTTATTTTTATTTGTCTGATTTATAATGTGACCTGAATCATAGTGGATTTACCAAAGAATCTTGATATCCTTAGCTGTAACTAGAAGAGTGGAAAAGCATGGGGTGATGTCTGTTAAGTGAACCCTTTTAGTTTAAGCATGAGGGTATTTAGAAACACTGTCATTCATTATGTTCTTTGTCTCTTGTTTCTCCAGGTGGATGAGATGGTTCAGAATCACATGACCTTCTCCCTGCAGGATGTTGGAGGAGATGCTAACTGGCAGCTAGTGGTAGAAGAAGGAGAAATGAAGGTAATGTGTTGTTACCACCTTATTCCATGTATTGCCTTGTTTCTTGTTCTTGTTTAACATTCAGATGTATTGTGTGGGGGGTGGTTTAGGTGTACAGAAGAGAAGTGGAAGAAAATGGGATTGTACTTGACCCACTGAAGGCCACCCATTCAGTGAAGGGAGTGACCGGGCATGAGGTGTGCCACTACTTCTGGGATACTGCATACCGCAATGATTGGGAAAGTGAGTAACAATTTACTTTAAAGCAACATTGCTATTTATGTATTATTGTTTATTTATTTGATGGGGGACTGTGCATTTTAGTGAACATCTGTAATTTCATTATAAATATGCCAGATTATATCAAAAATGCTCAAAAAAAATTTTTTATTTAAAATTCTGTATTTATTTATTTTGGTTTAGTGTCTGACTTTTGCCACACCCATGTTCTATATTTATCAAATATGCATTACCTCCACTATTAACAAAAACAATAACAAGCAATGCTTTTAACACTCATTATTATCTGCAGCACAATACTGTATTTATTAATACTGTAAAACATGTTTGTATTCTATTATAGACTGATTTATTATATCTGTAACTTTTCATTTTCATACTTTTTGTATAGCCACTATTGAAAACTTCAATGTAGTGGAGACATTGTCAGATCATGCTGTGATCATTTACCAGACGCACAAGGTAAGGTTAATAAACTGTAGATCACTGTGAAATGTGAGACAGTGACAGACAGATATGCTTTGATTCCAGCGAGTTTGGCCAGCGTCTCAGAGAGATGTGCTCTATCTTTCTGCCATGAGGAAGATTATGGCCAACAATGAGAACGACCCTGATACTTGGCTGGTTTGCAACTTCTCTGTCGATCATGATGATGCACAGGTGATTTTTTTTTTATATATGTGGTCAATTGGCGAGAAGAAAATTTGGTCAGTATTTTATTGTTTGATTTTTATGTTACCAGCCAACCAGCAGATGTGTTCGTGCCAAAATTAATATTGCCATGATCTGCCAGACCTTGGTCAGTCCACCTGAGGGAAACAAAGAGATTAGCAGAGATAATATCACATGTAAAATCACATATGTAGCCAATGGTATGTACTTGTTTCTCCATTTATTTATTTTTTGGTTTGGTTGATTTTTTTTTTTTTTTTTTTTAACATAATATGTATACTCTGTATTTACAGATTGTAATAACAATGTTGTGCTTTCTGTCCTTGTAGTAAACCCTGGAGGATGGGCCCCTGCATCTGTCCTAAGGGCTGTGGCCAAAAGGGAGTACCCCAAATTCTTAAAACGTTTTACTTCTTATGTTCAAGAAAAAACTGCTGGCAGACCCATTTTATTCTGAGAATCCCCTTTGAAAATGTCCATCTATTCTGATCACTTAATACTTAGAAACTAGAAACAAATTTTATTTATTTTATACACAACATTCTGTTTAAAGAATACAGTCCACTTTTCGAAAATAACTGATTGTCTTCTGCAGATGTTTTATTGGCTTAAACCTAAACTTATATATGTAGTTATAATAGTTCATTCTAGAATCCATATGTATTTGTATTCATGCAACTGGCAATTGTAACTTTTTACTGTAGTTGACTTGTGGTTAACATTTCAGTTTCTGTCTGGCTGAAAGTTTGATTGCTCGTTATAATTTAATATTTGTATTTTTTTTAAGTCCTGAGGGTTGTCATTAAGCTTTGGACCCTATGACATTGGACTTGATCATCTGATCCTCATCTCTCTAATGAAGCAACTTGGTTCTGATGGAGAGTTGTGTAGAGATGGGCCTTTTGCCTATTTGATGGACAGTGCCCACATACATTTGAACTACATAGTGGTAGCTGTTTCTTAGTACAGGGCTGTTGTAGCACAGACTGAACTTTTCAAAAAAAAAAAAGAAGTTAATAGAAGAAAACTAGTTTGAGCCCAGGTGCCTTAGGAAAACACTCAGCACTTATGTGCCCACAGTTATAGCTAGCCTTAGCTTTTATAAATGGCTAAATAAAATAAATGAAAAACTATGCAATGATGTGTGCTCATTTTTATATTTTACTTTTATAATGATGCCTTTAGACAGCTGCTCAAAGTTGCTTACAAGGGTGTTCAAACTATGGCCTGGGGGTCAAATGCAGGCCCCAGACCTATAACTTTGCCCCCAACCCAGTTGCTCCAAGTGATAAAATTATCAAGTAATTATACTATAATTTTTATAACATCACCTTGTATTGTGATACAGATCTAAAATGTTGGTTCCAAATCTTATTAAAGGTGTGGTGATTTACAATTTCACACATAATGCACATTCTGCCTTCGGTTTCACTTGTTCAGCTTGGGTTAAAAAATGCTATTATTTATATGAACTGATATGTGTCAAATATCACTGTGCCCATTTTTCTAAGTCTAGACCAGCATCAGATCTGGGGCCTCATTTATAAAAAACTGCGCAGGAGTTGTCGTAATTAGTGCGTACGCCTTGTAGCTACGACAGGCGTGCGCCACGCAAACTCCATATTTAGAAAACCCACCGCACGCACCAAACCACGCAATCTTTGCTTTATAAATCCCACCTGCAACTACAATTTGCGCACGTAAACCCACGTCACGTCACGCCCTCTCCACACCTCCACCTCACCATAAAAGGAGCATGTAAAGTGACTCGTGAATGAGATTTCCCTAAACATGAGCCGATAATCAGTGGGTTTGACCGAGACACGCGGGACAGAGGGAAGAGGACGCTCCACGCAGCACCACGTGATCACGACAAAGACTTTATTAAAGACTTTATTAAACAAGGTTTAATAAATAAATCCAAAACTAAAAGTGACATCAATGACTCATCTGTTCATTTAATCATATTTTATAATATTTAGGCAGCACATCTTTGCAGTAAAGCCCATGTTTTTTTTTCGCTGTTTCAAGAGTTTTATCGCTATATTTTTAAGTCTGTCTATGAAGTGTGTGAGGACTGGCCCTGTATTTATGCATATACACGTAGATACGTGCACGCGCTGATCTGAATGGTCAAATTATGAGCGCGTGCGAGAGATTCAGATGCCCTCCCTGAAGAGGGAAAGGAGCGAGGGAGGGATACGAGGATACGAGGACACAGATTTAGCACGAAACACTTCAGATACAGATGTTATTCTGCCAATTAAAATCCACACGAAACATCCAAACTGCTCACCTGTGAGTGTGGGTCTGGGTCGGGACCACTGTTGGGCAAGTTACTTTGAAACTGTAATGCGTTATTTATTACCTATTACTGTCATTTCAAAGTAATTCGTTACATTACAATATTACTGCATTTAAAATGTAAGGCATTGCATTACTTTAAGTTACTCTCACCAAAATAACTTTTGCACTGTATATGGACTGAACCAGGACTAAACCAGGTCTAAACCAGGAGTAAACCAGAGCTGAACCAGGACTAAACCAGAAGTGAACTAGGACTAAAACAGGACTCACTGTAGGGACGGGCTCGAAGGTGACCGCAGGAGAAAGGAGCGGCTCTGCTCCGCACCTCACGGAGGTAAGAGCGGCTGTCACCCGTTCGCTCTTTATGGACCCTGCTGCTCGGGCTCGCGGCCCTGATTTCAGCAACTATTTGCAGGTACCCGAGCCAGGTGCAAGAGTCTGTTACAGCACGTAACTTCTACCTTCCTTCAGCGTCTCCAGAAGTCCAACTTTTTGTGTGATGGTTTGCATCTTCCTCTGCCTTTTGGGTGCGAGCGCAGGAGCCTTTGTCGGTGCAGAACGTTTCGTCGACGTTGTGGGTTTCGTCGGGGAGAAAACTTGCAACCGTACAGCACTTCAGAATCACACTGCTAGAGACTGAACATGTATTTAAATTTGGCAGCTGAACACATTCTGTACTGTACTGTACAGGAGACAGGAGTCCCTTGGCCAGTCAGGACGCAGCGGGAGGAACGCAATACGCATTCATACAATGTAAAAAAAAAAAAAGGGCATGCAAAATTGCACACAAAAAAAAAATCTGCGAGACCGCGAAAAGTGAACTGCGATAGAGGGAGGGACGAGTGTAAACCAGGTCTAAACCAGAACTGACCCAGGTCTAAACCAGGTCTAAACAGCGTGGAGTTCTTTGTCAGTCCTTTCGCCCGCGGTTACCTGAAGGTCTATGAGGGCGCATCTCCGGCGTTTCACCGCTGCTGATATCGAGGTGATTTTAGCGAATTTGTATGAAGAAAAACCCACCACTTCAATCCAGGTTAAAAAAAACACTGTAACGCGCGTTACTCACATTTGTACCGAGTAAAATATTACTATTTTTTCCTCTGTAATGCCTTACATTACTGCGTTACAGCAAAAAGTAATGCATTACTGTAATTCGTTACTTTTATAACGCGTTACTCCCAACACTGGTCGGGACGAGCACGGGCATTATTCTGTTCTTCATACAGTCAGAGAGCAGCTCTCATGTGCAAAAGTTCCCCATTACACAAAAATGTAGGAAAGATTTTGGTTCGGATCAGGTTCGGGCAGTAGGCTTCGTGTCGTGCGCAGACTCGGGTCACTCTGGCGCTCTGTGCGTAAAGACTAAAGTAAAAGTGTTAAAGTTGCGTTCATTAAATCAAAGCCTGGCTCCTGCTGCGTCCAAGGGAAGAGTTTTCTCTCAGGTCGGGTCATTATTTCGTCCTCTGTGTTGGTCAGACTGTGTTCTATAGAAGTCCATGGTCACGGTGTGGACTGTGGGAGACTCTGCGCTACACCGGGTCCGGGAACGTGGTCGCGCTCGTGCACGAATTTCAAATGAATAATATTGTGGAGAATAATGAGTGGAATAAACAGCCCTTCTCCGTATTTTGGCGAACCAAACACTTAAATGCGCAAATCTGAAGGTAATTCTTCTATATACGTGGATTTTCTGATCAAACACTTCCTCAAACTCTGTTCACTTCTGCTTCTCTCCACGAGTGTCGCTTTTTCCCTGTCTCCAGACTTTGCGTAGAACTTACAGGAGGTCCCGAGTTGGCGTAGAGTTAAGCAAAGAGCCACGCCTTAGGCGAATTTTATAAATACCGCGGTTGGCGTAGGAAGCGCGCACGCACGGATTTTTGCGTAAGCAAGCTTTATAAATGAGGCCACTGGTCTAGAGTTGGGCAGCTGCATGAAGCCTGTGGTTACTTCCGTAGATAATTACATCAATTTCTCTCTGTTCATGGTCGCTCAGTCAGATTTAGGTGTGCATGTGAACAAAAGCTATAACCTAACCTAATATAATAAACCTAACCTCTTTTCACTGACACCTGAATTTACCCCAAACTCAAACTAAATTGCCTTCATGCAACAGGCTTCAGTACTTTAACTTACTGGAGTACTATCTGATATGGTGGAACTGTAGATCTGTATTTTTAATTAAGAAATTACAGTACTTTGATCATCTCTGCCAGACAACCTTTATATTATGTTTGTAAATAGGCAACAGCAGGACAAGGTGAAAATATTTAATATAAATAAAGCATCTTATTAAATTAAATTTGCATTATTCTTTAAAGGCACCAGTTTTGCAAGCAATAGTCTAAACATCACAGGATCAAAATCTGCAGTCATGAACTTTTTTGTGCAGTTAAGCAATCCTATACATCCACATACATTGCCATTTCAACAATAATTACGCAACTATTTTATGGCTTTGGTTAACTGTATGAAAGTGGCTTGTAACAAATTCACACACCTTTTGAACTGCAGTAGGAACACACAACTATTCATAAGGAACATTGTTGGTGGAATGTTGTGTAAACCATCAAACTTTTTATGCAATTTTGGCAAAATCTGACCACTAAAAGTATTCTGTCTTTGACAAATTGGCTAAAATGGTAGGCACAATATCTAATGTTTAACATAATGTTTAAATACAGTAGAATTAATCGGTCACATTATTCCAACTCTGTAAGAAAAAAAAGTCAAAACAAGGTTCAAAATGATGTGTTCTCAATTTAGGATCCAGGCATCACACGCACGTGCCAGATGTTTAAAAACTAGATCTTAAAACGTCCCTTTCAGTTTAGGGTCAAGATGGATCATGCTTTGATGCTGAGGTGTCTGGTGTGGCACATTGCATTCCAGCCAAATTTGTTGTAGATCTAGGGGGAAAAAAAACAACATCAGTTTGAGAGGAAAATTAACCCCCCCCCAAAAAACGGTTGAAAGGCAATGCATTTTGAATTGATAGGTCACCTATTGTGGGTCATGTGGCTTTTAACTAGATGACCAGCAGCTAGAGCAGCCATAAGTGAGAGCTCCCCTGCTAAGACAGTTGCACACACTACACGAGCTAGCTGACGACCATTTTCACCTGGATGGTTTGGGCTGGTCCCTTGGACACCAAGCATCTGAAACAATGATTGTATAAATAAAAGCTTAACACAAGTGAACAATATACAAAATGTTGATTAAAAATATATTTAGCCATACTTCTAGACAAGCTTTCTGTGGCATCAGATTGGTGCCACCTCCCACAGTACCCAGCTCAATGGAGGGCATTGTGCAAGTGATGTACAGATCCTCTCCTCCTGGTCCAGCAGGTTCCATCTGTGTGATACAATTGGAACTACCCACCGTTTGTGCAGGGTCCTAAAAGGAAAGAATAAGGAGAATTAAACTCACCCCTGGTCACTGGAGGTGTTTGTTTTGGTGCATAGTGACTGACCTGTCCACATGCTATATAAATAGCTGTTACAATATTAGCAGCATGGGCATTAAAGCCTCCTATGCTGCCAGCCATGGCTGAACCCACTAAATTCTTATTGATGTTTAACTCAACCAGAGCAACAGTACTGCTCTTCAGCACCTGGACAGATAAACAGTGTGTTAAATTTAAATTACTGTAATAAAAAAAAGTGTAAAGTCAAAATTACATTACCTCTCTAACAACCTTTCCTGGAACAGTAGCTTCACACACCACAGACTTTCCCCGGCCCAGGATCCAGTTAAGAGCTGCTGGTTTCTTGTCAGTGCAGTAGTTTCCACTCACAGACAGCACCTCCAGGTCTGGGAACTGCAGCTTTAGCCTTTGCAAAGCACGCTCTGTCCCCTGCAGAAGAGTAGCTTATGTTGGTTGTGACCACACAATGAATGGTTATCTTTTCTAACATACACAAATATATTAGGGCCAGGCACGTTAACGTGTTAATTAATTAGTTAATGCAAAATTATCGCCAACAATTATTTTAATGCAGTTTTTATTATTTATTTATTGTAAACATCTGTTGCTCACTGGCTTTTATTTTGAAAAAGTCCACTGCATGCGTTTCTTTAAATTTTACATCTTTTCTTTCTACTTTTTTTCACTTTTTTCTGACCACGTGAGATGCAACATGTCCGAGCCTCCGTGGGCCGTGAGCGGGCTCCAGCTCCGGCCCGGCCGGGCCAGCCATGGGCTTTGAGCTTCCACAGGCTCCTAGCTCTGGCCGCGGGCTTGGGTTCACGGGTCTTTCCTTTTCTTCTTCTTCCAGACGCCCCTGAGGCGTCCAAATAGAAGTTCAGTCCAGTGAGGTTTTCGTCGATGCGGTCTTGCTTACATAATGCTATTACAGGGTATTCGCGAAGGCTCGGAAGATTTCGTGATATGATCCCGCCCATAATTCAATGAAATATGACTGGCTAAGACAACTGTCAAGCTCAAACTTCATTCCAGCCACCGAAGGCCCTGCAGGTGTTTCTTTAGTTCAGTGCTGCAGGGGGGGTCACCGATTTACCCAGATACCATTAGAAGAAAAATGATGATTGGTCCATTTCCGTTCCATTATATTAACCCCTTGTTGCCCAAGAAATATTAGTCCAAGTTTATGACAACGATCTAGAAATTACTAGTGTAGTGTTTATTACTCACTGAATAAAAAATATTGAAAAAATGTATCAGTAGTACAAAAATTCATTCAGTATTTTTTCTTGAGCCTTCACTGAATACCTTGAAGGCTGAAGGTTCCCCTCTGAAAGAAATGCTGTTTGCACAACAAATGTATGGCTCTTTCATTTACATTTCCAATAAAAGTGCACTATACGATACACTTTAATTCATTAATTGGTTTTGTGTATAACGTGCGATTAATCGCACTCAAACTCATGCGATTAATATTTTTTATTTTTGCCAAGCCCTAATAGATATAGCTATATAGATATAGATATAAATAAATCAACAAATCAACCACAATACCTTGGAGAGCATGTTCATACCCATGGCATCCCCTGTCTGAGACTGGAAGCGAATGTACAGATTTCTACCAGCTAAGCCCACTAATAACTTCTTTAAGCGCCCAAACCTAGAAAATGTAGACATTCATTTGCTAAATTTCATGTCATAACTGTCAACATACAAGAGAAATGTGAATGTCCAAACCTGCTAGTCTCATCGAAGGCCTCTTGGAGAACACAAAAACCTTCTGGGCTCTCAAGCCAAAGTTTTGCCTCTGCGGCACGACAAGCTGATGGCAGTCGCACAACTGGACCCCTAGTCATGTTGTCAGCTAGTATCCTGCTGCGACAACCTCCACTCAGCTGAACAGAGTGATTAGAAATTAGAGTCAAATATTGTTTGATTTAAGTGCTAAGTGTCATTTGAATATTTAATTTAATATTATGCATTTATTAATTTTAATCATTTCTTTCAAACATTTATTTACATTAACTTTCATATAATTAATGTAATTTGACTGTAGTTAGAGGAGTACTTACTGACAGAGCTCGGCATCCTCGATTGGTACTGGCCACAAGACACCCCTCGGTAGTCGCCAGGGGAACATAAAATGGTTTATCGTCCAACAGAAGAGGGCCTGCAACTCCAACAGGAACTGGCATGTAACCAATGACATTCTCACAGGAGCTTCCCATGACCTGCACATTGTACATTGTTATAAGTAAAATATAGCATCCATTTCTGCAAATGAAAGAACATTCTTTGTAGGCCCTACCTTTGAGTAGTCATAGTTTTTATAAGGTAGGTGTGCCAAGGCAGATGTTGAAGGTAATTTGGAAGATAACAACTCTCTTCTGATGGCCACCGCTCTTTCTGGATTCTCTAGGACCGTTTCTAATTTATAATTTTGGATTTTACGTGAGGTGACCAGGTTCATTACTTCTGAATCACTTAAACACCTGGGACCGCGCTTTGAAGCAACAAGCAATTTGTCAATATTAGGAACTCAAAACAGCAAATGCATGCTTCTATTGCGTCAACTTACACGAGGATCAAACAGGATAGCCACACAATCTTCTAATGTTCGTGGCTTTAATTCTGAATGTGTATCTTCTTCAATTGAAACACCAGTGCTGTTCTCTGAGGTCTCCATAAAATCAGATTGCACTAGAAATTTTTTTTTAATATTCTAAGTAGTTTCAACAATATAAATGATATAAACGATGAGAATGTGTGTTTTATTACCCGTATCTTGATCTGGTCCAGGAGTGCTTTGCAATTCTGAAAAGCCTCCAGTTGTTTGGCATGTTGCAGAGTGGTCGTGAATGACATGCAGTTTCTTTTGGACCGAACCATTCCTTATACAACAGCCCTCCTCTTTCCACTGTCTATGTAGAGACGGGGAGCTGAGGTTCTTGAGTGATAGCGAGGACTCTGCCTCCGTTTGTTCAAAGAAAACATATTTTACAGCAAGAAGCAGAGCAAGACTGAGAGTTATAACTTGCTCTAAATCCATACTGTAAGACAAAACAAAGAAGTGACAGTGACTTTTAAATTTGCATGATCATCACATTTTTGAAAATATGTTAAATATAGGTTGTATCTCAATTCCCAGGATCCTTCCTCCAAAGACCACTTTGTAGCACTCCTAAGGATTGGCTCCTACATAGCAGAGCCAAGTGTCATGCTTACAGCGGCTGGAGCACATATGGAACAGGCTATGGAGGGAGCAACTGCACTTTGTCACGTGACTAGATCAAGTGTGATAAATCAGAAAATGAATACAAATCAGTGCTTCTACAAATGAAATTATTCAGATGTGTCAACATTAATTAAAACATGAGAAAACTTATTGATATATGATATTATTAGTTTAGCCTTCATTTATTTAGTTAAGCCCATTAAATAAATAGATGCACAGACTAAAACATTTTCAGATGATTATTTGATCCCCAACCTCCTTTTTAAAAAAGAGATTTTGCTCATTTTGCTGCATTTTACATGATTTTAATTCAATTCATCTGCAGTGATACATGGCTAAAATAGCTAAATATTTTGTTATTTTGTATTGAGTAATCACTTTTCCTTTATTAAAATAATTTTACTGTCTAGTTCAAATTCATAAAAAATAAAAGTTGCAATACATTGTGGGCAATTTGCAGTGCTCCAAGGTAGCCAAGAAACCACAGGTGCATCTTAGGTAAATGAGCCAAACAGAGGAGTCAAAGGAGGAGGACGTGAGAACATTTAGTGGAACACCATTAGGCGAAGCTCAAATGACATGACTCTCTCCAAAGTGGTTCAGAAACTGAGGATCCTGGTAACTGTGAAACGAACAACGCTTCTTGATAGATTTACCTGGTGAGTTTAAAGGGCCATGCTCCTCCAGAGTGCAAAGAGTCAGAGATGGGTCCTTCTACTGTGCGATTATTTCCTTGGGTTTCTGATGCAAGTCTTGTATGGGCATGGACCAGAGCTAAGCCTAGGGACTTGAGAAGACACATATACATAGTTCTTTTACTTTAGCCAGCCAAGATTCGTTGTCTATTTATTACAAGGAGTTCATCTAGAACCCTGAGTTTAGATTCACTAACCATATCCCATATCAAAATATACATAGCAACTTACAAACAGCAATCCCACAGGATAACCAAAATTCACCATAAGAATTAACCCAAAAAAATTTACTTATTTTGATAAAAATCGTGTGGGAGAAATGACTGCAAATGGAAGCCATTTAACTTGCAAAAAATTTAGATTTCTCAGCAGGTTGTGCTAGTATAGAAAAAGAAAAAAAAAAGTCTTACCATTATTATTTTAACCCTTTGCGTAACTGGATTGGGCTTATTGTCCTCCTCTTCCTCCATCACACGTGCAAAGTGACTCAACTGCCAGACTGGGCGGCCTTCACGGCTTTCCCTTGACAACTGTACAAAAAAAAAAAAAAAGATATTATATGCTTTTTCTAATAGCATTTTATTTAGTGTACATAGCAGGGGTTTTCTAATTCCCGACCACAAAGAATTGTTACTTTCACTCCCACTCCCGCCCGCATCTGTGATATTTTTTTTCGCTCCCGCCCGCAAATCCCGCAAGATCGGGACGTTCACTTTCTTAAGCTCGAACAAACACGGAGAAGGAAAAGGAATTGTTTAAAACATACATGAGATTAGACCACATCCGCAAATTTAGGCTGCTTAAAATGTTTTTATTAATGCCAAATAAAATATCCAACACAAATTATGTATGATAGGCATACATTAATCATTTGTATATTTGACTTTATAGTCATATTTAGTTTGTGGGAATCATTCCACCCGCCCGCTTCCGCCCATGCCCACAATGAGCTTTCAAAATATATGTCCCTGTTGCGTTGGGACCCGCGGCAGGCCAGCGGGAGAGCAGTGCTCTACCCCGAGACCATGGAGCAGGGTGTCTGCAAAGCGTGATCAGACGAAGGCTGCGCTTAGCTCTGTGAGGTGCAGAGCTCTGCGCCGGTCCTTTTGCCTGCGGACACCCAATTGTCTACATGGGCGCACTCCGGGTCTGTCACTTGACACTCAGTCCTGGTTCAATTCTGATTTAGTCCTGGTTTAGTCCTAGTTCAGTCCTGTGGTTTTAGTCCTGTGGTTTTAGTCCTCCGGGATCAGTCCTGGGATCAGTCCTGGGATCAGTCCTGGGATCAGTCCTGGGATCAGTCCTGGGATCAGTCCTGGGATCAGTCCTGGGATCAGTCCGCCTGTGTCACACCTCCCCAGTGGCTCTTTGGCGCCTCCCTGGGGGGGTACGCCTCACCTATTGAAAGTCGCTGGAATAGGAATATGGAATAGCATAATTTAACTATTTACAATGTAAAATACAATCATCTGTTACTAGCGTAAAAATCCATTCCAGAAAGATCTGATATGGTAAGTTATATTCCATTTACCTCCAAGACAAGTGAGACGCATGCAGGAAAGAAGGTCATGAAAACAAAATAATTGGCCAGAACAGACATGCAGCCAAAACAACACATAATCTCCAGTTGGGGCACCCCTACAAAACAGATATAAAAGACAAAGTGTGTTACTGTTCAGAATTACTTTAATGACAGATTTCACTAGCAATCTCAATTTATTCCTCACCTGACATTGTACCAATTCCAATAACCAGACACTCAACCAATGCATCTAAAGTGAAGGTGGGCCCCAGAATGCCCATGCCTTTAGAAATGTTCTCCCTCACCTCCTCCTATAGTTACCAAAGTACATTTTAATACATGTATCTGGTACCATTATTTGAAACTGAAGAAAAACTCAACTTTACCTGAGAATTTGAGCTTAGGGCAAATTTGGCCAATGCACACGCTTTAGACAGGTCAATGAGCAATAGGAAGAATGGCAGGGCTTCACTGTACATGACAAGTTTGGTAAAATGATCATTATAAAATTTCAATTGAGTTAATATAATAAACACTTACTTGAGGCCTGTTAGCTCTTTTCCAAAAAAGTGTATTACCACAGTGCTGAAAACAAAGCTGGAGAATACTGTAAATAACCCTGCAATACCTAGAACAGAAAATAACACATTTAAAATAAATGTGTAAATATGACAGTAAAATATTTAACACAATTTAAAACATTTACTGACCTAATATATACTTTGATCCCAGTTGGCGAAGAGTCTTAAACTGGAAATAAATGTAAACAATAGCCGTGCAGCGTGTAATTGATAGTATAATAATGTTGCTGTTTTGGGTTTTCTAAGAGAAGAAAAGCCAAAAATTACATAACACAATAGTATATTTCTTCTTGACATGGGACTTCTAATACACTCTCAAACACATCACCTTACCTCCTGGAGTTTGGGGCACTCGTTCCAGCTGCACACCTGATTACTTGTTGTCAGGGTGTTCATAGACATTAGACAGACTGTGAGAGCCAGGGTGCCGACTATAACTTCCCACGGGTGGGAAGCCACGACAAGCCCGTGAAGTCTGAAGAGACGAGTCAACATGGTGACAGGAGACAGTCCGACTGTCTGAGGTCACAGTCTACCCCGATAGAAAAGACAAAAGATAAAACCTATCATTACTCTAACACAATGTCTATGTTGCCAATGGCACTGACAGTAGGACACAGCACAATTTGGATTTAGAAATATACATTACTATTGACGAGTTTAATTCACAGTAAAGAAAATGGGCGTTTGTTAGCATTAGCCACTATTAATTTAAGCTTACCAGCCCTCCTCAAACTAGCTTTTTGAGAAAGTCACGCTGTTTAAATTCCTGTTTAAGCCTAATCATTTTTTAATCAAAGCAACCGCAAACAACACTAAAGATGGCAACCAATTAGGTCTCACCTTAATCAAAAATCCATTATATTAGTGATGGCTGATACGCCAGAATTGCTAAGCCAGTTACAAAATAACTAGCCATCATGGCGACTCGGAGACTGTGGCGTACGCCATCTTCTTCTTTTGCTACGGGAAGGGGCGCGTTCATAGACAGTATATGGGCGCATTACTGGTCCCTACTGGCCCGGAGTGTGAGGTGAACATAGGGAGAGAAGAGGGTGGTGGGACCATGGGTATGACGGTGGAGGGGGGGGCAGGGTGTGAGCAGGAGGTGAGTAGGGGATGAGCAGGGGGAGTTTAGGGGTGAGGATGGAGGAGAGCAGGGGTGTGCATAGGAAAAGCAACAATAAACGTATTAGAGCATTAAACTATAGCGTGGCTATGTTGCAAGTATTATTGCAATTGTGTATTTATGCAGTGCACTGGATTCTTGTATTAGCATTTCAGATTCCAAATAAATACTAATCCCTCACACTATACTATTTATAGTAAATATGGTGTGTGAATGATGATTGCATAACTTTACAAATTTGAAGACAGATTTATAAATGGTTTCAAGCAGGAAGTCAGTGTGCACAGTTCAAAAGTCTGACAGCCTCAGGAAAGAAGCTGAACTTCAGCCGAGAGGTCCTGGCTTTAATACTCCTCAGTCTCCTCCCAGAGGGCAGAGGAACAAACAGGTGGTGAGAGGGGTGCGAGGGGTCCCCCATGATCCTGGAGGCCCGTCTTCTGCAACGCTCCTAATAAATGTCACTGATGGGTGTAAAGTCACATCCAGTAATCTTCTCTGCCATTCTGATCACACGCTGTAGAGCTTTCCTGTCCTGGGGCCTCATTTATAAAGCTTGCTTACGCAAAAATCCGTGCGTGCGCGCTTCCTACGCCAACCGTGGTATTTATAAAACTGGACTAAGGCGTGGCTCTTTGCTTAACTCTACGCTAACTCGGGACCTCCTGTAAGTTCTACGCAAAGTCTGGAGACACGGGGAAAAAGCGACACTCGTGGAGAGAAGCAGAAGTGAACAGAGTTTGAGGAAGTGTTTGATCAGAAAATCCACGTATATAGAAGAATTACCTTCAGATTTGCGCATTTAAGTGTTTGGTTCGCCAAAATACGGAGAAGGGCTGTTTATTCCACTCATTATTCTCCACAATATTATTCATTTGAAACTCGTGCACGAGCGCGGCCACGTTCCCGGACCCGGTGTAGCGCAGAGTCTCCCACAGTCCACACCGTGACCATGGACTTCTATAGAACACAGTCTGACCAACACAGAGGACGAAATAATGACCCGACCTGAGAGAAAACTCTTCCCTTGGACGCAGCAGGAGCCAGACTTTGATTTAATGAACGCAACTTTAACACTTTTACTTTAGTCTTTACGCACCGAGCGCCAGAGTGACCCGAGTCTGCGCACGACACGAAGCCTACTGCCCGAACCTGATCCGAACCAAAATCTTTCCTACATTTTTGTGTAATGGGGAACTCTTGCACATGAGAGCTGCTCTCTGACTGTATGAAGAACAGAATAATGCCCGTGCTCGTCCCGACCCAGACCCACACTCACAGGTTCAGCAGTTTGGATGTTTCGTGTGGACTTTAATTGGCAGAATAACATCTGTATCTGAAGTGTTTCGTGCTACATCTGTGTCCTCGTATCCTCGTATCCCTCCCTCGCTCCTTTCCCTCTTCAGGGGAGGGCATCTGAATCTCTCGCACGCGCTCATAATTTGCGCTTGCACGTATCTACGTGTATATGCATAAATACAGGGCCAGTCCTCATACACTTCATAGACAGACTTAAAAATATAGCGATAAAACTCTTGAAACAGCGGGGGGAAAAAAACATGGGCTTTACTGCAAAGATGTTCTGCCTAAATATTATAAAAAATGATTAAATGAACAGATGAGTCATTGTTGTCACTTTTAGTTTTGTATTTATTTATTAAACAAGGTTTAATAAAGTCTTTAATAAAGTCTTTGTCGTGATCACGTGGTGCTGCGTGGAGCGTCCTCTTCCCTCTGTCCCGCGTGTCTCGGTCAAACCCACTGATTATCGGCTCATGTTTAGGGAAATCTCATTCACGAGTCACTTTACATGCTCCTTTTATGGTGAGGTGGAGGTGTGGAGAGGGCGTGACGTGACGTAGGTTTACGTGCGCAAATTGTAGTTGCAGGTGGGATTTATAAAGCAAAGATTGCGTGGTTTGGTGCGTGCGGTGGGTTTTCTAAATATGGAGTTTGCGTGGTGCACACCTTGTCGTAGCTACAAGGCGTACGCACTAATTTACGACAACTCCTGCGCAGTTTTTTATAAATGAGGCCCCTGGTCTTTCTGGTTTGGTTCCAGACTTGATTTAGTCCTGATTCAGTCCTTGTTCAGTCGAATGAACGAATGATACACGGATTTTTCTCCTTTAGAAAATGCTCCAAATTCTCCATTCTCCACTCGTTCATACTTTCCGAGCAGCCTATATTCTCGTAATATTATGACTTTATTTTGACTACGACTTTATTCTCATAAAATTACTACTTTATTCTTGTAAATTTACGACTTTATTCTCGTAAAATTACGACTTTATTCTCGTAAAATTACAACTTTTTCTGGCTTCGACTTTATTCTCATAATATTACGACTTTAATGTCAAAATGTTACGACTTTATTCTCGTAGCGCCAGCATGTTTTGTTTTTTTATCTGACCCTTATACTCCGTCGTAAATTCGTATTTAACAAGAGAACTAATTTCAGCAAAACTTCCACACCGCGTGGTTCTGTAGTGGACTACAACAATGGCTGCCGGGGGTGTTGCGCAGGTAAAGAAACACTCCCATCTGCGGGAGGGGAGAGGGCTGTGATGGAGCTCATTTGCATTTAAAGGAGACAGCACAAAACGATGACGATGATGATGAATGAAACGATTAAGATTATAGGATCTATTATTACAGTTATTATACACCATACATACATGTTTTGGTATTTTATAAAAGCATAATATTTGTTCATTAAGGAATATGCTTAAATGTTTCAAACCTAAATACCAGCTTTGCAGGTGCATATTGACTGCACAGACATTTAAATTAACAGACCCACAAATTTAACAGCCAGAGTCCAAACATATTCGAATTAAAAGAGTCATAACATAGTCAAGTATTTGGTTGCCATGTCACCTGCCGGAGCTATCACCCTTTGTCTAAAGGTTGGGGTGGGCGTGTTTCTGATTAAAAAAATAAAAATAAAAAATCTTACAGCTGATTCAGGATTTGGATATTTGGATATATATATATATGGAAATCTCGTTCCATATTATTTGGACTGTTAAAACACTATCTGAACTAGAGACCTAATATGCATAAGCATAAACTGTGGACCACAAAATACACTAAACTTCTTAAGTGGATTCAGGTCATTTGAGCCACGAGGTTTTCATTTCTTCTTTCCTAATCAGTGGCAGAAGAACTAAATTATTGATTTGTACTCCTTCTAGTAGTAGCCTGTACTATTTTACGGTGTAACAATAGCCTAACCTTGAATAAAAGTTTTGATAGACTGCTTTTTGGTAAGTCAAGCCACAAACTTTATTTTGACCATAGCACTTACTCTTGAATAGGTTTGAATTTGTGTTTCATGCAGCCTTCTTTTATATGCTTAAATTTTTTCCCCCATTTGTTTTGTCTTGTGTTTCTTGGACCATTACTTTGTTGTCTAGGCTTCTTCTAAAATCATAGATGAACTACTCTTTAAAGCACAATTTAGCTACTCTGGTTACTGAACATCAGTAGGCTAAGCCTATACTTGAGAAATAACGTTTCTGGACTATTTGCCTTTGGAATATAAGTCCCTGTTTAAGTGAAAGCATCACAAAAATGCAAGGGGATAAAACAGCCTATAGTCCGATAGATAAGAGGCGTAACCTACCTCTTTCCGGAATCTGTAATAAATTGCAGGTAACGACATCAGCCTACAGACTGGAGCAGCAAGTGCTCATGGGTCATCCGCGCCTTTTCACGCGCTCGTTGATCATTTACAAAACGTAATTAGTGTAGCAGAGTGAAAGGTTGGGCTAAACCTTACCGAACTGGATTAACCAAATGGAACTCAGTTTCATTAATAGTGTAAGTTTAACTTTTCTTTTTCTTTTTTTTTCTTTCATTGAGTTGTTGATACCTGTGACACGTGATTATTTTCCCGTTGTAGGCTACTTTTAAGTTTGTGGGTCTGACTTTGAGTGTTTTTCGAAGAATGGCAAGATGTATACGCGGAGTTAAGCGGGGGGGCGCCCTGTCATGGCTGTTGACCGCCTTGGCCCTAAGCTTCGTGCTGATGGTTAGCTGGAGGAACAGCAATATGTATCACATCACCACCGCTCACGCTCCCCTGGACCTCGAGACTTTTCACCGGTTCAATGTGGACTGCTCATCAATATACGATATGGACCCAGTGGAAGTGGGGAGAGCTTTAACATTAAGGAAACTAGTTGTAGAGGAAATGGATGACGGTCTCGTCAATCTCACTTCGAATTGCGAATTCTTCCTCAAGTCTAGAGGCTATAATGATGTATGCTTGTCACAGGAGGAGAAAAACTTCCCATTGGCTTATTCATTAGTTGTCCATAAAGGCGCATGGATGGTGGAGAGACTTATAAAAGCATTATATTCTTCTAACAATATTTACTGTATTCACTACGATGAGAAGTCTTCAGATGAGTTCCGTTCAGCAATGGAAGGTTTGGCCCAGTGTTTGCCAAATGTTATGATTGCTTCAAAAAGAGAATCCGTGTTTTATGCCAGCATTACCAGATTAAAGGCAGATTTGCATTGTATGTCAGACCTTTTGAAGTCAAAGGTTAAATGGAAGTACATTATCAACCTTTGTGGACAGGATTTCCCCCTCAGATCCAATATAGAATTAGTGACTGAACTAACCAAATTAAAAGGTGCTAACATGTTAGAGACTTGCAGGCCTACTACATATAAAAGTGAAAGATATAAGTATCAACATGAAATTCGAGATGTCAACTATGAATACAAAAAAATACCTGTCAGAACAAACAGAGAGAAGAAACCACCACCTCATGGGATTGAAATGTTTACTGGCAACGCTTACTTTGTCCTGTCAAGGGAATTTGTGGAGTATATGCAATCCTCTGAAGTGGTCAAAGATTTTTTGGCATGGTCTGAAGACACTTACTCCCCAGACGAACATTTCTGGGCAACCCTTGTGCGTTTGCCTGGTGTACCAGGAGAGGTTCCCCGGTCACAGCCAGATGTCACTGACCTGATGAGTAAGACGAGGTTGGTCAAGTGGTCCTACCTGGAAGACCATTTGTACCCGCACTGCACTGGTGACCACAGACGTGGTGTGTGCATCTATGGTGTGGGGGAAATGCGCTGGCTACTCAACTATGGTCACTGGTTTGCTAACAAATTTGACCCCAAAATAGACCCTGTTATTATTCAGTGCCTCGAGGAGTATCTAGAGAAAAAGCAAACGTTACTTCGGTCTCTTGCTTCATCTGTGTGCTATTGAGAAAGGGTTTGTTCAGTTGGTTACCTTTATTTATTTGATTTTTAAAACATAGTTATTGGTGAAAATGAGTGGAGAGATGTACCTATCTGTTTTTTTTCTAAAGAGCAAATGCTTTGGTGCATTGTCTCAAATGAAGTCATACAATTCTTTGCTGTTCATTTGATTTTGTCAGTCTGTTCAAAATGCATTATAGTGAATCTCAGCTATTTAGATGAACCATTCAAAACATTTAAGTATAAGCTCTATTCATGCTTACCGGAAGATGTTGGAAACATGTGGTTGGTGACTTCTGGTGTAGTTACCAACACTGGGCCTGTGATAAAACCAAGGATACAGCAGCAGCAGCCTTCATAACATGCCAAAGCTTTCCATGACTCTAAATCTCGTCTTCGAACCTATTATCTCATTGTTTAGCACCATAGCCACCAAAATGATTAAACCGATTTTTCAGACTTAAATTAGATTATTAGATATACAATGGCAAAATATGCATAAGTGCATAAAACAAATAGGCCTATTTAGGTTGATACAGATAAATAAATATACACAGTGGGCGTATACAGTGAGGTGAAGTTCTCTATTCCTCCAGACTGTTGATTGAGGTATTGGTGAAAGGCAAAAACACATTTGCCCAGACCCACATTGTCGTTAAGAGAGAATTGTGCTCATGAAATGATGATTTAAATAAATTATCTTCATTACAGTTTATTTCAATCGTTTTAGCACAGTTTTTGAAACTTTGTTTACTTTGATTGCAAAAGCAGTGTTGATGTATTTGCTATGCCAACATCTCCCAGTTTTCCTCAGCATAAATATATACCTTTAATCGCATACTGCAAAATCTAATTGTGACTGGTAATGTGTACACACACACATACAGACACGCACACACACACACACACCACACACACACACACACACAAACACACACATATATGTAATATATATATATATATATATATATATATGTATATATATATGTGTATATATATATGTGTATATATATATATATATTTTTTTTTTTTTTTTTTATTTATTATTTTTTTTTTTTACAAAATACATTACAGCCAGCACACAACCTGCATAATTTTTTTTATTTATTTTGAAATTACATTTTGTTTATGAAAACTGCAATCCTTAGGATTTTGTGTGAGCTGTTTTGCAAATAGCAATTTTCTATAGAGAGAAGAATGACATAAGAGATGTGTCAGAATTATTGAGTCGAGTAAAATGGTGCCGATTAAAGATTAAGAGAAGAGCAATTATTTATTTTTTTTTCAATCGCTTTGACATTAAAGTCTAAGTCTAAATTTTCAAAACTGAAGGGGCAAATACACCTGTCATCTTGGAACAGCTGTATATCCTTTTCAAGCATTAACTCATCAAAACTCCAAAACACTTTTTCAGAATATGAAAACACAATGATGAACTATTTACATAAAACCTGTTTGAAGCCGGTTTCATTCAGAGATTTGGAGAGAAAAAAAATCACAGATTTGATTTTTAACAGAATTGTGCTCTTCTAGTTCCCCATATGATTAATATTGTGCACATATTTACAGCATTTACTTCACTCTCAAACCATCAGAAAGTGTATAAATCTGATGATTGAGCTTATCTTTTAGTCACAAAGTGTCCTTTTTACAAGAGTGTGTTACGTTTTGTTCACAAAGCTTAATTTTCAAATGTTCTTTTGTGTCTCGTGTGAATAGTGTTGCAAAGTCTGAGAAAAATTTGGCAGATTTATAAAAAGTTTCAGATGTGCCAAAGCCATTGATTTATTTTTATTTTTTTTTACTAAGACTGAGATAGTGGCACTCATGAATGCTTTGTGGACAAGCAGGTGCCCTTTTGCCAGTGGCAGTGACAGCTGCCACCTTTTCAAGGTGTGCCCACATTAGATCTGCAGTAGACACAATACTTAGTGTAATCTGTCCTCAGTTGAGAAATAGTTGAGAAATAGTGTGCGTGCATACCAAAGCCAGACAGACAGGCACTGAGCTCATTTTTTGAGATCAGTGTGAGATCACAACTTACAGATTATCACTATATACCTGTTTTAAGGCGTGTAGTCAAAAAGTGCATTCATTTTCTCCACTAAAACTGTCATAGCACAGATAAATGTATGTACCAAACAGCCAGTGAAACAAATTCAAATTATAAACAACATCACATTTACAACCTCAAGTAAGTTTATATTTGAGTACCGGTAGTAATTCAAGTCCTAAGAGCTCGACTGCGTGACCATTGTCTATGGAACTATGGAAACGTGTGTGCTTACACAACCTGTTGTACTTGTAACTAAAATAACAAATGCTAAAAGTCATCTTGACTTTTATTGCTAATTATTTACTCTGCGATAGTTTAGATAGAAAGGTTCAAGGTTTCCGAGTGGCCTGTACAAACTAGTTTGCAATGGCGACATGAAACCACTTGAAGGCGCTATGGTTATTTGTCAGATGAACTGCTGTGGTCTATGGCCATTCCTCTTGTGTCTTTTTTCTGTTTGTATCAAAGCTGTCAAAACTTGTCATAGTATCAGTGACAGGTTTGAAACGGGGGAGGGCTGTAAAGAGAAAAAGTGCGAGCAGAGTGGGAAAAAATGTTGTTGAAGCTGTGATATTTGACAGACGTTATTACATTGTCATATCCATTTGACATGCAATATGAGTAAAGTTGCAAGTTTTGCTCCTCCTTTGCCTTCTTTCCTTCCCAACAAGTTTTTAAAATGTCGTAAGTTCCCTGTTGTTTATGTTAATAGAAATATTATTGGTCCCAGTTTTGTGTTTGGTCTCCGCAATAACGCATTATAAGGAAGTCTTAAGATTCTGCAGACCAGCTGCTCCTTTGTGGTTTACAGCTTTCATATATTATGTTATGGCAAACATCACCCTTGTAAACCTTGAGAGGACAGTTGAGGCTCTAAATACATCTGATAGTGATAAACTGGTTTGCTGAACATGTTTCCTGAAATCTCTTTCAGGAGTTATAACTTTCTGCCCCACATTAAAGGTGTGGTTATGTTGCAGCAGAAATTATTTTGAACAATAATTTGATTATGCTTTCTTAATAACAGGTTTCTTACCCCATCATATCATAGCCAGATTTCTGTCAAATTTGATTTAGATTTTTGACTAAGTATTGAATTTAAGATCTTTTCAAATAAGATTTCCAGATTGTTATTTATATGTGTTTATTTTATTGCATAAAGGTTATACTTATATTTTGTATTTGCACATTTTGTGTTATTCAAAGTCTTACGATTCTCTTTTGGCTTGCATATAGTGTGAGAATAATTGTATGTTTGATGTATGATAAATTATATGCCAATGAGCATTAGTTTAAATCCAGAGTAGTGGCATCATAAATTGGAGTTATTTTTTGTTCCCACATTGTTGGTTGTTTGGCAACAATATTGTATGTGTTGTGGTGGGGGAAGGGAAGCAAGTGGATGATTTATAACCACGACACCAGGTCTCTTCTCTCCTCCCAGAGCAGCCCTGCAAACACATCCATTACCAAAGTACTGATGTTAATGGCATTGTGGTGTGCCTGCACCAGGGTCCTCAGTATGCACCATGTATGCATTTGTGTGTGAGTGCAGTAGTGATAACCAGATGCTGGGTGAACAGGAGGTGAAGGTTGCCAGGGCTGTGCCGGTTTTCTTTCTCTCTGTGCAAGCTCAGTATAGCATGTATGTGTAAGCAATGGTGCATTTGTATAGGGACCCCCAGCTGGTTTGTTGATGGACCCTCACAGAGTATAGACTAATTTCCAATAACCTGCCTGCTTTTACTTTCTTCCTTGTGAGGCATGCTCTGCTGGAAATGCCGAGATTCAAATATAAAACAATAAAAAGTAGAAGTGAGGAGAATACTCCTGAGAAAAAACACAGGGAGAAATAAATATATAAGAGAGGATGGAGCACTTCTGTGTAATGGACTGTCCGGGGCTCCAACCACATCCTCCTCAGCATGTGAGTGTGTGTCTGAGATGTGTGCGCACATTAGGCTGTACATTAAAACCAGTCAGGGGGAAAATGACTGCAGACCTGCACCACAACCAGTCCACCTGGCCCACAGTGAAAGGGGGAAGAGATGGGAATAAAGGATGAGGGGTTGGACTAAGAGAGAGATGGGGTGACCAACAGCCACTGATCTGAAGTCAATTCTAATAAACATTTAAGAAATTTCTGTAAGGGCCTACTCTGCATGCAGTTTTGTGTACGGTTTGTTATTATTGTTAATTAGTTGCAGTGCCATTCAGTCCAACCTCTTTCCAGTTTAGAAATGATTGTTTCCTAATACTAATGTTTATAACATCTAGGGCTACAAAAGGGTGAAAAATCTCCCTTAGGTACATTTGAATAAAAAATTGTCAAACATTGTCATTTATTTTGTGTGACGTTTGATTGAGACCACAGCATCAAATTATATATTTGTGGTATTTATTATTAAACTGTAAATACATATATATCATTTATTTTTTATTTTGTTCACTGTAAATCACAATATTGATTGAAAATTTTACTAACAAATTGACTTCCAGTTCAAAACTGGTAAACTGATTGGCCCCGCCTTTCACTGTAACAAGGAGCTAATTTTCATTTATTTTTATTGTTGAAACATGATTTTTTTTTTAACCCTATGCATGCTATGGGTCTGGATAGGGGGGAAGGTGAAACCAATATTTTTTCTTGAGGACTCAAGCATCAAACATGTATGAGTCATTCAAAATTCTGAGTAAGTGTATGATGATGGAACTGATGACCATTGTAACATGGCTCATAAAAGTTATTTTAGATGACAACCCTCCCTCTTTCTTTTTACTAAAATTTGCTCAGATTCAATAAGACATGAAAAATTTTAGCTACAGCACCATTAAAACGAAGAAACTGTGCAAAGTCTTTAAAATTAGATTAAGCAGTTGTATTGTTTATCTGATTTCCTGTAGGCACAGTTGAAAATAGACATTTGTCATGTCAAGTTGTAAGAGGTTTTTATTACCAGTGCTATATACATAGAAATTATACAGCCCCCCTCCTCTATTTTAATTGAGGACTCACACTCACACTCCATCATATATACACACATATCGCACATCATATGTACCTCATCATTTACACACAAGACCAAAACATAATTGGACCTCAGGTCATCAGTCTAAGACACATTTTCTTAGATCTGATACAACACCCAACGGATTAAAAAAATGGCCTCAGTTGGACTTATCAAGTAGAGCCAGCTCATGAGAGAAAAACAGTATGTTGGGTGAAATACATTTTTTGCAGTAGAAAACTTAAAAAAAAAAAAAAAAAAAAAAGTGATAGAAATGGTTAGTTCTTGTTACATAAATTTATTACCCTTTTTGGCTTGTATGAATATTTTTGTTTACTGTACTCTGAAGCAAATACTGTGCCCCTTTACAGTTGCTTCATGAAGGCTAAATTTGACGCCTTGAAACATTTAGCCCTGAAACTTTATAATCTATGCAAATAATTTAGAAAATAAAGTGACTGATTGCAGCAGTACAAAGATTTCCCTTACAACAGTGCTGTTCGACACATGGCCACTAGATGGCACTGAGTGTTTCAGCGCAGTCTGTGGAAATGTCACAGATGTTGTCTGCCCCCTCTTTTGTTTTCTCTCTTTAGAGGAAAGAGACCTCAGCTGTTGAAGGAGATTCTCCATTATAGGTTCAATGTTCTTTTGAAAATCATTTCCATTAAAACATGTTTTTTAAAAGGGACAGTAACAAAAGGAAGGTCAGGTGAAGCAGCGCGCAGAGAACAGCTATCAGGGCCGCCTAGAAGGGTGTGAGATTTGTGTGTGCCACAGTCACTGAGTACAAGTGTCTTTATAATTGTGTCCGTGTTTTGAATAATAGCACATACATCTTTTATTTAAGCTTTGATCAAGAATGCATTTAGTGCATTACCCAAGCAAAGACAGTAGCAAAGGGCTTGTGTAAGACCATGTCAATGCCAAATGTGTGTATGTCCACTCTATAAAGCAGAAACCTCTCAATTGACCTACTCCAGAACATGTCTACAGTGTTTGTGTGTTTTAATTGCCACATTTGTGTTTGTATGAAGGGATTAAAGCAAGTATTCATCCTGGTTCTTTGTCTTAGTTTGTGATAAGTGTTGCAAGGAGTGTCTCAGCAATTCTAAAACGGATGTAAAGGAAATAAAAAATGGAGATTTGAAGAGATACTTTCATAAAGATGAGTAAAGATGTCCCCTTTGGCATTGTCTCTCTAGACTGAGACTACATATGCAACCTTCATGGATATGGAGGGGAGGGTCAGGGCACTTTGCTGGATGAAGTTGCAGAAATATTTGTCATATTTCAGGTCCAGTAATCCAGGCTAGGCAATGACTTTCCCCACAAACTGCCCTGTCCCATTTTAAGTGAAGTTCATTTTCTGATCATTTACAATCAGTTCTGTGTAGAAATCTCCACATCACTCCAGAATATGGATTTAGTCAGTTCATCTCCTGAATTAGATTAGCTTCCTTCAGTCCACTACCAGGCTGCAGTCTCTCCCATCTCCTGACCTTGGTGGGACATAGGTGCACTGTAGCTGGAGTTACTGGCTAAAGAGAAAGGGGGGCTGGGTCCTCCTCCATATGCCTCTCCTGGGACCGTCTGTAAACCGGGCTCTGGACTGGGTGTGTCTGCATGGGAGATCATGTCTGTGAACCTTTGGTCATCTGAAGGGTGGTGGCCTGAGCTCTCCATAGCTCCTGGTCCAGAGGCTAACATGTATGGGGATTCTGCAGGGGACTGGGCCTGAGATGAAGGGGGGCCATGTGGGAAGAAATCATAGTTATTCCCTGCACCATAGTAGTCTCCTTGGTACTCTGTAGAGAGAGAGAAGCATGTGTCAGATATGCACTGCAACTTCAAAGCTGAAATCAATCATGTACTATTTCTAATATCTCTGTTTGAGTTAATAAATAACTCCATTCTCCTGTTCCTCACTTTAGAACCCAACATTTATCAAGCTCTTTTCAAGGTGTGGAAACTTCTAGTGGAATTGGACATACCTGAAAGAATTGAACTGAAGAAACACCTTTTTTCCAATCTGTAACATGCATCTAAACCTTAGGGGACTATTTTATTCATTATCTCCTCATACTGCTACTTTTCTTCAATTGTATGTGGCTTTCAGAAATCTCAGGCTATAACCACACTAGTCACATTACACAGTCAAATACAGACATATTACTCTTACATTTTTATTTTGAGATTTATGAAATTAAACATTATGTTTACATACTGAGAGAAAATAATTAAAATATGGACCAGTCTACCCCAGCACAAAAGATATGAAAATCCAGGTGCATGATTTGGTCTCCTGTGCTCCCTCCCACTTCCTTATGTTAGCCTTGACAGGGTCATGAGTTTTTCAAAGCATGGGCCTTCACGTGCTGGAACTGCATTCCATTACTCATGTCTCATGTACATGACTGGGACAGGTGCGTGTGTGAAATGTTGAGGTCTTTTGTCGGTCAGTGGTAAAGCATGCACATCCAAAGCCCAAATGCTCTAGACTTAAACTTAGACAAAATGTATTGATCTACAAGGGAAATTATTTCACACAGTAGGTCACTTATCACAATATAATACAGTATCAAAGAGTAAAAAATATAAATGGTAATAATACATTCTAAATAAGTAGCAAAAAAGATAGCAAGAGACAAGCATCAAATAAGTCATAATTATAATTATAAAAATGATTATAAAAAATTATAATATAAAAAATGCACAATAAAAATGTATACGTACAAGTCCAAATAAAACTGAAAAATAGTAATAAAAAATCTCAGCTATATACAAGAGGTCATAAGGAAGACAGTGTAAAAATTATATGATGATTAACATGACATAGGGTTATCTTATCTATCTCTATATAAGGGTGACTCGTACAGTTGTATGGAGTATGGTATGAATGTAGCCCTGTATCTCTTACTGTTTGCATAGAGCTGTAGGAGCCTGTTGGAGAATAAGCTCCTCTGACCCTCTACAGTCTGTGCTATATAGTCGGTGCACTAAATAAGCAGGAATGTCCATGATGGAGAGCAGTTCGTCCAGTGTCCTCCTGTCCCTTACTGTGACAAATGTCTCCAGCTCACAGTTGATCATGTGACCAGCTTTACATTTCTTGTAAAGCTCTACTGCATACATGTCTTGTGTCCTCCCACCTGGCCCATGCATTATGGTGTTTGAGTGACTATGTATATATTATTGTCAAAAAGGTTGTTGGCAAAGAGTCTGACCACATTTCAATTTGGCAGCCTCACTCTTTCTGCAGTGACATTATAGCTACAGCATCTTCTTGGCCAAGAATGAATGAGGAGTGAGTGAATAAAACAATGGAAAGTGATTGTCATCACTCAATTGACAATTATAATGAAGAAATCTTTACTTAAAAGTACAATAACAGGAGACATATTTTATGGGGGGGAAAAGATATAGCTTTTTATAGCTTTTTGTATTAATGGTTTGTTTTTTAGTTTCTTTTTTTTTTTTTTTTTTTTTTTTTTGACACTCACCAAACCATGTTTGGTTTGCCAATTTAACTATCAAGGTGGATTAATTGCTGTGTTTTCTTTACATTCAATTAACAAAAATGCATTTGTCAAAAGACACTTTCAAAATAACTTTTATGGTAATATTTGTATGCAGTGTACATTTGAATGCATTTGACTGGTGTGGTGTGATGTTCATTAAATGTTATTTTGTTTCTAACAAATGTCAGATATTACAAATCAGATGCTTAAAAGATTATTTTACAAGGGTTAATTAGTTTTCTTAGAAAACAAATTTTCCCTACCTCCATAATAGCTGTAAGCCCCAGGTCCCAAGATGTCTGCATCCTCTATCCTCCCGCCCAGGGGCCTCATCCGCCTGGGGCCCCGGAAAAAGGCATGCCTTCGGGCCCCCAAGGCACTCAGCTGTTTCATTCTCCGCTCTTTCGATCTTCGGTTCTGAAACCAAACCTGCAAACGACGCACGAGTAATATGTAAGTCATTCAGTCAAATGACATTTCTTGATAATTTTTAAAATTCTTTTATCATTTCTTGATTTCTCAAATTTATGGTGGCGCAGTATGTTATTCGTGAGAAAACACATTTTGCAGTAAAACAAAGACAGAACCAACATTTTAAATAAAAATCTAAAAATAGATAATGCTTGCATGAGGAGCTTATTCTATATTATTAACTAATTCTACAATTTTTCCTGAGGTGCTTCGCTTGTGGGATGATGGGATTACTGTAATAGGTAAATGTAAAAGTTCAAATAGAACTGTAATCAGAGGATAAAAAGGGCTTATCACAAATGTGTGGAAAAGTCTTTGACGAGGAACAAAGACGTATTTCTCATACCATATGGAAGAATTTCTGTGCATTGTAAATACATAACACATCTTGCTTCGCCTTTGCTGCATAATGATGCATGTTCACACTAAAGCAGAGGCTACACCAGAGGCATGCATCCCACTGTGCTGTAGATTTATACAAAAACATACAAACAACAACAACACAAAACACCTCCAAACCACTCAGACGCCACTCTCTGTAGAATAGCGACACCTGCTTATGAGAGAACAATTGTCTAACTGTAGGCTACATTTTTATGGAAATGCTCTGGCTCCCCTCGAGAGAGCATTGCTTAGGGATTACACACTCAAGCGTCTGGAAGTACCTCACGGGGTTTCCTGCATCTACAGCACTGGTATTTAACAAAGACTGCCTCCATTTTGGTGTAGCCTTCTTTAAAGGGGGAATACCAGATGGAGGGGTGGGCATCTGATATATTGATTGATTGACTGATTGGTGCATTGACTGATGAGGCAGAGTGGATGCACCTCACGGAGGGGGTTGGTTACTATTTAGGGGGGGCTAGACTACATTATCAGTGCAGGGGGGTGTTGGCTGTAAGTGAGTAAGAGAAGAGAGGTGGGAAAAGGGGAGGGTGTTATGCAAATCTGTGAAATCAGCGATAATTACAGTGAGTGCACAAAAAGCCACATCACAGTTGGGAGAGCGGGTGCTAATCATCCTGACACAGTCTGAACCAGACACCAGCAGCTCTTTAGTCTGAGCATTAACGGGATGTGTTTGAGAGAATAGAAACGCAGTGGTCACTTGGTTTATGTGTAAACAAGTGAAGCCCAAGGCAAAACAAAACTGATCCTTTACTCATTAAACGCTAGTGCATGTCATTTAACATACAACAGTCATTTATTTCATTTGGTATAAAATAAAATAAGTCGTTTAAGTTGTACTGGGGTAGCCTAGATGTAACATTGGTTCCGTCAGTAGACTTTTAATCAAAATAATTCAACGGAACTATGGAGGTTTGAACATGTGAATGGTGCTAACCTGAATTACGCGCATGTTCAGGCCCGTCTCCTGTGCCAGCTGCTCGCGTATGTGTCGCGTGGGTTTCGGAGTGGCAACGAAGGCGGCCTTGAGAGTTTCGAGCTGCTTGGCCTTGATGGTTGTCCGCGGACCGCGCCTCTTTGCCCCAGAACTCTGCTCTTCGTTTTCGATGTTGTTGGTCTCTTTGTCCGAAGACGTAGAGTTGTCCGTTTCTTTAATGTCATCCTGAATTGGATCCACTAGATCCGGCGATAAACTTCTATCCGTGCACGAGGACACTGTGGACAAGCACAAAAGAATCACGAGATGCATGCCAAAACGCGAGTCAGAAATAAATAAATAAAAATAATGAACAAACAAACAAACAACTCATCTAATTAAGATCATTTCCACGAGAAACTGACCTTCAAATAATAGACCATGTAAAATGCGGTTCATTTTATATTTCGATGCTATTAAAAAAAAAAACTACAACGACAACCTAAAACAAGTTACGCCAAACAAAAAAGAATTGGCGGTAGGAAACTTATTTGACAAGGATGTACTTAAGACCTAGCAAACTAAAGTTGAATATATTGGAGGAAATGCAGTATTTGCCTTAGGCCTCGCTTACAATTTAATCGACCACCCTGGTGTCCATTCTTTTGTTTTTAGTATGATTAATAATTATATTTGGGTACCGTGTGGGCCTACAACGATTTTTTTATTTTTATTTTTTGTATTTTAGTTTTTAGTAGTTTTTTGTTTTGTTTTGTTTGTTTTTTTCTAGAAACTGAAACGTAAAAATCTCTAATTTATACCTGAATTAAGGCTGACCTCCTTGATAGCTCCAGATGTCAGATAATCTTCTTTGCACACAAACTTGTTTTCATCGATGACATACAGCTCTTCTCCCGTAGACAGCTGCTTGTTGCAAACCATACACGTAAAGCAGTTCAGGTGAAACACTTTGCTTCGCGCTTTACGCACAAGGTCGTTTGGCGAGATACCCTGAAGACAGCCTGCGCATTTTGTCCCGAAGCGCCTGTTAGGAAAAAACAGCATTAGTTGTCAAGAAATGCTGTATGCTATTATTATTATTATTATTATTATTATTATTATTATTATTATTATTATTATTATTATTATTATTATTATAAAAATAGTAGTAGTAGTAGTAGTAGTAGTAGTAGTAGTAGTATTTGTATTAGTATATTATACACAATATTACACAACTGGTATAATCCAAGATGTTCATGGAAGACTAAAATAGCCCATTTAGATGGAGACGCTTTTACAATAACCCCACGCAAAACGAATTAGTGACAATCAACATATTGTAGCTACGGATATATTATGGGATTAGGCAGAGCAGGAGCATCTACGCGCGTGAAAATGAAAATCTGCTCATAATCCATATTCACCCTTTTTAATACTTGCGGGTACACACTCTTGTCTAAGACGCACAAATTGAACCTCCTCCACTGGCGAACCAGAGATGCTCGTGATGAACCCCAGTTGCTGCAGATCCAGTATGCTGCTGTTACGATGGAGCTGTGGGTTCACAGCTGGACTTGGCTGTGACCACAGGACGCCGCTTAAGCCTCCAGGTGAACGCAAGCACTCCTTTTGTGCGCTATTGTCTTTACACTAATGTGATCTTGTCTTCCCAGTCGCTGCGGTATCACGCCACTGTCCTCTTTCACATGCATGTTTCTATTCTCCCATAGGGGCTCACGCTACTTACACAACAAATGGACACATTCAGGTAATTAGCTTACTGCTTTACCCAGCTAATGTGTCACAATTGAGATCCAGTACTGGAGGGGACAAATGGACGGATAAAAATGAAGGCCAAAGCCAAAGTCTTGCCAGCAGTGGACGTCCCAACAAAGCCTGTGCGCATGGAGTATTTTGATGCAAAAACACCTGACGCCTAATACAATATGGTCACAAACAACACATTTTCTCATATTGTAATTTCTTGGACCACATTGGGAGATAGTTATGTGGTTAACTGTAGCATTTTAAAATAGGCCAGTCAAACAGAACAGAAGAATGTCAGTCTATCTGACCTACGCGCATAGGCCTAAAATAAAGCTATCCTCTCTTGTAGGATCATCGTTTTACGTTTACAACTCCTTTAAAATAGTATTTAAAATGAATATATTTCTTTAACCACTGGCGAGTTTTTAATCAAGTAGTCAACTCCAATAACTGAAATATAGGCTATTCAAATATTGTAAAAGTTATTTTGTTGTTCTATGATAACAAAACAAAGTACGCCACTTTGGTACACTGTCATACTGAGTTACCTGAAAAAGTCCATTTTACAGTAAAGCTTGCCGTCCCTGGAGAAACATTTCTCTGTGAGGTTGCAGTTGCACTCGCAACACTGCACGCACTTGGCATGCCACGCTCGGTCCAGCACATTAAGGAGGAAGCGGTCCAAAATGGGCCGCTCACAGCCGGCACAATGGACCATCATGACCCCGGCCTGCAGGACGCCGATGACAGCGCTGCTCGGACTGGCACCAGCCGGATCTCCGCGGAACAACGTCTTGGCGCTGATACCTGGTCCGCTACTCTAGAAACGAGACCCCGCCAAGCAGGAGCGGTGTCAACCCAAAGAGGCGTAATTAGTCCGGGTCCGGGAAAGAGCACTGTTACCACTTGTCACAATCCTCAGAGAAAGTAGAAAGAAAAGACAAGCCGCCCAGAGCAATGGCACCTCGCATGTTTTCCCGTTTTGTTTTGTTTTTTTTGTTGTTGTTGTTGTTGTTTGTTTGTTTTTGTTTTGTTTTTTAAAATAAGTCTTTTACGAGATCTTCGTGGGTTGACCGCCTTGTTTTGATTCCACACATTTCCTCAACGTGGTTCTCGGCATCGCCACTTACTTGCGCATCACTGTGCCAGAGTTATCACGGTGTGAGGAGGCCTCACATTGGATGACGCCCTGTTTAATTCTCCAGCAGCACTAGCCAATCAGAGCACAGTTGTCATGGTTACGCGCTCATAGCCTCCGCACGGACCCAAGTCCCAATATCCTCCCATGAAAACATGGATGTGGACTCCGGCTCAAGGAGCCCAGACAAGACAGGACTAACTCTTATGTGCTATACACGTGAGATAGGCTACTTAAATAAGCCTAAAGAAGAACAAAGCGGTTCTTATGGCAGTCGTAGTACCACTTCTTAAGTTAAATCAAAACAAGCAGGGCAGGGTTAATGCTACTGCAGCCTGGAGCCCATGTGCGAGGCAGGTGAGCCGGGGGGCGGGAGTCTTTTCTCATGCAGAAAGTCTTTTACGGGGAAATGCAATGGATTAGTCCCAGCTCATCAATAGGGTGAGCCCGCTCACCCGGTGTTTTAACACAGTGGCCACCAATCGAAAGAAATTTCAATATTTACCAACTGCCTCGTTTTGTTAGTTGCTGTTAAGCAAACAAGCACGAGGCTAATTTATGTCGTGGCCGAGAAGAGTACGTGTGGAAGCATTCGCTGACCATTTTAATGCTACATTTGAATGACTTTAGGTGTGGAGTTCCGCTCATTAGAGTCGCTCACGAAAACATTTGGATGACAATTAAGTTTAAAAGGCAAAAGATAACACAATAAGACTCATGATCAAATGTATATCTATCTATTTATCTCTCTCTCTCTCTCTCTCTCTCTCTCTCTCTCTCTCTCTCTCTCTCTATATATATATATATATATATATATATATATATATATGTGTGTGTGTGTGTGTGTGTGTGTGTGTGTGTGTGTGTGTGTGTGTGTGTGTGTGAGTGTGTGTGTGTGTGCGTGTGTGACCAGTGATGAATTAGGAATTAGGTTTGTTTCTGTAATTTTTCTAGATAATGTAAAATAAAATTTAACATAGTTTACCCGTAACATTTTCTTGTATTGAGATGTAACCTAGAAAAATTTGGGTAATGCTTTTTTATTTGATACATCTTGGGGAACAGTAGTTAAGACTTAGTTCAGATTCAGATTTTCAGCCCCAAGCCAAGAGTGAGACAACACATGGTAGGTAAAAACTACTACAGTGGGAACACAACTGTGAAGCACAGGGTCCTATCACCCAGTTTAAATGAATGCATGTCTCTTTGTACCTAGATATAAAGCCGCCAGTTTGACTGTGCTGTGTTGCACCAGAGCCACAGTCAGAACTCACCTGTGAAGACGACTATAGGAGCTGTCCGTGGTGCTGAAGGCTGTCAGCACAGAAGACCAAGGACAGCGGCAGGCGGGTGAGTTTGAATAATCACAGAAGAACACATACTGTATATTCTGTAAACACAATGTCCATCTTTAATAGACCTGCATACATATATATATATATATATATATATATATATATATATATATATATATATATATATATATATATATATATATATATATATATATATATATATATATATATATATATATATACATACACAAGCTGTGCTTTACATTCTACTCCAAGGCTCTGCACTTTTATAACCATACTCTTATGATATCTTTCAGACCCGGTCTCTCAGCATGGACTGTGTGGGTCATAGGTTCTTTTAAACCTTAAAAAGAGTCCAATTGTTAATTACTACAACATTCCCCATCTGGCATAACAGTGGTGACTGTGGCTGCTTTTCTGAAATATTCTAGCATCATCAGAGTGAATAAAAAATATGATACAATCTAAAATGATTTTAAAAACTGAAGATAATTCTACCTATACAAACCTTGAAACTCATTTTAGGATTCTACTCATTCAGCCTCAGTTGATAAATCCAGTCTTTATTGGTCCTTTGAAAACCGTACACTGAAGCAATTCTTTCTGTATCCTTTCTACAAGGTAAAGTATGGCGTGTTGTTATTCAGTGCCTGAAATATGGATGAAAAGGCCTAGATTCCAATTGGAAACTCATCAGCAAATCACAGAATGCTAATCTGAATTGTTTTGTAAAGTTTAAGTATGTATTTATGCATTGAAAAGGTTTGTTACTTGATTACTCCTCAGTTTAAACTATCACAACATGTTTTCCAAGGTCCAATTATGTGAAGTGGGTTGAGCATCAGTGCCCTTTCTTTACTAAGAGGCCTCACAAATTATCTGTATGTTTCTCCCCATCTTTCAACTTCTGTTTAATTATGCACCAAGAAGCAATGCCTAATATCTTAATAGGAGAATGAAAAAATGTAAAATGAAAAGAAATTTTATGTAAGAAAATCCCAAATCTCCTCTGGCCCCTAATGTCTGTCTGTCTTCTCTCGTGAAGGCCCACCCTCCACAGTGACAGACACCTGAGCAGGCCACCCCGACCCGCCTGTATACGCCTAACACACATGTCTGTTGGAGACCACCTCCAGGGCCCCTTTTTGGCATGGCCAGTCCCAAGAGAGAGGTTAGTATGATGAATGTCTGATTGGTAGCCCTCCCTTAGGGCCTCCCTCTCTGTCACCTCCTTGCGCTCTGAATTAAAAGGCCGTTTGTCTCCTGTGAGTCCTCAGCTGTAGACCGCCGCCTGCAATTTCACAGCACTCAGAGAGAGAGGGAGACCATTACAGGGGAGCTTGTCAGGGGAGCCATCACGGCCCGGACACGCCTCAGGGACTTTCTCTTTCCCCTCTATCTCTCCCTGCTTCTGTCTCGTCCTGCTCAGCCCACCAACACCTCTATCTCACCGCAACCAGACACCACCAGTTTTTGTAAATGTGCATATAGATGCATCTATATGCATCTATATGCACACATTAAATATACAATTATAATATTGTGGTAACAGCTGGAACAACAACAATCTTTCATTACTTTTTCAAATAAACTTTAGAAAAAAGCAAGTAAAAATTTAGATATTAACACATGATTTGGTTAATATCTATATTTTTACTTGTGGACACAGCTCAGGTGTATATATTACATCTACAGTAAGTTTCAAAGTCATCTTATATTTAGGAAGAAAACCATATTATTCCAACAGTATTTAATCCTTAAGCTCTTCTTAGTTACCTTATTGTAATCTGTGATTATAATTTGTGTGATTAAAGTTTTCACATATGTTACTTTGCAAATCCAAAATTATTTCTGTCTGTATCTCTTACTCAGTCTGGTCACCACACTCTGCACTGCAGCTAGATCCAGGGCCAAATATGTTCACATAATCACATTTGTTTATTTCAGTGTTTCATGTGAAATGAAGGAGCTCATTGGTCCACCATCATTAACAAACAAAATCAAATTTCTCTTATCTCAGATTAATAGTGATAACAGAAATCCACAATGTTTTTCTGTTGCTTGTGATATCTGTTTTGATACGCACAGACCATTCATCTATCAGTCGTTTGTCAGATTCACCTGTTACCAGACCCACATCTTCATGAAGTATACAGTAGGTATTCTGGATCCCAGGTAATTCATGAAAGACATCAAGATACCATCTTGAAAATACCCAGTCTTAGTTGAACTCAGAAGCTATGCTAGTACTTGAATGAGAGAGAAGAATCAGGTGCATCAGTGGGCCAGCAGTGGCTCTAGTCTAGTGTAATCTGGCGTTGTGTCTTTAGGCAACACTTTGTCAACCTTGTCACTTATGAAAGCGATGTGCAATTGAGAAATCAGTGGTGATTGGAGGGGCTGATGGAGCAGACTGGCAGACTTACTACCGTAGTCTATTCCAGAGCTGCTGTTGCTCGTGATAGTTTACAAGAATATGAATAGAGTGAATAGATGATGCGGTGTGAAACTTTTTGGGTATCAAAAGGAGCTGTTCTTTTGAAACTGAAATTTAGTTAACTGAATCAGGAATATCTTACAGCTTATAGAAACCAGAGATGCACCTAACTTCCAATAAAGCACATGAACACTGAAAATCACCCATGTGGTGAGAGATGGGAGTATGTCTGTGGTAGATTTTTTGCTGCAGTCAACCTGTGTGCAAAGTGGTGTGACTTTTTATTCAAAGGTGTAAAAAAGATGGCGGACAGGACGTGGCTAGTTTAAAGAATAAAAGCCTAAGTGAATGGCTGCTGGTGTGTGGAGTTCAGCCCCTGTCATTGAGATATAATGAGGCAGATCACCTTCCACTGTGGGCCATCCTAATGAGCTAATGAATGGGGGTGTGCATGGCACCTTTGCCCTCACCTACTCTATTAATCAGAGTAGGGTCGCACACAGCCCGCAGGACCAGCCTCCTCCATCTGCAGCACTAATGGACCGAGCGATGGAGGGAAGGTGCTTTTAGTTAAGGGGATGCAGAGAGAAACCAGGAAAGCACTGAGGAATTGAACACAGGCAATGTCTCTGTAACATTTAAAATCTATAAAATGTAAGGTCTGTAACTGCTCTCTCACCATTTAGAGGACATCTGGAAAAGTCCCTCTGATATCTGTTTCAGACAAATACATTCATTATGATTATGAGACTAGAAATAAGCAAAATAGCATAATACAAAGTATCTGATTATAGGAATGGGGTATGGGACATTTTGTGCACCCAAGACCC